CGCGCACTTTTGCCGGTCTGCGCCTTTGCTGGGGGAAAGTTTATTGGAAACTGCATGAGGTTCATTGCAGCAATCTTCCCAATTGACGGAATCTCCCAAAGCACTGCGCGAAGGTCTATGTGGGGGAGAGCCATGCGCGGCACAGCCAGAACCACCTCCTTGCGCGGGTCACTTGCCAGCCATCCCTTTTTAAGGAGAGAGGCTGTTGTCTCCCCCTTTATGAGTGCCCATACATAGAACACAGCGGTGAGCAAAACACCAGCCCAAAGCACACTGTACCGTGCCACAGCAGGGCACCTTTTCTTGCACACCTTGCACAGGAGAGTGACAGCAACGCCAACTGCATTGAACGCCAAAACAGCCTGCCAGTACACTCCTGCTGCGCTGGAGACAGCACACACCCGCTCGTTTGCATACGACACACACAGAAACCCTATGGAAATGAAGAGCGCCATGGACAGCCCAGAGGGTATCCTGTTGATCATGCGCTCAGCGCGAAGAATGTACATCAGAAAGAACCCAGCGCTTGTAAGAAGCGCAGAGAGAGCAAGACACACAAAAAGGTTTGTGAAGACCCTTTCTACCGGCAGACCAGCGGCAAGAGACTCGTGCATGCTCTGCACGTACCTGAACGACTCAGAGATCGGCGAGGATATAACCCCCGACGTGTATGAAGAGAGAGCAAAGAATAAAACTTGGGAAACGCAGGAAGCTGCCACAAATAAAATAGCGCTGGCAGTGTGCACCTCAGCGCCCGGGAAGGACCCAGTGCACGAGAACATCTTCTCACCAACTGTCATCACATACATAAGATAAAGAACTGCGCCAAAGAAAACAACAGGACATTTATAAAGGAGTGACTTTGCTTTTCGCGCAAAAGCGCGCGTGTATTCGGGCAGCTTTCCCTGCTCTGCATTGTAAACCATAACTTAAAATTTTTTACTTCTCCTGTTTTTCTGTACAGTGGCTCTACTTCTCATCAAGGAGCAAACAAAGGCATACGGAGGCAAAATCTGTACAAAATATTTTTGTTCGCACAGGAAGAAACAAATCGCGGATTTGCACTAATGAGCAATAGAAAGGGTAGGGAGGGGTGTGGTTTGAGTAAAAGATCGATTTAGTGATTTGATGAGGGCATGCTTTGAATTTATACAGCGGGCATATATGTTAGCTCTTTTTTGTTTTGGAATATTGGGATTGTTGTAATTCAGAAGGAGGTACAATATTTCTGCATAAACCCTTCTGCATGGTTTTATTTATTACAGATTAGAAAAGAAGGCCTTTTTTCTCTATATACAGAAATCTTAGTAAGGCTATATGAGTAAGATAGATCAGGCTGGTTTAGAGCTATATTTTTATTCTAATTCAACAGACGTTTTTAATATATATAACCCGAAGATCTTTTACAATACTAGGGAGTACTTTATTCGTATTGTCTCGGCTATAGTTAAATATTCACGCTTACTATCTATACGTATAGAAAGTAATATACAAATCCAAAGAATAAAATCAGCAAAGAAATAGCCATACACTTATCTACGATTTATCTAAGATTTTTAAGCTTTTTTATCTAGAAAAGGAAAATGCGGACGAAGAAAATATCCATCTCTATATATCAAGATCATGCATACCATCAAAAGTCTCGTAGTACTTTGAAGAGCTTGCGGTATTTTTAATCATCTTGGGCCGGGCTCGGGGCTTGCTTTCCTCAGTGTGCATACTGATGAGCACCTCTTTAGGAATGCCCTGCCCTGGCTTTAGATAGCTCCAGGAAAACCCGCGTGCGCCCATGACAAGCTTTGTTTCCAGGTGCCCTTTTCCAACTAGCCATCTAACTATTCTTGAAAGCATATCCTTTGTTTTCTTTGAGCACAGGCGCATCTCTGTCACAAGCTGCCCCTCTGTAATGAGCTTTTCTTTTTGCACAATCTTTATTATTTGATGGGCCTCGTCTAGGCAGTTTATTTGCTGCACAGATCCTGATCTCTCGCAGTTATCGCACCCATTAGTGCAGAACTTGTTGAATGTCTCCCCAAAGTAGTGAAGAAGCAGGTACCGCCGGCACTCCGCCTTATTCTCACAGTACGATATAACCTCCTGCAAATGTCTTCTCTGGCGAGATTTTGCCTCTGCGGAAGACCCTTCGTTTTTGTCGATCATGAACTCAATTTTCTTTTTATCGCTGTATGTATAGTAAAGAATACAGACAGAGTTCATTTGGTCTCTTCCCGCGCGCCCAGTCTCTTGATAGTATCCCTCCAGCGACTTGGGCAGCGAGTAGTGTATCACATAGCGAACATCCTTCTTATCTATACCCATTCCAAATGCAATGGTAGCCACAATAACCCGAATTTTTGAGGAGTCCCAGCTGCGCGCTCTCTCTGTTCTTTCCTTTGTGGACAGGCCTGCGTGGTAATATCCTGCAGGGATGTTGTGCTCCTTGTGAAGAACCTCAGCAAGCCACTCGCAGTCTCGCTTAGAGAGACAGTATATAATTCCAGAGTCAGCAGGGAAGTACGTCTCTATAAAGCTCACCATGTCTGATATTACATTTTTGTTTTTTGGAACCACCAGATATTTCAGATTTGGGCGGTTGAAGCTCTGCGAAAATATCTTGCAGTTTTTTAGGCGCAGCGCATCTGTCACGTCTTTTTTTACTGCGGCGGTTGCTGTTGCAGTCAGTGCAGTGATCGGCACGGAAGGATACCGTTCTTTAAGAAGAAAGAGCTGTGTGTAGTCTGGCCGAAAGTCATGTCCCCACTGCGAAACACAGTGTGCCTCGTCAACCACAAATCTTGTTAGGCGATTTGTGCGCATCAGAGTCTCCAGCGTGCGATTAAAAGTTCTGCTTTCCACAAGAAGCTCTGGAGTTGCATATACAATTCGGGTAACAGGCATGCGGTCTTTTGCAGGAAGGTGCTTATCCTTCTCTAGCCCGGTAAGCATAATCATGTTATATGCCGTTTCCCTTTCGCCTTTAGTAAGCGAAGAATTGATGGCCACTGCAGGAATGCCTCGGACAAGAAGGTTTTTTATCTGGTCCTGAATGAGAGCAAGCAGAGGGCTCACAACAACAGTTACACCCGGCGAAATAATTGCAGGAAGCTGGAACGTTAAAGACTTTCCTCCCCCCGTGGGCATCAGTACAAACACGTCTCTCCCTTCAAGCACTGAGCTGATAATCTGCAGCTGGTTGTGCCTAAAGTCATAGAGATTGAACACCTTTCTAAGACACGCATATGCCTGCATCTGCTGGAATGTAATATCACGACTTCCAAACTCTTCCACATTCTGCACGTACTCTTCTTTGCTTGATGCTGCTTGGTCAGAGGCGCTCTTTATCTCACCATGCAGCGTGCTTTTCTGCAGGCTTTCCATCGGAATTCTGGACATGCCGTGTATGCTGGATGCAGCAGTATATATGTTTTCCTGCGGGGCCTCTTTTATTCGCAAAACACTCTGCACATCTCTTTCTATATCTGCCATGCTACTATCCATTTCAATTGGGTTTGTGAATCTGCTGTCAGAATAGATGTCTCTGTGGGGTGTTTCTTTATATGGTGGATTTGGCATCATAGACTGCGAATAAACATGCTTGTCTGCAGTAAAAGGCATGCTTAGTATAATGCTAGTGTCTGCTGCCGCAGAACCCATGAATCTGTCACTTTCATGTACGGCACTGCCTGTCTCTATCTGTGGTTTAGGCGCGCGCGCTTTTTTCATTACAGCTTCTATTAGCTGCTTTCTCTGCTCAAGAAGCTTGTATACCACAAGCATGCTTTTATCCATGGCCTCACACACGGCATGGCTGAGTTCTGTTATTTTTCTTTCGGCATGCTCATCCGCATACTCTCTCCAGTCACATATCCCTGCACTGTTCACCTTCTCAGGCGATAGAGTATTGCTACCGCCCATGTCATTTCTTTCAGAGCGGTCTTTTGCTTGCATTTGGTAGATTTCCCGTGCGTTTCTAGCACTTTCATTTTCAAATGTGTTTTCGGTTGTCAAATCGTGCGTTTGTTGCACAGTGCTCTCTTCTAAAACAGTGCTTGCCTGCATGGAGTCTTGCACCCCGATGCATTCGATATTGCCGCTGCTAGAATCATCGTCTATGCAGTTGTTGAGGTTGCTCAGCGTATACTGCAGCATGTGATCGGTTCCTTTCTTGGGCTCTGGCATTATAAAAATAATTTGGAGAAAACAAACTCTTGATATTGTATTAATACCATGCACACGCACAGTGCAGACAGATCACAAACAAAGCAGGCCAAACAAGCTCCTAGAATAATTTATTCAATATCCCTATGCAACTAATTGAAAGTGATCTACCGTATGCCTCGGTCTGCATGCATTACACTAAAGAACAGCAACAAACCAGATATGTTATTTTCAGCCGGGATAAACAGACTTGCTGCATGCTGCACACAAACTCGCCGATAGCCCCGAGTTCTTTATGCGTCGTGCCTTTTTGTTTGTACTTTTTTTAGCCGGAAAAACTCTTCTCTGTCCTGCTCATCCAGCTCAGACTGAATGTACAAAATTGTGTTTTCCAGCTTTGGGATAAGCACATGCTCCAGTGCATTGACCCTTCTGTTTGTGGCCTGCACCATTTGGTCTATCATATCAAACGACACCTGCAGACTGGCCATCTCCACCATCAAGGACAAACACCGGATGAATTGCGCGCGTGTGTCGCTGATAAGCTTTCCAGAGGTTCCCATAAATACCATTGGCATTATTGTCTCTGGTATTCTGTAAGTGGGAATAATAAGCCCAGCCAGGCCCTCTAGATCGATCTGAACAGAAAGAGGTGCTGACTTAGCCTGCTGCTGTGCCAGCCGCATGTCCCCGCCATAGAACTCGGTGCGCGAGAGGAAAAAGTATGCATTTTCTATTTCTTTCTCCAGCTCGCATTTCTTCTGCAGGAGCTTTGCAGCCACCTCTCGGTGCTTCATCTGCAGCGCGTCTCCTCTTCGCTTAATAAGGCTCTTCCCCTTCTCAGCCCCCTGTACACGTCCTTGGAGCTGTCCCAGTGACATCCGTGTTGGAAAAACAGCAAGTCTTTGTTCGCCTGCGCCCATAACAATTTTTATTTTTTGTATAGTTTAAACACAAAAGAAACAGACTGCCCAAATTGAAGAAAAATACAGAACAAAACTCCTTATTTTCCACACAAATACCTACACACATCCACACACAGACACAGTACCATTTAGCCATGCAGCTGCAGTGCGCAAGAAACGCATAATTGCGTGCGCACACGCTTCAGTATGACAGATGAACTATAAAATTGAATAGTCTGCATATACTGCAAGGAAAGCACTGCCCAAACTCAAGTAGTTTAGCTAGCTTTCTTTGCAAAGAAAAATAACCATAGATGTTTTATTTATTATCAAAGATAGAGCCTTTTATCGCACAGGTCAAGCTTTATGCTGTCTCTTCCATATGCTTTTCATATGCTTCTTTAATATTATGACTGGCTAAAGTGTCATAGGATGCAACAGAGATAGTATTAGATGTGCTGCTCGATTTGCCTGTCAAATACCAGCTCAGTTTGCCTTTATCCCCTGATGATGAATCCTCCTCTTTCCTATATTGTTTTTTCTCAATGAACTTGTTAACTACGATGAAGTTAGTAAGCGTCTCTGTAAAAATGCTTGGATTGTTCTGGTTGAGTATAAATAAATATCCTACAAAGTATTGGATCTCTGCTTTTGATCTGTTTATAGATAAAACATTTTGCTGGTTAATGCTGGTGAATGTGCTGCGGGTCATAGCATACCGAACTGATCTGAAAAACGTGTATACTTTTCTGTCTAGAGATCCTTTTTCATTATCTCTTATTTTAATGAAGTTTTCTTCCATTGCCTTTAGTATACAGATTGACAGATCGCCAATCTTGTCTATGTCAATAAAGTAAATGCAGTTTTTCTCCTCTTCTTCAGAGACCTTCTTTTCTAATGCCTGGGCAGACACAGCTTCATTTTTCTTTGTTGCTCCTTCAATGGCAAGGGTGCTTGAGTCAAGCGGCATTTTCTGAAATAGCATCTTCATGATAACTTTTCTCTTTTCTTTTTTATCATCTTTTGCTAAATCGTACTCAACAAACCATCTCTCAATAGTTGCAACGGGGGTGTTCTTTAGCTCTGTTTTAGTTTCATCGCATAGGTCTACAACATTTTTTTTGCTGCTGGTTTTCACAGGCTTAAGCACTAGCGGTCCATTAGTAGAAAAATTCGCAATTTCTTGAGATGCAGTGGCAGGAGACTTTTCAGAGTTGGGTGCTTTTTCTATTGGGGTGGTAACAGTGTGCTCAGTATCAATTAATAAAAGCATTTCATCAAATATGCGGATTAGCTCATTAACAGTCTCCTCAAGGCTTTTTTTGTATGCATCTACTATTGCGTTCTTTTCTCCAGCCTTGTCTTTGCTTTTCAAATTCTTTTCTAGAGTTGATCTCACAGTTCGCTCTATATCCATTAAGCTTTTCTTGTCTTTTACCATCTTCTTAATGCTTTCAACATCTATCACTACAGACACCACTTTGTTTGTCATATCAATTTCAGAAACAATGCAGTTTCCCAAGGGCGCTTGAATCCGAGTCAAAAAAAGCATTGTGTTTGCAATAAATCTGAGGAAGGACTTGCTTTTTTTGCTTATGTTTATGTCAGCATAGTTTTTCTTAGTGCTAAAATAAGTCAGTGCTTTTTCTAGTTCTGTCTCACTCTGCGCAGGCCTGTCAACCAAATCCAAGTTCTTGTAGAGCTGATTAATTCTGACTAAGTAGAGCATTGTCTCCTTCCTGCCAATAACTATATCTTTGTTTCTTCTTTTAGTTAAATCACTTTCAGTGTTTTTTTCTTCAGAGACACTGCTGTTTTTAGCTGCTTTGTTTAGCAAATCTATTCTACTCTTAATTCCCTCTGCTACCTTGGGGGTTTTAATTTCTGTTTCCGGTGGAGAATTGCTTTTAGAAGATAGATTTTTGTTTATGTACTGCAATGATTGGCAGCTCGGATACGTGAACTCATACAGGCTGTTCTCTGGATCCAGACTTAAAGAGAATATTTTCTTGCATGCAGCCTCTGAAAGTTTTTCTTGTTCTGTCCCTTTCTTAAGCTTTTCTGGTTCTTGCAGGTTTTTGGTTTCTTTAATTGCTTTGGCTAGAATACTGGATGGTTTTTCTGTAGAAGCTTTTAAGCTCTGCCTTTTTTTAATTGTAAAAATAATCCCAACAACTAGAGCACACAAGAGAGAGCTTACTATTATTGATAGCACAATTATTCTTTTCTTGTTCATTTACTTCTTGAATTCTTCTCCATTATATAGATAATTTTTGGCTTTTGATGTCAAATAAAATCTTTTATGCCCCAAACCAATAAATCTTTTATCTCTGCTTTTTCTGCAATAAAAAGATGATCTACCAATAATTATCTGAGAAGAGGGGGTATTTTAAACTTTTTCATGGAAATTACCCCCAGCTCCTATCTAATAAATGATTTATTTCTCCATGCGCATGGACCAATTATTCTCTTCCTCTACTATCCTGCATGCAGAAAAGATTCGGATTATATTTGGGTTATATGTATTAATATAAGAAAGCGCAGAAAAATAGCCACACACTATGCGCAATAGAGCCCTTTCTTCTCTGCAAGTTGTTTATACCTGTTGTATACTCTGTGTGGCATTGGACAAAATATGTGTTACTTGGCAGCAATAACAACAAAATAGTAATGTTTGTTGGCATAACCTGTCATAAATTAATTGGTGTGTTTTTTAAATAGAACATTAAAGTTAAACTAAAGGCCTGGCTATTTAAAGGGGCTAGGCTTTCAAATAAATATTAAAATTTAACACCAACATCTTTAAGATATCAAGTATATTTACAGTAGATTTGTCCACTTACTGTGAATAATTTTTCTATTTATAATTACATTGCAGCTTAGTTGTCATATAGAAGGTGCCTTTGGTTTATTAAATTGTCAAATGCTTAGCACAAGTTAACAAAGAAACAAAAGCCTTTATAAACTATAAAGACAGTGAATTAAGGCTCTACTTAAGAGCAGCAGATGCTATTCTATACCCCATCCCGCTACGGGAAAACACAAATATTCCAGACAGTTTTGCTTTTCATATTTATTTTGGAATACTAGTGCGAGTTCTACTCTTCTGCAGGACAGCGAGTTTCTTTGTCAATAGAAATAAGCATACTCCAATGCTGCCTGATTTAAAGAATCTAAAATGTGTTCAGTACTCTGTTCTCTTTACCATTAATGGGCACATACTCTGAATACGCCCGAATTCTATAGGATATTTGGGGCTTAGTTGTCTTCTAGATGCGAAAGAATTGAACGGGATCCAATCCCTAGGTCCTGTCCAGGAGGACACTCTTTGCAGTCAATCTCTTCAAAGTATCCCTTTAAGTCCTCCACAGACTGCACAAATCGAGATATTTCTCCGTCCACCTCCTGCTGCTCAGATATTTTGTGCAAAATGCCAGACAGCTCTTCTACTATATTATGAAGAGACCTCAGCGCAGTCTTTTTGGGCACAGTCATATGCTATATAAAACTATTTTGTATTTATGCTAATTTTTGCAGCAGTTGCACATGGTGTAATTTTATTGAAAAGACTTTCTATCCTGGCGCACATAGATATATAGGGGATAGAATAAAAAACTCCATAGCACACAGCATTTTTAAGGTCGCTTAATATATACTTTACTTTTCGTCTATTTTTCATAATAGACTAGAATTTGAGGCATAGGAAGAATCTTTTTGAAGAGGCTATTTAATTAACCTCGCATATTAGCTTCTAAATAAGTCTACTTAGATAAACAGACATAATATACTTTGGCTATGTATTTTCTAGATCTATTTAACCCGAAAGCACTTCAAAATGCATGTGTAAATTCAGTTAGTTGGATGCAATTATATTTCTGCAATAAACATATAATGAAACTTCTTTATTTGTATTATAACGTATTGACTTTAACAGGCGCAACATATTTGATTGTTTCATGCATTACGTAGAAAAGTAAAGTGATTAAAGTAGTTGAGAAACAACAGAAACATACTATGAAGGTGCTTCTATCAACCTTTTTGAAGTTTTCCGAACTATACTCCTCTTCCTCTATTTCTTCTCTAAGGTCCCTATCATATTTAACAAATGCCCAAGTTGTAAGAGCAAATATTACTATCCAGTATAAGCTTACCTCTAACTCTTGCACATTTAATGTAAGGGGACCTAATAAGCCAGACCCAACCACCACAGTAGTGTATAATACAATCACTGCAGCGCAGATAGCACTGCCTTTGGCTTTTCTATTCCATATATCCTTAGCAGTTGTTAATAAAATATTAGTAGTATTTTTGACTAAAAAAATCCCAATTAATCCGATTAAACCCGCATTAACTTTAAATAAATTGAATGCTGCTGTATTTTTAAGATATTTTATAACCAGCCCAAATCCCATAGTCGTAGAGTATATTGATAGTCTTAGTAGAATAGCAGTAACTATCAAAAACGGCACAGTATGGGCTATTATAAGAGGTTTTGTTGAGGGCTCTGTTCTTATCCATGCAGGTGCACCATTTGAAGCATCCACATGAGTATGCCTTAGTGGCTGCGAGTTTTCTTCAACAATTGGCTCTTGCATAGGCTTGTTCTCAATATATTCATAGGAATTTTCCATACGTGAGAGACCTACTGCACTCATTGTCTCAGTAGCTGCCTTCACACATACTTCCTCAATATCATCAAATGCGCTGCATATTCCGTTTGCCGTGTCTTTTAATACATTCATGGTTTTACTCAACACAGATCCATTGCCAAACTGTTGTGTGTTTTCCTGGAGTATTGTGCTTTCATAGACCACATGGTGCATGCGTCTTGACCAAAATAATGAAATCAGCCTGCCTAAAGATGAAAAAATCTTTCTCTTTGACCCAATACCGTAGTTATTTACTATACTCTTCTGCTCTCTACTGAATGGCTGCACACGGCTTTCTGCTTGATAAGAATAAATCTTATACAGTTCGCCTCCGCCCAGACACTGAATAATATTTGTAGAAAACTCTATCTGTTTTGCCTTCTTGATAATATCACCGTTATTTTTGATAAGATTTATCAAGTTGTGGTATATCTTAAGAAGATACTCTGTTTTACTTTGTATCCCATGTATCTTCGCATGTGCTTTTAACACATCAGCTTCTTTTCGTTTTATGTGTTGGCTTATATACTTGTCTAGCTTCTTGTTGAATTCTTTCAAAGTATTCTCATCCCTTCCATTCAAATTGTATACTAAGTTCTCTAGTTTTTCACTGTAGAAAAGTTTTCTTACCGTCTCCTCCGCCTTCACAATGTCATCCCAATTTTGCAAAATAGTCTTCAAATCACTTATTAATGCGATAACTAGAGCACGTGTATTATGCTGGGCTTTTTCCATCTCCATTGCAAACTTACTCTCTATACTTCGCAGTATATCCTCAATATTAACTGCATCTGGGTTGTGCATGAATATTTTATCAACTGGCTGTACTTTTATATCTTTCTCGTCCAGTCTAATCACATTACATATCCGATGATAGTATTTCTCCACAACGCTTTTCATATAGTGGTGCATGTTTGAATTTTTGTCTTTTATCATATTGCTTTCATTGATTATCATTCTATATGCTTGGTGCAGAGCCTTTGTATAGTTTCTCTCCTGGGTTGTCATCCGTAATGAATTACCTTTGGTTTGCGCGTCTTTATAGTCTCTGTCAACTATTAGATCTATTGCAAATTCTATTTTTATCCAGTGTGCTATAGTTCTGCCAACTTCTTTCAGGAAGAGGTCTAATCTTTCTTCCTTAGACTTGTCTTCCATCTTTATATTGTTCAACTGGCAGTTTTTGCTCTTTAGCATACCCACAATATGAATAAGGTCATCATTTTGCTCCTTTATCCAGTTTGTAGCCAAGAAGTGTGCTACTTTTCTTTTTCTTGCTTCTTCTGAGAAATTCATAGTGATCAGCTCCTTCCAGACTTCTGTGTTCATAAGCATTTTGTCGGTTGCATCCGAAATCTTTCTCTGCAAGTCATTTGCACTTGCAAAGATCGTTAGAAGATCATTTTTGAGATCTCTCTGCTCTTGGGTTAGTTCCCGCGGAAATTCTATTGTTACTGTCATTCGAGGGATATTAGACTGTGCTGCTATCATATTATTTTCATTATTATCAATTAAATCCATGGGTAAATTAATTTTTTCTCAATTTATACCCTTGGCAGTTATAAAGAAAAAGGTTAAATTGCTCACAGTTGCATATTTATTAATGTGAATAAAATAAATAACTTTTATTCGGGTTATATCAGGTTATATCCAATTTGTATCTTTAGATATTCTGATTGCATCTTTAGACAGCAGGATTGTATTATTCTAGCTGTAAAAGAGTATCTATAGGTATGTGATAAAATTTAGATTATTTGTATGCTAAAAGGAACAGAAAATTTCTGTGTGAGAATATAAATAATAGTCTAGAATAGAGAGTGTAGTTGTCCAGGGAGTTTTATTATCATATTTTTTCGGTTGGTGACTTTGACCTTTTGTGTACTTGATGGATGTATTTCTTCCTTCTGACATCTTCCGCCTTTTCTTGTATTGTATTGTTCTTACTATTTTATAGTCAGTCTCTGATATACGAGGAATGTCACAGAATTAATGAAAGTGGGATTTTTACCACAATTTTATTGTGAAGATGTGCAGTTCCTGGTGCCATTTTAATAAGTGCTTCTTGTTCTTAACTTTTTTATTGTTTTAGAACATTCTGCCTTTTTATGCTTCTTCCGATTATTTCATACTTGTCTGCACTAAAACTCTTCTATCCAGAGCAGAAAAGTGCGAATTTTATTTTACTGCAGCTACACACGTAAACCACTCACTAACCACACTTTACACAGAAAGTATTCGGACTATGCTCTGCTAGTATAAATGTAAAGTGTTTACATTCTTATAATTACGTAATGAATAAGCACTAACACTAGTCTACTACTGAAAATATCACTCGTTCATGATACCCATGTACTTCTCTTGGACGCACTGAATTTGCACCATTCTCTGATGATATAACCCAAATACCCAGAACTAGCTATATTTCACTTGAATTACATGTTTTGTCTCTTATACACCCGAATTAGCATAAAATACACTGCTTAAATTTTCTTTTGCTCTCTTTCTTATTAGTGCAAATATTTTACAGCTTCAATTTAAGCTGCAATTGCATACACTGCAATATGGCACCTACTTCTTCCTGCATACATACACTACAACTGTTATAATGGCAAATTCATAAGGATTTAACCATAATTTAACCCGAAATTATTTTCTAAGTGAATTTCTAATTTGATTTATATTCAGTCTTAAGAGTCGTGCAAAAGAATGTAAATACAAAGGCATACGTACTGTTGCGTGCTAAATACACGAATATGCTAGCACACTGCAGCTATGTGCTGCATTTCTGGCTGTACTTGGTGGTTTCTATTTTTAGCAAAACTATAGAATTATTTTTATTTTTAGACCCCAGCATGGCAGGAGAGTTAAAACCAGAAGCACAGCAAAATGGGACACAGAAAACCGACAGACAGGAGAAAGGACAGAAGCCATCAATGAGAAAGCCAAGAGAAGAAAAGAAATGGATTCCAAAGACAAATATAGGAAAGCTTGTCCAGATGGGAAAGATGTCACTAAACGACATCTACACCAACAGTTTAAAGATCCAGGAGGCAGAAATTGTGGACTTCCTAGTTGGATCCAAACTGAAGGACGAGGTGCTCTGCATCAAATCCATCCAGAAACAGACAAAGGCTGGACAGAGAACTAGAATCAAGGCTGTTGTCATTGTTGGTGACGGTGAAGGAAGCATCGGACTTGGAGTAAAGTCTGCAAAGGAAGCAAGAGATGCCATAAACAAGGCAACTGAAGATGCAAAGTGCAACATGCAGCCAATTGACTTTGGATGGTGGGACAGAAAGATTGGAGCACCTCACACTGTGAAGGTAAGAGGATCTGGAAAGTGCGGTAGTGTGAACATCACTCTTATCCCAGCACCAAAGGGAACAGGAATCATTGCAGCCACTCTTCCAAAGAAGATTTTCCAGATGGCAGGAATCAAGGATGTCTTTACTGCTTCATCCGGACGTACATCCGCAAGTGAGAACTTTGCAAAGGCCACTGTAGCTGCATTACAGAAGTGCAACACCTTCTACTCACCAGAGAGCTGGGAGACCCCAGAGGCAATCCCATCCCCCCTACAGGTATACTCTGATCTTATTTCGAACTTCAACAAAAAACTAGCCATATAATACAGCAGCACTAGCTCATAAAGAATAAAGCCTAGTTTATATCACTTTGCTTCCAGTACTTTCCTTTCTATTTATGCAGTCTCTTTCTGTCTTTTCGCACAGATTATTGGGACTTTCTTGAGTGCGCAACAATCCATTATTTACACTGCATAGCTTAAACCACTCCATACATTAGTGTGCAACTGTGTTTTATGGACTCTGGTTATTCAAATTCCTTTTAACTCTTTTTATTTCATACTGTCTGAGTGTTTGCAAAGTCTTTGACTCTAGTTACTCCCACATGAAATACTCTGTGCCAAGAAGACACCAAATCTTCAATATAACTAGATATAATGCAAGGATACTTCTATATCACTCTTATAGTTGAAATAAACTCATTTTTATAGAGAAACTGGCTAGTACACTAGTTTTCTCTTTTTTGTCTCTTTTCTCTGGTCATCCGGCTACAGTGTATTTTTGTATAAAAATATCCCCTTCTTGCATACCCCTATTTCACTTCATAAAGAGACTAACAGCCCCTGAATAAATGACCAAATCAAGATATAACTCGATATAACCCGAATATTCTCTTCAATTTAACCCGACATTTGAATATAACTCGAATACACATTTAACACTTCCATAAGTACATGCTTTAATCGAGTCTACCCTCCTTTCTATCACACTAAAATATAACCCGATATAACCCGAATAATACGCACATTCCTTCATATGATATTCTCTTGCTTCTTTTGGTTTAACTTCTCTATTTATAGAAGCTTCTTTTGATCTCTAAATTTTCAAACTCTTCAGCATGCACAGAATAAATTAATTTTCGAAAGGGTTCAGATCGCACGAAATAAGACATAAATATACGCAAAAGTACTAAAATATTTTTGCATTCATAGGAATATCCAAGTAAAAATAAAACAATACTATATACTTAGTGAAGTGCTGAAAAAAGTGTAATATTTCAGCCAAGAGATAGTAGTCTAAAACCCAATATAACCCGAATTGTCAAGAGAGGTTTATTGCTATCACTTAGTCAAATGTTCTTGGAGACTGTGATTTTTTTGTCTTTTTGTTGAATATGTTTATTACTGTTGGTGATATACTGCTTCCATTAAGGTTTACATACAATTTAGTATGGTAGGCTTCTGATATACGAAGAATCTTCCAGAAATATTATTCATATTCTCTTGTGACCCTATAATAATAGTGTGAGATTTTACTGCAATTAGCATATTCTTGCAGACTATTACTAAGCTATTATTCTTTATATGTAACAAGAATATAAGTCCTTCAGAGGAACATCAAGATATTAGTATCAGTGAAGCATAAGCACTCAATAAATATACTTTAATTTAACCCGAATAACCCGAAATCACATAATTAAGACATCAGTTAATTGCAGTACTGTGGCAAAATAACCCAAAGATGAATAAACTAGTTAATTTAAGCTATATAATTATGAGAAAGTATTAACAAAAGTGGTATATAATAACACTAAAATAGCTCACTAGAGAAAAAGACTGCAAGTTGCAGTACAAAAGTACTTAGCTTCAAGTTATATAGAAATATCCAACAGAATAGCCTAAATTACCAGATAGCAGTGAAATAAACAATATAAAAGTAAATAGACAGTGCATGAAGTAAGACTTAATATTGTAGAAGTCCATTTATCCAAGTTTTATTATCTGGTGCACTGTAGTCTAACCATGCAATTTTATACAGAAATTTACCTTAATATATAGGCACGTATAAATAGAAAGTTGCATTCAGTAGAAATGAAGTTCAAAAGAAAGAAGCAAATGGAAGAAGACATTCCCCAGGGATATGACTTGGCTACAAAAAACACAGAACTAAAGGAAGAGATAAAAGGCCTAAAAGAGAAGCAAAACACCCTTCTTAGAGAGTCCTTAAAGCACCAGTACTTACGGTACAGAATGCAGTCAGACTCAGAAAGAATCCTGGAGGAACAAAAAGTACTTCTCCTACAGATTTTACAGAAGATAGAGCAGGGCCTGGCTGCCCTAAAGGAAGAAGATGCAAAGCCTGCAAATAAAAAGGCAAGGCAGCCTCTGAAGGAAAATCCAAAACAAAAGAATACACTGTATACAGAATAATTTTATTTGGATATGGAGTGGGAGCAAGCAGTGAAAAGAATTACAGAAAAAGCAAACAACATTGAAAGCGCTCTTTCCCACAGCACCCGCATTGAAACACTTGAGGACCTTCTTTCAGACCTTAAGCAAGAGATGGAGGCGCAGAAAGATGTAATTCAAAGGTCTGCAGACGGGGTGCGCATACTTTCCCAGCTAGGGGCAAGAGTGCAGGCACTAAGCAGGCGCATAAACATACTAAAAATGGCGTACAGCTCAGATAGCACAAGAGAGAAGCACAGGCTACCTGAAACAGACTGCCATCTCACCAGAAACACAGACAAACTCAATAAGTACATAAAAATAGCCTCGCACTCTCTTAGCTCAATAGAGAAGCAAAGGGGCATACTAAAAGGCAGCAGACAGAAGTTAGAGGAAGGTCTGCAGTACTTAGGGGTATCAGATAGGGTTATAGACCAAATATCCAACAGATACATCACAGACTACAGACTGTTCAAAGCACTCACTGCGATCTTCATTCTTTGCTTCATATACATATTCTTCTTAAGAAGCTAGTTGCAAGAGACAGAAAAAAGAGCTTTCTAAAGATAGAGTGAAAAGAGGCTTAAATTAAACATAAAATGGAAATAGAATAATAAGCAGGGATTATTGCATGCAAGGGGATATATAGCCAGATAACCCGAAATCTTCCTATATCCCAGATATATCCTAATCTAATCAATTTTATTTACCCTGTGACCATATTTCTTTGCAAGTTTTATAAAGATCTGAATAAATAAAGCTAAGGAAAGTAAGTATTTATTTACTGTAGGGGCACTTTGCACTGTGGTGTGTGGGTAGATATTTTGTGTGCTGTATGCCTGTGCAGTGATTCCTTCAAATTCTTCCCTGTGGCTCAAACCATTTGCAGACTCTGGACATGGTTCTTTCAAAAAAAGACATCTTCTTCGGAAAATTCTTTAGGTCGTATAAGACTTTGTTTCTGTATTGGCAGGGTTCAAGGGGCATCGTCTGCATTATTTTCTTGTATGCCTCTCCGATTTTACTTGTGTCAATGTATAATTCTTGCTTGAGTTGCTTGTTTTTCTCGTCTCTGTTCATGAATTTTCCTATCTTTCATATGTTTATATAGTCGGAATAATCTATATCAGTCCCAGGAATTATTGAAATTCTGCACAAATTCCAGCACAAAGACAGAAGTACCCCCAGAATCTTCCACTTTCCCAGATACTCAGATCATTTCACCTGCAGTAATTCCGCATATACCCTGTAATACTCCAAGTACATGCAGGATTTTCTTGCATGCAGCAGAAAAGAGTAGTTTGACCAGAATATATTTAGTAGCCAGATACAAAGCACAAGATAAGATAAAATATTAACGTAAAATATAAAGATAGTGCATCTATATTTATTAAGTGCGGTAAAAACTCCACTTTCATTAAACCCTCTGACCAAAGTACATCAATGAGAAATGCAACTTCTAGAAGATTCCTCGTATATCAGAGACTGACTATATAATAGGAAGATAGTAAGAACAGTACAATACAAGAAAAGGCGGAACATGTCAGAAAGAAGAAATACATCCATCAAGTATGCAACAGGTCACAGTCACCAATCGTAGAATTACGATAATAAACCTTCCTTGACAACTACCCCCATTAGAGTATAAAATACTACTATCTCCAGACTAGCTTGTCACTCCCCTTTGGGCACGTTATTAAGGTTATCAGGTTATTCCTTCAAGATAATTCTGGGTGCTATTTTCATTGCGATTAGTTCTTGGAAAAGCAGCTTGCACGCGTATGGCATCTGTATCTTCTGCACTACTGCAGCACTACAGCCAGGGCACCCATTCGGGCTGATAATTAATTTACACTCACTGCACACATGCGCCATAAATTTATCTGAGGAGATGACAAGTCTTTCAATAAGAATCTCAGAGGCCCCGTACCCAATAAGACAGTCCCTCTCCATTTCCCCAAGCCTAAATCCACCATCCCTGCACCTTCCTTCTGTTGGCTGCCTAGTCAGAACTGCCCTGGGTCCTCGTGCCCTGGCGTGCATCTTGTCTGTCACCATGTGCTTCAGTCTCTGGTAGAAGACAGGGCCGAAAAATATTCGCACGGGAATCTGCTCCCCAGATGTACCGCAGACCAAGGTCTCCTTCCCTGTCTCACTGTACCCTAAGGAGACAAGTTCATCAGCAATTGACTGCGCTGTAACTCCCCCAAAGGCCGTGGCTGCATATTGCGTTAATTTCTTTGATCCATTTGAGATGCACTTCCCAGTGACTAGCTCCAGGATTTTACCGACTGTCATTCTGGATGGAAATCCGTGAGGATTCATGACTAAGTCAGGGGACATCCCTAGCTCATTAAAGGGCATATCTTCCTGTGGTAGGATTAGACCAACTACTCCCTTCTGTCCGTGCCTACTGCTGAACTTGTCCCCAATCCTGGGAATTCTGTGCTCCTTCAAGACAGTTTTAATTGTAATTAAGTCATCTCCTGTCCGCATAATTGCCGTTTTATCAACGGATGCACCATCCAGGCCCCTGTACACTGCGCCTGCCTTGCTACCCATGGGTGTCCTTCTGTCAATGAACGTAGTCCCTTCCTGGACCTTCATCCCAGGGGGTGGAATTCCCTCCCCTACGATTGTGTCAGCAGATCCCCCTGGGTACGTGCGCAAAGAGAGGGCGTGCGTCTTAAATAAAAGGGCCCTTCCAATTCCCCTGTCAATCGATGCCTTATTCAGGACCAGTGCGTCTTCAATGTCGTACCCTGACATACTCATCACAGCAATTGTCAGGTTCTGTCCTGCCGGCAGGTCGTTGTACTTGATGATTTCCATGCCTCGTGTGGCAGCAAGTGGTCTCTGCGGGTTGACCATGAAGAAGTTTGCTCCGTCCATTCTTCTTCTTTGGTCTACGCCTGTGACCCCTACACCTTGCTTCCCCATGGCGCACTGATACGTATTTCTTGGTGACTGATTATGATGTGGATACGGTATTACGCCTGCAACGTACCCCAGGATGGCAGCTGGATCTATCTCCAAGTGTGTGGTTTTATCTGTTATCTCTGTGCTCCATACGGCAATCAGCGAGTTCTTTGCTTCATTCTGGTCTATATATTCAATTAGTCCTTCATTCAACAGGTCATTCACTGTCTTGTACCCTTCCCTTAGCAGGCGTATGTGATTTCTTGTGAGCCTAGGGAGGCTGTTCTCTACGATAATTAGGGGACGAGTGAGTCTGCCTGTTTCCGTTGAGATATAAAGGTCTTTATTCACCCACACTCCTACTGTGCTGGGTATTCTGCCACTTCTTCTGACATTTCTGAGTTCTCGTGCCATTCTCTCTGGGTCACTGCATGTTCCGATTATGACTCCGTTTACCCAGCACTTGCTTGCACCCTCTAAGTCACCAGGTGAGATAGCCGAGATATCTTCAACCCCCAAGAAGGACAGGGCAGAAATAACTCCACTTTCGTCTTCATTTGGGGTTATTTCAGTGAGCATGGCAAGACTCTTTACAAGACCACAGGCTTCTCCCTCTGGTGTATCAGCAGGACAGAAGACACCCCACTGCGAGCAGTGCAGGGCACGTGGCCCAGAGACCTTTCTTGTTTTCTCAAACTGAGAGGAGACTCTGGAGCACATTCCAATTGCTGAGAGTCTACTGAGTCTAGTGAGAACCTGTGTGATTCCTGCCCTTTCCATGCGAAATCTCTTAAGAGACCATGATCCAGTGGAAATAGCCCTTAATAAGCCTGTTGTAATTAGACCCCTATTCATCACCAGGAAGTGCAGGGCATCCATCTCCTGTGCTCTGGCTCTTTTGCAGAGTACTCTGTCAAGTGCTTTTTTAATTTCTGTGTTAAGCCTCTTCAGAAGATCTTCAAAGAGCAAGGAAAGCATTTGCCCTGTGAGTTCTATCCTTTTATTTCCTACAAAGTCCTTATCATTCTGTAATGAATCTACATTTCCATCTGCTGTGTCTATGAGCATTCTTGCCATAACTGACAAATATTCTGCTTTTCTTCTCATATCTGTGCCTATCCCTGGGATGTGTGCCAGGATTATATCACAAAGGAATAAGCGTGCTTCTTCAATTCCACCTGCCCTTGTCTTTATTCTGCTGCCAATCCATGCAAGTGCTTCTAGTTCTGTCCTTATGTGTACTATGCTTGGGGTAGGCTGGCCAATAAGAATATCTATCTCTAGGTCTGTTGTGATACCCATGCCCTTCATGACTATATTCAAGGGTACATCTTCAGTCAGTGAGTTATGTGCTAGATATAATAGCTTCTTCTTCATGACTACTTTTGTCTTACTTTTTCTCTCCAATGAAGAACTTGTGACTACAGCGCACAGATCCCCTCTGAAGTCATTTTCAATTAAGATTCTGTTCTTTGCTAATTGCTCCTGCATTAAAAGCACTCTCTCTACGCCCTTGCATATAAAGTACCCACCAATATCGTATGGACATTCATTCTTTGGTCTTGTGTACTTCGGGTTATTAATTTGTCTTATATTACTGCTTATTACTCCTATGTTACTCTCCATGAAATCTTTCTGCTGCAAGGATAATCTACTACCCAGCATAATTGGCATTTTCCCTACAACCACATTTCTTGATGAAATTATGTCTTTCCCTCTGGTGTATTCTACGTCTACTACTATGTCCCCGGAATATGTCATATTTCTGATCCTGCATTCCTCTGGGGTAATGTATCTTTTTACCATGTTCTCTTCTACTGAAGGTGGCTCTACCCTGATATCTGTGTATTTCATGTAAAATGCAGAGTCTACATCTGAATCTATGAAATTATTTGTGCGCAGAACGGTTTTTATTTCTCGTTCTACAAAATGGTTAAATGATTCTATGTGGTGCCTATTAAGTCCCTTCTCACTAAGGAATCTTTCAGTGAATAGATTGTACTGTGTGCTTTGTGGTGTATACGGCAGGCCTGCTTGTTCACTCCCATGTGCACTCATAATTTTTTGAAAGAAAAGAAAATTTATCCCATTTGGCAACTGCACAGCCGCCTTCTTCTCACGCACGCACAGAGGGAAATGTCTTAGTAACAAAAGGATAGAAATAATTCGGGTTATATCGGATTATTGTTAGATATCATGTGGGTATCAGATTATTGTTAGATATAACGAGGATATTAGAGAATAAGAATATATTAAATATATATGTTGTCTGTTGGATATAAGTGGTTAATAAGTGGTTTATAGATAAGAATATTCGTTAAATATACTTGTTAAATATACTGATTGAATAAAAATGTTCGTTAATAAATACCCATTAATAAAAACCTGTTAATAATCAAATATCCGTTAATAAATATACTTCAAATATAAATATACTTCAAAACTAAATATACTTCAAATACACCCAAATATAAATGACACTTTATTCTTAACTTCCTTCACTTCCCTTAACTACCCTTCACTGCTATTTCGCCTGTGATTTCTTGATCATATTGATGAAGTCTTCTGGTTTGGCATAGACCTTTCTGTCAAAGTACAGGCCCTGCTCGACTACGTGCAGAAGTACTTCTGTGGGTTCACTTTTATTCCGGACGTATACGAAGGACACGCATCCGGGTGCTGTCTTTGAGATGGACAGGGCGTACTTATCCAGGGCATCTTCTGCCTTTGCATGCAACAGCCGGGTCTTAATCGCATCAACAGGCTCTGTTGTAAATTTCCTGTGGTGCATGACCCTCTTGAATGTCCTCAAATAATTCGGGATATACGTCTCCACTAGACCATCCAAGTCACCAAACACTTTCCCTGCGACTTCGTACCCACTGGGTACCTCCCTGACACGAATATGTGATAGTAAGAATTTCTCAGGTACTTCCGTGATGCGCACTGTGAGTATCAATGAGTCCAAGTGAGTGGCAGATGGGCGCAAGATATAAGACCCAAATGGTCTCTCCCGGAGCATACGCCCAGCTGCCTTTGCTGTGACATTCTTGACCCGCCAGTTGGAATGTGCCCTAAGACCCACCTTCTCCTGCTTCTCCTGGACAATTGCCCTGTACTGCAGCATATCCAGGCCCAGTACTGTTACACTTAGTCTCTGGCCATCTACTACACCCGGGCGCACTTTCCCAGAGAGAACAGCAGATACGCCACTGTCCAGGCGCAAGTGTGTCTCCTGTCTTAGGCCCGTGATAATTCCCTCTGTCTCCATGCCAGGCATAGATATGACTACTCCGCAAGAAAGTGTCCATTTAGTCTGCAGGTACAGCAGGTCTTCCTCTGATATTCTATTGAAGGCCAGGAATGCTTCATCTGGGCTCATATCTGGTAGGCCAACTGGTACGTGTATATTTTCCATCTTATTCACACAGTGCGTGTATACATCCCTGAGCAGAATATTCTCCAAGACGGGTTTTGTCTCTGGACACTTCCATCCAGCCCCTGAGACAGCTGTCTCCTTCACTGCCCTTCTGAGTACATCGCACTCAGCATATCTGTCTACAATTACTGCCTCTGGGTCACCCCCTCCCTTAAGGAATTCCATTACGTCTTTCTTCAGGTGACTGTACTCTGCTGACTGGTGCATCTGTGTCTCTGCCTTCTTGTATGCTACTGCGTACTGCAGGACAGTGATGGGTACATCCTGGGGTAGCATACTCTGCAGGAGGACAAGCCTAGGGACTGGTGCATCAGAGGACAGGAGACTCTCCAGGGCACTAAGTGGATTTCTGATGAGATTGCACATTACAACAGACATATCCTTACTACCACCTACTAAACTCAGTACTTCTTCCTGTATATATACTGTGTACTTTCCTTTTGTATATGGTTTTAGTCTGTACCCGCATCCTGTGAGTGCTACTATGCCCTTATGTTCTGATATATTTATGTCTTCCCTGGGTGTGACTATCCCAGAGGATATTAGTGTGCCTTTACTATTGACTTTAGTGTATCTTGTCTTTCCCTTGTCTATCCATATGCTTAAGATATCTTCTTTACCAGGTTTTATACTGAGTATATTTATGAGTGTCTTGAATAGTTCTATCTTAACGTATTCTTCTGCAAAGGAGATGAGTTCTTTTTCAATTCCTGCTGATATGTCATCAGCTGACTTATCAATGAAGTAAGAGAGTCCTTCTACTATTTCTTCCATCGGTGCAGATCCGTCTAATTTCTGTGATATTCTTCTGACTGTCTCTTCTTTATTCAGGATTATTCTGTAAGATATTCCTCTCTTAGTGAGTTTATTCAGTAGGAACATATCTTCCTGTGAGATTGCACTGGCTAGTATCTTTATATTTTCTATGCCTTGTATTTCCACTGTAGATATTTCCATGCCTATTTCTACTGCTGCCCTGTATATCCATGGGTTATGTAGTAGTCCTCTTTCCCTGGATATTTTCAGTTTTGTTTCCTTCTGTGATGCAGTATGACTAGTTCCTTTATCTTCTGGGTCACTTCTTATCTGTTGGTCATCACTATTTACAGCTGCATATTCTGTATAATACATTGATATATTTGTTATCTTCTGGGTTACATTTGCTGCTATCTCTCTGTCTGCATCTGTGCACTCATTTGACTGCAATCTGTATACGTACCTGACTAATCTAGTGTATTCTTCTGGTGTCTTAAGCATATGTGCACAGGATATGACTGTCTTTATATTCTTATCAAGTACTTTAGGCAGGTGTGCTAGTATTTTATCCTTTTCCCTGTAGAGGGCGACAAGTCTTCTTGCCTCCAGGAGAGTGATGTGGTTATTTCTGCTGTCTAAGCAATGGAATGACTCAGATACTGTGTCTACTAAGCTTATATTATCTACTATATTCCCTACTACTGCTTCAATATTATGCTTTGGGAATGAAGTATTTGTCTCCATAAGTGATTCTGTTACTCTGCTGATTATTTCTTCTCTGTCTATCTTACTGAATACTTCTGGTTTTGGTTGTTTAAATTCCTTATGTCTTTTTTCTTCTTGTTCATTCTTCTTAGTGTAGTATTCCATTGCGTATAAGTAATCTGTTCCATCTCCGAATATTTCTTGTAGGGCACCTGCTGTAGCACTTCCTGTTACTCTCCATTCATTTGCTTGTGGTATATTTTCTGCTGTTTGGTCTGATGAGATTTCTTCAAATAAGTCTTCTATTTCATCTTTGATATCTTTATCTTTCTTATGGACTTTCCTTCTTCTTTCAATTATTTCATCATCACTCTCCTCTTCCCTCTCTCTTTTCATTTAAAAATAGAAAAGAAAATTGAATAAATATGTTATTTATATCTGGTGCATGGGAATATATTGTTACCAGGTAAATAAAATATAGTGAGATATATAGGGGGTTATAGGGAATTGGTGGGATATTGGTAGGGTATTGGTAGTAGAAGCAGGTTAATTGTTGTTAATTATTGTTAATTGTTAGTAAAAACGGTTAATTGTTAGTAAAAACGGTTAATTATTGTTTTTTTGTTGTTAATTATTATTTAAAACGGTTAATTATAGATTATTTATAGGTTAAAAACGGTTAATTGTTGGTAAAAACGGTTATTGTTGTTTTTTTGTTGTTAATTATTATTTAAAACGGTTAATTATTGTTATTTATAGGTTAAATCAGGTTATTGTTGTTTTTTGTTGTTATTAATGGTTTTAAACAGTTATTAATGGTTTTTATTGGGTTATTAATGGGTTATTGACGGTTAATTATATACTAAGCAGAAAATAACTGTCATTACCTTGATATAACTGTATAAAAAACCACTAATTAACAATAAAACTACTAATTAACAATAAAAACTATCAATTAACAACAAAAACAATAAATAACCTGATTTAACGGCATTTAATTATATATTCCGGGTTATATTTACCCTAGTATGCTCACATACAATAGAGTACCTGTTGCCTGTATGACACCTAGTGCAGGAAGCATGCACTTCTCCATGACTGTCTTAATTTCCTTTGACATGTGCCTGAGTGTCTTCATGACGGGCTCTGGGACTTCGTTATAATTCTCTGTACCGTACCCTCTGTACGTCTTGTATGAAAATATTCTCCAACTGGAAATATGCTTTATTATGGAAGTATTCCAGAACCAGGCATTAATTCCCTTTACACTCTTCTCTACCCTTCTGGCAGTTAAGTTCAACTGAATCGCAATCCACATCAGGTGCACAAAAATACCGAATTTAATTAACATAATTTTTATCTTTTTGCAAATTTTTTTTATCAGTTTTTTAAATCTAGGAATATATCTATTTATGCATATATTCCTGATTCTTTTGAAAATCTGCATGATCCCTAGGCTATTTATGACTATTGGCCTGTATTTCCATAGATTAACGGTTTTTTCTTTGTCTTGCAGGTCTTCCAAGAGTGTTTTTATTAGGATATTTTGTTTGTCGTTATAAACTGTTTTTATCATGTGCAAAATCCTTATATATCTTCTGGCTAAAATCACTTTTATATCTGGGGATATATCTGACTGCCTGAATAGACTGTATAATCCGTCTGTATCCATGAATGCGGCTGTTGTGCCTGCTTTCCTGACTAATTCTTGCAGGATTCGGAAACTTTTGAAGGATGGCGTTATTAAAGGGGCTGCCATTGGGCAAAGTATGTTTATGTGCTCATTTGAGAAGCACCTTAGGAATTCACTTTCTATCATAAGGATATCTTCCCAGTGGTCTTTTATTGCAGCCAAAATGGAAATATTCTGGAGTGCCTCTGGGGTCAAATTATCTCCAGGTACTCGTGATTTATCACTTTCAAGGTCCCTACCTAGGAATGAGTAGACCCAGGTCTGCATCTTGCTGCCCCATGGGGCTATTGCATCAATCTCCTTAAGGGATGTCCTCTTATTCATCAATAAATTTATTCCGTATTCCACATATCTCTCACCTGCCCCTGTCTTTTTATTGTAAAGTTCTTGTAATGTGGGTTTTTTCAGGTTTTCCTGACTAATTCCTGCAATAAACTCACATAATCCAGAATAAATCTCACTCTGTACAAAATATTTCTGCAAATTCATACCATTCCTGAAGTATTCTTCCACAAAGAAATAATTCTTTAAATTAATTTCACTCTCCGTGATAATATCCCGCCATATAAATATATTTTCCAACAAAGAAATATATCCTGACTGAATTAGTCTATATATATACTCTACCGTATATAATACCTGACTAACTGTATATTCAGATATATTTAGTAAGGGTATAATATATTTATCACTATATTGCATATAACCCTGCCATATAATTGTATTAATTATATCTAGCCGTATATTATGCAGTGTATTTAAGTGATTTATGGATATATATGTCTTACTGAATATATCTGTGATTATTTTCCATTTATATGTGGATATATTTGAAGGTGCAGTGTAATTATATGAATACTTTGAGATTATGTCTTTGTATAGGAATATATCTAGGTCTATTAGGTCAGTTTGTTCTAGTTCTGTGTAATTAGATGGATCCATATGGGAATAAAATATTTTATATATATTTGTATACTTGTATATGGTGTAAGGGGGGAGTATTGTATTGTTGTGTTTATTACTAATTAGTCATACCCTGTTAGAATTAGTCTATTTATGTTGTATTTGGGACTAACTGTGTTTGGGACTAATTAGTGGGAGTGTGTTGTATTTGTGACTAACTTATATTTATGTTGTAATTAGTCATACCCTGTTAGAATTAGTCTATACTGTTACACTTAGTCATACTCTGTTGCATTTAGTGTATTTGGTATAATTTGGTACATTTAGTATAATTTGGTATATTCCTGTTGTAATATAGACTAAATTCCCGTTGTAATTAGTCTATGGCGTATATACCCCTTGTGTATATCCCACTGTATAGTCCTGTTGTAATTGTGACTAATTTATAATTGGTTTGTTTATATGTCTATATATGGATAAATAAAAAAACACCCAGTACGGGACTCGAACCCGCGGCCCTCAGATTAAGAGTCTGATGCTCTACCGACTGAGCTAACCGGGTACATGTATGTTGATGTAGTGGGGTATCTGAGGGGTGTGCTCTGTGTTAGTCATAACAAGACTTGTTCCACATATGACAAGACTTATTCCACTTAGTACATAATTTATTCCGTGGAATGCAAGACTTATTACACTTAGTGCACAATATATTCTATATAGTGCAAGGCTTTTTCCACTTTATTATAAATTTTACAAGACTTATGCCACATATACAAGACTTATTATTTTTAAATATAAAATGGCAAAACTTAATCCACTATATGTCTATAAATGACAAGACTTTTTCCACTTTATTATAAATTTTACAAGACTTAATCCACATAGTGCAGAACTTAATCCCTTCCTACCACAATATATTCCACTTAGTGCAGAACTTAATCCTCACTATTCCTATATAATTTGGGTTATATAATATAGCATAAAACAAATCTCTTCATTTTATATCAGTTCTCTTATATAAATTTGAATGCTTTTATATTTTTATGAATTTTAATTATATTTTTAGTTTTATATACGGATTAATGCTGACCTCGCTGGAATTATTCCAGCCACTGCAGGGCGTGCACCCGGATGCAGTGAGTACGCATACTAATCTATCAGGAAATAGTCAGATATTCGGAATAAATGAAGATACAAGGTATTTTAGCAGAAAACTCCTTGATAACCCGGCAATCACGCCCGAGATAACCGGAGATAACCTGATTAAAACTCGAATAGCCAGAAGTACTGCAAGAAAACACCATAACCCGCATAAATCCCAATTTAAATATGGCACTGCATATAATATGACACTAAGCCATGTTAAGCCAATTAAGAAGACATTCCATAAGGCGCCCATCATATTCCAAGAATGGCTTTCCTTAACACACTCCACTAACGCGTGTGAGAAATATATTTCAAAACCCGATATAACCCGAGATAACCCGTTTATTGTCTTGGAAGGCGAAATAAACCAGCAGAACACTCCAGGGACCATGAATATATGGAAGAAATACACATCTGATAATATTTCCATAGATATCCCAGAAAACACACAATATCCCTATAAGGGAAACCATGTCCTTGTGAATTCTTATTTTTCGGGCTTGGGTCTAGTGAAAATACCGTTAGATGGGATGGAATATATTATAAGTAAATCAAAAGACCCTTCTACGCACATTCTTACAGTAATGGATAAAGAATCAACAAAAAACACCTTTCCCATGATCACTTCCTTTGTGATTTCAGGTAATTCTGTCTCTGCGCCTGATTATATGGTGTCTAGTGACAAAAATAACCCGTATATAATTGTAGACACATCTAAGACGCAAATATATACGGGCCTATGGGGCTGCTGTAATAAGGTGCATATGACAGCCGTAGACCCAGTGTATGTGCACACTAAGGCTGAAAATCCGAATCTACACCACATAAATACTACCCTAATAGAAAGCACGAATAATTACTTCAACAGTAAGCAGGGCCAAGAAGAACCTAATATATTGGTGCAGAGTACGTTTGAATTAGACCTAAATAAAACGGTTATAATTGAAGAGATAAAAAATAACGGAAAAACAGCAATAATTCATTTTGTTGAAATATTCCCGTCTAAAGATAGAGTTATGATAGGGAGAATAGACTCTTATACGCCTGCTACAAAGGGCATATTGAAAAAGCATGAGAAAAGCCCGATAAATAGAAGGCACAGGGTGAGAAAAGGACATTCTACTGTGACAATATACCAGACCCTTATAAACCGCATGAAAATGACAGGACCAGAGAATGAAGACTTAATTAACAATATACGCATATACATAAATACAATATACACGAATTATAAGCCATCTGATTCTGGCTTTTACCCGGAGATAAATAATTTGCAGGCAGTTAATTTAAAGGGTTTTCGTAGAATCACAAAAAGAAACAGTTTTAAAGCCTTCACTTACGAATTTTTGCATTCAATCAAAGAATACTCTTTTCTTTTGGATATTTATAATAATATGAATAATAATAATAATCCATTTAGGAAAAACCAGTTAAACTCGAAAACGCATGACAGAGAGCATCTGAAGGTGCTGCAAGGAATTCTATCATCGTCTAAGGGTCTTAAGCCCATAAAAAAGATCTCATCGAATAAGATCCCGGGAAAGCAGAGATTCCCAGAAATAATTCACGACACGGAATTCTTTACGCAATATTGTGATGGCCTATCAGAGATAGAGGGTTATGACACAATAGGCTTCAAGAATGCATCACTCCCAATGCATGCGGATAAGATGTTCTTCTACCTTTCTGATGGAAGCACATTAAATAATCATAAATTAATTGAAGACTGGTACAAGGTCATGACCTATGATGTGTACCCAGACAATAATGATTTATATAGTGACAGCCATACTACAGATGTACTAGGTACTAAAAATAACGAAACAAAATCAAAACCCGTTATAACCCGATCTAAACCTGAATCAGACTACAGAAAAAATAACCAGAAGTACACAAATCTGCTAAGTGTCCATGCAAGCTACAAGCTTAGCTCCATTGTGAATAAAATGCGCACCTTGGAGAACCTTGACTTAGCACACACTTTAATTAAGTCGCACAAGATTGGCTCCAAAATATTCTCAAAACTCATGAAGCCCTACATTGTAAACGTACTTTCCTTCTACCAGATGTCCATGAACCTAAAATACGACAGTTTCAGGCAGTTCGTCACACCAATCACTGAAACCCTCCAGGAATACGACTTTAATGAGCTGACCGTTTTATTAACGGACAAATTAAAGGATTTTAGTCTATATCAAGCTAGACCAGACCTTAGTGCGCCCAAACCTCAAAATACCCAGAAGAAGATCGCAAAAACCCGAGATAACCCGAAGGGAAAGAGTGCCGCCATAATCCTCCATAAAATGGTCACAATCATACATAAAACCATTGGGGTAATGGACTTGTTCTCATCGCACTATTTAAAGTACCTGTCTGCTGTGGCAAACCAAGTCATAGACCCAAACTACAACATAGAAATGCAAAAACTAGAGAACATGAAGGCATCACTAAGAAATGACAACCTAATCACATATTTATTAGTAGCAAATAATATGGACATAAACCACAACCTAAAAATAGTCCTAACTGAAACACTTATTCCCATGCAGACTAACCTCTTAATACTCGCAAATAATGCACTAAATATTATCTCCAAGAATATATATGCACAGTTACACCGTAGATCACCTGCAGACCAAGAAGACCTTCTTGTCTTCATGGAGATCAGCAAGAATATTTTACTGAAGGAATGGATGCACCAAGTATCCGAATATTCTAACTCAATTAAAATATTCAACCACCTGCAAGCAAGCATAATACAAGGAGACAATAATCCTTCTGAAACAGGAAATATTCTAACGGATAATTTACTAGATAAATATATGAATATAAGGGCATCTGCAGTGACTAGTCCGAAATTATACGACTGGGAGCCTGTCCCTACTATTGTTATCTCTGAAGATAATCTTTCTTCAAATATAAATAAGCGAGACCTATTTATGACTGAATTAAAGGCAAATAGTACCCGTATATATAATAGTCCAATTAGTGAATTTCTGCTGGAATCAATTAAGAAAACTGTGCAGTCAGAAGAATGTGCAGAATATAAGGCAGAGATACAGAGTGATTTAATTAAGCAATATGAAGAGCAGATCAGTAATGCACCAGATACAGCAGGAAAGATAATAAAAAGGGTAACCAGAAATAATCCATATATAAGCCAAGGCAGTCGTGTTCTAACTAGCCATATGTATAATGTGGGAGAAATGCGGCATGTCTATATATTTAAGGATTCACCACACGATGAGAAACCAGCTGCAAGCGAGTCTACTACGACTAAGCCCATACAGACTAATTATAACAGTGTTCCTGATAAGACTAAATATAACAGTAAGACTATTAGTAGCGATAGCCTGCCTAAGGCCAATCCTAACAGCAACTCACCCCAGCCTAATTATAACAGTAACCCATCTAAGACTAATTCTAACAGTAACCCTACTATGACCAAGTCTAACAGTAACCCATCCCAGCCTAATTATAAAAGTAATCCATCTAAGACAAATTACAACAGTAATCCTACTATGAATAATCCTACTAGTAGCCCAAGTGCTGCTGTACTAAATGTACTTCCTGTTATACCACAGAGTAACCTAACACATAGTGAAATATCTGGGGTAATTGATGAGTTAGTGGATAGTTCTATTATGGAAAGACTAAGTGAAAGCATTCTCACAGATATCATGAGTTCTTCAAATATCACACTCCCTATGCTATTCCATGTCCCTGCATACGCAAATGGAAAGTACAGGATGTACAGTGAAAATAATCGAGTAATTCCAACAATCCTTCACTCTATGATCACTTTCTCTGGGAAGGTGCAGAATTATAAAGTGTCCCAGGATGACACAAATATATTCACAAATGCAACTTACTATAATGAAGCCAAGAAATATGCAATTAATTTGTTCTCTGATGTGACAAATAGGATACAGGCTGCAGCCACATATATTGGTCCAGAAGATAAACAGTTTAATCTGAACAGATATAAAATTGCGAAAGTATTAGAGCATCTGTATACGATTTACGAGAAAGAGATTCATGGCATATTCGATGGAATCCCTAAGGAATCTATTCCTAGGTGCAGTATGGTGCTTCCCCCTGGGATGTGCATTAAAATCCTTCAGAAAAATATTGCTATAATTAACAACATAAAGGGCCACATAAACAATATAAGTAAATATCATAGTGAATTGAATACTCCTGCTATTCTGGCTGAGAAACTGCATAGTTCAATTATTCCTGTGCATGTAACTAAATTCTTAGAATTCTTTGGGGAGAAAAACCCAAGCAAAATGGATGCAAATAGTGACCTTTTACAGTCTTTATTGCTTGTGTATAATAACCCGGATAATCAAAATATTATAAAGTTCTTTGAGTCTACAGATTACAACATTAGTAAAGGCCAGGAGAAAATCGAAGCATTTTTAATGTTCTTTTATCACCTGCATGGGAAAACCCTAGCAGAACTGCATGCAAAAATGATGGAGAAGAGTCTTTGTGTTGAAGACAAGCTCTCTTATAACTATGGGAAGAATAATGAAGAATTTATTAATTTGGATAATATAAAGAACCATGCAGAACTAATTAGTAAAAATGTCAATGAACTCTCAGCGAATATTAGAAGGAAGATAGAATCAGATCGATCAGTAAATGATTGATTCGTTTGAATATTAATAAATTGGTTTTTTTTGATTTTTGAGTGTTTGTCTTGGGTGTATTTTTGATTTTTGGGTATCTTTTAGTTGTTTTTTGTGTAGTTTTTTTCTGTTTACTACTACTGTTATAATTAGCCATATTATTATCACTCCTGTTATAATTAGCCATATTCTATCACATAAATATTCCATCTGCTTATTTTTAATTCACTCTCACATTATACCACTTTACATCACAGTATCACCACGCATGCCCATATATAATTGTGTAATAATTAGTTCAACTGCAATATTATTTATTTATTTCGGGTTCGGTTATTTCGGGTTTATCTGTCAACCCGAATGGACCTTTGCCAAAGACACAAGACCCTTCTGTATGACCTGGCTAGTTATATTCTAGAAGTAACTCCTCTGTTGTCATAAATTGGTACTCTGGCTCTGTCTTTTGCTTCTGCACAAATGCATTTGAGATTCTTCCCATTCTCTTTTTAAACGTAAGGGAGTCTCCTTCCTTTATCTCTTGCGTGAGTACTATTATGTGCTTTTTCATTTGCTGGAATATTCCCTGGATATTTTCTATTTCTTCATTTGGGTTCTTTATCTTTGCATTTAGCACATCTTCCAGGCTGTAGAAAAGATTCCTTTGTTTCTCCCATCTTGGGAAGATGCTTTGATGCGTGACCAGGACTTCGTTCATTTTTTCAATTTCTTCTGATATTTTCTTCAGTTCTTGTTCTGTCTGGCTTTCTTTTTTCTTGCTCGCTGGCCTGGGTGAAGACTCTGCAGATACTTCCTGAAGGGGTGACTCTATTTTATCCAATTTAGGGCGCACTTTTGCCTTTTCTTCCTGCCGCACCTTAACAGGCTTTATTTCATGCACTCCTGCGCCCTTTGCAAACTGTGTGCCTGGGGCCCTTGTGCTGTTCATTTTTGCTGCTGTATTTGTGCTACCCGCAGCACCTGTTCTGTGCAAAACACTTCCCAAAGAAATACCCCCCAGGCCCATATTAATTGGCTGCCCCTCTGGAAAGTGCTCCATCCCCATTCTGGGAAATGCATTTGCTTCACCTTCTGTTGAAAATCCACCTATCGGCATAAAGGGCTCTAATCTTCCTATACTTTGGCTTATGCTTTTGTTCATGCCCCCTAGTGCATCCCTCTGCATATTCATGCCATTCACTTCGACTGGATTTATGTTCATTTCACTTCTGCCCTCGCGTGTGCTTGGGATCGAACCCAGGTCTGTCAAAGGATCTATCTTTATGATGTTGTGGTTCATTGGGGCAGGCCTGCCCCCAGGTGCACCCATCCCAATCGAAGTGTTTCTTGTTTTTCCTACATTAATAAACCCATACTGCCCTGGGGCACCATTTATCCCGTGCATGCCCATCTTCGGGTTATATCTGGTCTCCGGGTTAAGGAATTGTGTGTGCCCTACGTTGTTGTTTACTGCGCTACTTCCTGCATGCCCATTGTTTATGTGGCTGTTAGTTATATGGCCGTTGTTTTTATGACTACTATTTAAGTGACTACTTCCTATACTGTTATTTATATGTCCACTATTTCCTGTGCTGTTATTTAAGTGCCCATTGTTTATATGACTACTTCCTGCGCTGCTGTTTAAGTGTGTGCCTACATTGACATGCCCTGGATACATTTCTGTGCCTGTAATTGTTGTATTAATGGGCATCGCATGAGAGTAGCCTGATGGGGCCCCTGGTATATCGCCTCCCCCTAGACCCATTCCTGGCGGGACTGTCATTCGGGTTATTTCTGGCTGCATGTGGGGCGTGCTACTCCTGGGCTGGGCCCGGCCTGCATGCGGGTCATCTGGAATAAATGAGAAGTTTATCCCTCTGTTTGTGCCTCCTGTCAGGGAAACAAACTCTGGTTTTTTTGGAATGTGCATCTGGTACTCATCCATATCTGGGTTAGGTGGCTTTTCCATTTGGTCCCTGAATATTCCCATTGGCCTTGTGATGTGAATTGGCTCTGGTAAGACCTGCCCAGACTTATTTCCCATTTCCCGAAGAATTTCTTCTGCATTCATTACATAGCTCTTTTCTATCTTGGCTAGCTTAGCATGCATTGCCTGCATGTACTCTTGCTTAGTGTATGACCTGTTAAATGTCAGCTGTTCTGATTTTATGGCTGAGTCCCTGATATGCTCTACAGAATAGTGTGTGAACATGGGGGACTGCCGTAGAGCATGATATATCTTCTTTAAAATAGATTTTCTTTCCTCTGGTCCAACTGGGGCTTGCTTCATTCTCTGTAAATAAAAAAAATAGATACATGCGTGGTAATGAAAGCGTATGGTATACGTGACTAAGAGTGGATATTTAATCTTATTCAATTATTTCTTTTCAATTAAAGAGTGTTTATATTTCTTCCATGGGGGAATTGATGCTTTACTCAGGTCACTCTGGATTATATTGGGTTCTTGCATGTTTTTATGGTAAAAATCAGTGAGTGATTGTTTCTTTTTGTTTTTATTGTTGGGTGTGTGCGGTGTTTTCTTGGTTGTTTTCGGGTTAGTGCATTTTATGTGGGTTTTTTGGGGGATGTGGTATACTTTGGTTGATTTTTATTTTATGCTAGGAATATGTAAAATATTTTATATTTTTGGGCAGGCCCATTGCTTGTTTGCTTCTTGGTTATGTGGAGGAGTGAAGGAATAAGTGAGTGAGAGACATAAAGTGTCTTTGGTTATGTTATTTATTGGTTATTTATTAATTATATGTGGCTATATTTTGTTATGTTCAGATTCTATTTGATTTTATATGGTTATTCATTTGGGTTATTTATCGGTTATTTGTTATTTTATACGGTTATATCTTGGTTTTTAAAAAATAAGTTAGATATGGGTTATTTATTAGTTATTAGTTATTTCGGGTTATCTCTTGTTGCATATCTATATTCTATATACGCCAGTGCTCAATCTCTGGAGACTACTTGGATTATATTGGTTTCTGCTGCTTCTTCTATTTACATCTTATAACCCGAATTAAATATGCTGCTTTTTTGCTAATCTAGCACTGTAGCTCTGGATTAACCTGTATATAACTTGACTACTCTTTTTTTCATATACAGTCTGAATATTTCTTTATGGGTATAGCTTGCTTCTTTTTTGTCTGTATGTCTTTCTTTTGCTCTATATAGCCCGAATATTTTCTTTTATTTTTTTGAATAAATCAAACACGTACACATATTTCTGCATGAATATCTTATGAAAAGTGTTTTATTTTTAATTCTTCAGCAAAGACAAGGTAAAATCAAGATTCTGCAATATTTAGAGACCATGCATGCCTTGGATGCAAACAATAGATCTTTAAAGATATGATTTCTGCATAATCTCTGGAGATGTTTTCGAATCAATCGAAAGATTCAGAGTGCAAGATTAATTAACTTTGAGTTATATAAATTCTGGTTATTTGGTTATGTCATCATTTGTCTATGTTATACTGGGTTATTCGGGATATCTTGAAGTATTTAGGTTATATAAGTGTAATAACGCAAGAGCTTAGGCTGAATTTAGGATAGATTTAGACAATATTCGGGTTATATTTAAGTATAGGATAGAAAATCCCCAATATATGCAGGATATACACTGCTATTCGGGTTATATTGCTTTTAACAATAGTGAAATGCCCACTCTTTGGATATTTTCTTGTTATTGCTGAGGATTTAAAATAGCCCAATTTCAATGGAGCTATAGAAGGCTTTTAATTATAAAATGTAAATATAGAATATCCAAACAGTCTAGGCAGGTTCTGGGTTAATATTCAGGTTATATCCGGTTTCAATTACACTATGACACATTAATATTAATTAAACTTACTGTAAAACACAACAAAAGTGCTTCTCTTCCTAATATAGCCCGAATATATAGCCAGATATAATTCTCTATGTAGTATATCATGGCATATATTGACACGCATGCATATTATTTGCTATGAACTTGTGTTAGACAATATTTCTATAATATTTACAAGTATGAATAAACTTGGCTTATTTTTGAGACCAAGTAAGCTGGGATATATTTAGACCAAACTAGTGACCGACTGCACCGCAACACATTTTCATAACAATATGCTATTCTATTATATCAGTCTAAATGTATAGTACTTGTTTGTGTATTCGGGTTATTCGCATGTATGTCTGAATATAGCTCAATTTAACCAGAATAGTTCATTCGCTGCACATGCAATTTTTGCATATTTTTCTTCAATTTTCTAGCAGTTTTAGAGGAAGAGGATCCTTTAAGAGCTCAAAATATTTTTAGCACAGAGGCTATTTCAGGCTGTTTCATTACACCCGAAATACATTAATTAGAAGTAGGCACATAATTACCAAAAAATACGCTTAATTGAATTTCCAATTTAAACTAATTAGATTTTCAATTACAGAATTAATATTTCCTTTTTAGGCAAGTCATCTCCCAAATAAGTAATCCACAATAAGTCATTTTATAACTACCAATTAGCCTAAAATTAGCCCAACATAGAATAAGTCTAAAGCCACTATTTATTAAGAATCTAGAGATGCACTAACCCTTTAATTCACGGAACCATAAATTACCCGCAAATAAATACAATTCCTCATCTTCCTGCTCCTCTAACTCCCTTTTTTCTCTTCTTTTTTTCTTCCTTTTTTCTTTTTTTTTCTAAACCTTCTCTATGTAAAACTAAAACTACTCTGCAATTTCTTTTCTTTTTGTTTTTTCATTTAAATTTAGTTTGTTAATTAGGTTTTGCTTTTTTTTTATTTGTTTTTTAACTAAATGCACAACCCTTTCCTTTGCTTCTATCTCCCTTTTACTGCTTATAATTAAATTTATTTCTTCGTATAATTTTGCTATTTTTTTAACTTCTCCTTCAATTCCCCGAGGATTCTTCACAAGCACCGAGTTCTGCACAGATTCAGTGAAAAGAGACGTGATATCAGATATGACATCACTCAATTTTCTTTCTGTCTCTTGTACTTCTTCTTGGAAAAGCGTCCTTTGAAAGGCTTCAATTACTTTTGGGATTCTGGGCACATCCTGCACTTTTTTTGGGAGAGGCGGCTCTGGCCATATTTCTTTAATGTGCATGGCAATCATAAAGAAAATAATATTTATAATTTTGAAAATTAAACTTGGATTTTCCTATTTTAGAAAAATATATTTAGTAATTTTGTGTGCCCCTGTAAATGGCAGAACCGAGGTACTCACGAGATGATAGTTCTCCTAGGATCAGCCCATCTTATGAAAGAAATGAACGGCACAAGCAGAAAGGAGCCTATCATAATGGAGTAGATGAAAAATACCACACACCGGGATATAGAGAATATCAAGAGAAGCCCGAATATGAAGAGAGAGCATCAGAGGACTACAGATATAATCAAAACAAAGATTACCAATACAGAAGAAATGAAGAATACGCACATATGTATGATAGGCCTTACCCAGAGGAGAGGTCGCCCATTATGGAGACATCTTCACAGACCCGCAAAGAAAATGAAAGAAGGGAGGGAAGAATGTATGCACAGCCATTTCCCAGCAGACAGTTCAGAAGTAATAGTATATCTGGGGCATCCTTGCTATCTATTGGGCAGGAGATAGAGAGGGACAAAATGCTTGGGTTTCATTCGCCTCCAAGTCACCCAGCACACAGTCCAGTTACAACACATTTAGCATCCCCGCAGGAGGTGCACCCATCTGACCGACAGAAATCTGCAGCCGCCATGTCTAGCCTACGGTTCTTCCGGAAAGAAGACAATGAAGACTCTGCTGAAAGCGATGACGACCCAAGCAGAGTAAAAGGAAGAAAAAAGATTCGCATGGATTTCATAAAGGATAAAGGACGCAGAGGAGTGACATTCAGTAAAAGAAAGAAGGGCATCATGAAAAAAGCATATGAGCTGAATGTCTTAACAAAGTGTGAAATTCTTTTGGTGGTGGCCTCTGAAACAGGACATGTATATACATTCGCTACGCCTAAGTTGCAGCCCATTATAAAGCAGCACGAGAACCTGATTCAGCAGTACCTTAATACGCCGTATATGAACGACGTAAACAGAATTTATGACACACCAGAAAGATTCCCCCACGATTCGGGCTATTATAAAAGTCATGAGCCAGGTTATGGCTATGACAGGATCCTTCGGGGCAGTCCATATCCGCCTAATTATTACCATAGTGGATATGAAGGGGACAGCTCCCCTGGGAATGGGCCCAGAATATAACCCGAAAATATTTTATTTCTGCAGAAATGAACGAAGAAGAGCGGAAATGCAGCTACCAGTGCTCAGAATGCAACAAAATAGCAATACTTGGACCGAAGGATGCTGTGCGGTGTGTTGAGTGTGGGCACAGGATTCTATATAAAATCAGATCAAATCAATGGACACAATATGAAGCACTATAATTAAATAAATAAAGATTCAAATAAGTTATTATTGGTTGTTGTTTGTTTTTATGCAGTTATATCTGGTTATTTGTTATTTCGGGTTATTCTGGTTTATTTTCCAGCAGAAATATCTTATGTTTTGAGTATCTTAAGTGAATATGGAATATTTCTGGGTAAGAGTGCTAGAATGCACAGCCCAGAATAATCTGGCTAAACTAAAGGCACTTCACTGCGTATACGTCCAAATTTAACCAAAAAGAAATTACCCAGATAAAAATGACTTTCATTATGGAAATTATATAAATAACCCGATAATCCTGTGTGTAGTAATAACCCGCCATCACCACCTAATAGGCCCAGATTACTCCTAAGCACGCACTCTAAACTAACCCCCAAAAATCAACTGAAAAGTGAAAATTTTTTACTCCATAAGATGAATGAGTACATAGCCAACTATAAATACACAAAGAGTATTTCATGCATTGGAGAGAGTGCATCAGTCTCTGCAAGAATTAATGAAAATAAGATTGTCTCCGTGGCATACGAAAATATTCTGGTTTGGAACGTGGATACGCTCTCCATTGAATACGCATTAAATTATAGCCCGAATTCACCCACTGCAGTCTCAGCAATTGGAGCAGTTCCTGGGGAAGAAACCAGATTTATCATAGGGCACGTAGATGGAGTTGTGAGGTGCATAGACCAAGAAGGAAGTGAACTATTTGGCTTCCGAGAGCACCTGAAGAAGATAATTGGAATAGACTCTACAACAGAAATTGCAGTGGTATACTCTGTGTCTGCATTTACTGTGATAGACTTAAGGATAGAGAGTGTTTTATGCACAATTAATATTTCCATCCCAATTCGAGTTGTAAAAATAGTCAACTCACAGATCCACATAGGAACAGAACAAGGAATAGTTCACACATATAAAATCACTGATTTATTCAATAAACTCGAAGACCCAGATATAATAACCCTATCAGGCAACAGGATGCTTGATTTTCTGGTGACAAGCGATGCATTGTATGCTATACTACCAGAGTGCATCGTAAATGTAGAGACAAAAGCAGAGCTGAAATTAAACCACAGGATAACCCACGTGGCAACAGAAGGTGAATATATATTTGCAAGAGACACAAAGAGTAAATACCACTGGATGTGTATAACAGAGGGAAATATAGTTGAAAAAGGTCAATTTAAATCAACCCGGCCTGTTACGTCCTTGCAAGTGTTCTGTAATAAGGCAGTTGCACTATTCGCAGATAATGGCATATACGTATACAGAGGCAATGACTATATTACATCAGTAGAAGGAGGCCGTGATAATTTAATTGCTGTGGTTGTCAACTCAGGGAGTGTACTGGGAATAACAGAGACAGAAGGAAAGGTATTTGCAGTTGCACCAGAGACAGACGCACTAGACACATTAGACATAGCTAGAGTATTATTTGAGGATACAGGCATGACGTGCGTATCTGTGCATAATGGGAAGTATTACATTGGCAGGAAGGATGGAAATATTTCAGTTAGAAATATTCATGGGGAAGAGATGCAAGTGATAAATGTGTCTGAAGATGCAATTGTTTCACTTGATGTGAAAGATGCATTAATTGCAGCATCCACTGGGAACAGAGTTATTTTGCTGGAGAGGCGAGCTAATTTGGGTCTTTCAGAAAAAGCAAAAAAAGACAAGTCTGTCTGTGCTGAAGCATACACGCCAGAGGCCTTTGAAGTAGATGAACTTGAATATGAAGATGAAGTGATTTGTGTGCGTGTATCACAGGATTGTGCGCTTGTATTTGCATCACTTGCTGACAGTACAGTGAAAGTGCATAAAATAGACGGAACAAAGGTGCTTTCATTGTACGGTCATTCTGTGCCTGTGGTGGACATGTGCATCTGCATGGAGAAAGACCTTCTTTACACGCTAGGAGGCGATAAATTAGTGAAGGTCTGGGGACTACGCCACGGAGAATGCAGAAAGACACTAAACCCAATCGATCCATCCGGAATATACTTACAGAACAATCTGCTTATTGTGTCAACTGGCTACGGTTTAGTCTATTACCTTCGGGAGACCTTTGAGAAAGTAAAACAAATAGAATATTTAACAGGAAAGACAAGGGCAGTGCCTGGCCAGAATAGAATTGCAATTATTGATAGACATATGCTAGTGACTCGTGAGAGGGCTATTTCTTTATTTACAGAAGGAGATTACAGCACGACACTTTTTGAAGAAAGATCTCTTGCTGAGAAAGCAGCAGAAATAAAGGAATTAACAGCAGACAAGAAGATATACAGGATAAGTGCACTTGAGGAGTTAGAAGTGGCTTTGGAAGGGGATAACTCTAGTCAAATATACGCTGCACTTAAAAGGCTTCCCAAGACAGATATAGAGAAGGTAATTGATCTTATGAATGCAGAGATGCATGAGAAGTTAGTGACTGCATTGTCTGAGGTGCCTGCGGATGATAATCCATTGGTTATGGGATGGGCTCTGGGCAGACTCTTGCAGAAAACGCAAAGGACAGATGCACTTTTAACTTTGCAGCAGAAGCTAAGGGTTGAATTAAGGAAGCAAGCACGCCTGTGCATGGCGAATAGGGCAGCCATACAGTGGAGTATACAGGAATAAATGAAGGTTATATTTTTATGAGAAATGAAGAGATTTTTAAAGGACTAAATCCAAGCTATGAGGAACTGTTTAAAATGAAGACATTTATGCTAGAATTAGGCTAGGTAGGGATACAAGACCAGTAAATGTGGTTGCATTTTTATAATTATTGGACTAAGGTAGAAATGTATTTATTCGGGTTGTATTGGGATATACTGTGGAAGAAAGACAATTAAATTGGAAGATTCTTAAGGGGTTGTATAGCCCGAATTATCACACTTAAATGCACAAATATGAATGTACTATGGCTTAAAGCGCAAATTAAACATGAATTAATTTTAATCTAGCCTGCCATTGCACAATTAGTCTAATTAATTGCTCCTTTAATTATACGTCAATTAGTGCATCACTCTAAATTAATTCGGGTTATATTGGGGCATCCCATTTATATGGTAATCAGAACCCGAATAACTCGAATGTATCCATGGTGTTCTGTATTTATTTCACTTCGGTAGAATAAATAGGGCAAGAAACTTTTAACACGTACTTTTTAAAATATGCATTGATATAAATTGAAGGCTTTTTTTCTATTGCATTTAATTGATATCTAGTGCAAGTAGAGTGAAAATGTTCATGCCTACAGAAAGATATGGCCTGATATAACCTGAATATAGCCTAAATACTTTTATTATATGGAAAGATGCATATATGCAGAAATAACCGTCAGTTCATTTGTACTATCTGAATAGCACAGACAGTGATATACTCGTATGCCCTAATTAAATATACAGAATTAGCGGGCATATCCTAGTATATTGCGAATAAACCTGACTATGTCGCCTAAATAGCCTGATATAGCCTGAATTGACAGGAGCTATAAAATATCAGCCACTTCTACTTTGTGCACAGTGACACCCTCTGGGGCACTCTCCTTTATGCTCCACTTACTTTTCTTTCTAACTATTTTGTCTTCTGCTTCATTGTACATATCTGCATTAAATTGCACTTCTTTCTTATTTGGGCTGTATTCTATTCGAGTTACATCCAATAGCCCCCCGGGAGTATACGCAACCCGAATATTCCTCCATGCATACGGCGAATATTCCTGCAGAATATCGTCATATTTAATTCCCTCAAGAACAGCAACAATTAGGTCTTTAACTTGTTTCTTCGTCTCTGGCAGAGAATTGAGTGCCTGGTTGTTTTTTCGTATATCAATGTGTCTTTTATACGGCACGCCAGGATAACCCAAAACCCGGCCTGCACATACTATTGGCGTATGGATTGCATATTCCATTATATCCAGTGGGATGCTAATTGTTTTGTCAATTGCATCCACCATGGACGTGCCTATTGCTTCTGCCAGAATATCTGCAACTGTAACAATTCTGGCTGTCGTTTTTGCAGTTTGTAAAGTAAGCTGGGCTACTTGGCCTAGAATAGGTGCAAGAATATATCTGTGCGCTACAGTGTTCTGAAATTGGTCTATGCATTCTTGGATGACTTTGTATTCTGGGGTGGAAAATACCTCTCTTTGCAGATGCTTCTGGAACACAGCCAGAAGGCCTTTTGGTTTCATTTATTTTTGTAAAAATGGAAGTGGTAAAAAAGAGTGTCTGGGATATTCTGTTTCTTTCTGTGGGAATATGCTTCTTGTCTTCTGTGGTGCTTTACATTTGCATTAAGAAAGTCATCAATCCAGGGAAGAAAAGGCACGGGAAAGTGCTAGGGAAATCAGGCTCCAAGCGAAAAAACAAGAAAACTGTGGATGTAATGAGTAGTAATAACTCTACAGTAAGCATTGAAATAAGCACAGCAGAAATGGATTAACTTAGAGGAATTTCTAGCTGTTTTTGGCTAAATTGAACAGAGCCATGGATATAACTCAAAAGTTTATGTTTTAGTAGTTCTATATAGCCTGAATTCTGTTTTTTTTGTGTTTTGGGAATGCCCATGCACTAAAATGGAATTTTGGAAAGGATAAAGGCGTTTTTACTTTTTTCTTAAAATTTTATATAACTTCGCATGTGGTAGGAAGGAACTTTTTAGATTCCAGAGAAAATAAAAAACGCCTTTCCAATTTTTATGAGCACAAAATAATTCAAGACAAATTAGTAAAGGAAAACAGAGAGACAAGAATAATCCAATGGATATGCGGATTTAAACAGTCTAAATATCCAGAAGCATTAAAATCCTTAGATAAATACTTATTTTATTTTATAGAGAGTGCAAGCACAGAAGTACCTTCTAGTGTGCAATAATTATGTGCATGCAGGCACATGAGATTGAATAGATAATTCGGGTTTAATTTAATCTGTAAATGCGCCTATATTTATGTAGCCTGAATATAACCAAATTAAACATGAATTGAAGCCATTCGGGTTATTCTGGCCATCTAATGAACATATATTTGTGTGCATGCAAATTTGCATCTGAAGTACATCCTGCAAAGCGTGCATCTGATATTTTCCGGGTTTTTGGGGTTTTGTTTAATTCATGTGATCCTGCATGATTCTGGCTAGCATGCCAGGTGAAATGCATCCCTTCTCAATTTCTACTTCAATTATTTTTTCATCTTCTGAGGTAATAGTTAGAACTGCATCTGATGCCCCAAATTCCTGTAGAATTGGAGATGTAATATACTTCTCTCCAATTACACCATACGAAACTATCTTCCTATTTACGGCACGACTGCCAGCCCTATATATATTATGCGATACAGTCTGTCTATTTTTGAATAATTGAACTAAATTGGGCTGTGTTAGCTTTCTTTGCACATCTGCCAGGCAGGACTGAACTATTTCTTGGGCTGAGCCAGAATCCACTAAGACATCGACAGACACGTACGCAGATACTTCTTTATTTAAGGATATTCTGCATGCATCGATTGATTGGCTGTTCTCAGTTAATATTATGCTTACAATTACAGTACTTCCATTTTTACACCCTTTCATTGTGATATCCGCATATGTTTCTATTTCTTCAATGGAAACCTCCTTGTCCTTCGGGTAGAATCCATTCTCGTCCACCAGTGCCTTGAAGAACTCTCTTTCGCTTATTCCAATAACTGTCTTACTATCCCCTTGCTGTGAAAGTTTCATAAAAGATTTTTATGCCATAGTTTAGTCTATTTGGAAGCTGCACGAATAGCTCTGGTTATTTGGGAATTGAATAAGAGTGTCATACTGTGCATGAACAGAGAGTGAAATTTGAGTTATTTAGGAGTATTTAGACTATGTCGCAGACGTGCTTGTATTATATTTATGGTCTATATGGCTGCAAACTAGATATAACCAGAATATATCGTCTTTATGGCGCAGATGTGCTTGTGTTATATTTATATTAATGTAAGTATCTCTGTAAGCATAATTATCCTAAGTAGAATTATTCATAAATAATCCAAAATAATCTGGATATAATTAGCCTAAGTAGAATAGCACACGTATCTCTGGGAAAGATGCAGCCTCCTAAACAGTAGGGTAATCCTTGTACAGTAAATATCCTCCCCTTACATTTCCGAACATTTCTGCAATTAACTTGTCTCTGTCTAATTCTCTGTTAATATTTATGCACTTTCCAATTATTTCCTTAACATAGTGCAAGGTCGCAGCATATGCACACTTCGCAGTGTCTAGTGAAACATTTTCACTTAATTTATATTCAAAGGACCCTTTCTTAAGCCTGTTATGAATATCCTTTACACTCAGGATCTTTTTTATCTTACAGCAAAGTACGTTATAATTTGCAGAAAAAAGTGAAATAAGCTGTGGGTTGCTGCTTACTGCACTGGACAGATCCTCTGGTGTCCTTTTGAACATAGAATATTGCTGGATTGGCCTTTGGCTATAACCCGAATCTTCCAGATCCTTTTTTATTTCCATTAAGAACTGGTCCTTTAGCACATTCTTTAGTTTAAGCACAGAGTTTGGATTTTCTGACTGAGTATTTTTAGTGCATGCCTGCTTTGCAAGTGAAATAATGTGCAGTATTAACGCATTATACGTTTCTGGGCTAATTTGAGTCTCGTTAATTCGGTTTATTATTTCATTTTTTGTTGGCTTCTTTGTCACTACGTCCTTTATGAGGGCTTTTATTTCTTTAATTTTGTCTTCCGGAATGTAAATGGAAATAATTCGAGTTATTTCGGGTTCTGATGGAATCTGGGTGTCTTTTTTATAGGGAAAGTATTCGGGGTCTCTGGCTGGGATATCTGAAGTGCTTAGTTCATTTCTGCTGGTGAAATATTCTTCACTTTCTTCTTCAAACTCTTCCACGGAGTCCTTTCTTGCACTCATGCAAAACAAAAATTAAAGTGCGTATTTCAGTGGGTGAAAGTGCAGGCATTTAAGAGAGATCGGGTTATTTTGGATTATTTCTGGTTATATTGAACTTACGACTATATTGTATATTCTGGTTTGGACTATATGCAATAATAAACTAGGAGATATAATTTTGGGTTATATTCCGGGTATTTGCGCTATAATGAAAATAAGATGCTTTAATGCATGCATACTAAGAAGCACATAAAATCGTGTAATTTTATTTGGGTCTTATGCAGTAAGAAAATAACATATTCTAATTTCCTGTTATATTCTTGCTATTTCTGAATATGGCATATGTGCCTTGCCATAATGTATCCTGAATATCCCAAGTAGACTAAATTATAATGCTATAGAAAGCGCCATAAGAACAGAAGATTTTAATTATTAGTGAAGAAAAGCCAATTGAGTAAATATAAATACTTAAACCCCGAATTTCAAGGCATGCTAGCCCAAATCACCTGGTTATATCTGCTCCTTCATCTAGCACACCTTAAAAACCCTTAAAATACCCTTCTTCTTTGAGTACACCTTAGGCACGCCTTGAAATTCCGAAATAATTCAACATAAATTGCACTTTCGCAGAGATGATTTAGATCTGCCGAAGTGACAGATTTAATTTACAAGATATAATACACTAATGCTAATTAAACCATGTGCCGAATGAATAAGCCTATTCTTTTTTCATGACTAGAACACGAATTCCTCTATACAAAAATAGACTGATTAAAACATCCCTATATTAAAGGTTCTATTAGAAAAAGGAAGCGAAATGAAGGTTCTGAAGACAGCATCACAATCAACTGAGTTTATAGAGAAGCTGTACAGTATGCTGGAGGACCTGCAAAATCAAACCTACATCCAGTGGACGTCCCAGGGAACAAGCTTTCTCATAATAAACCCAACTGACTTTGGAAAGTGCATGCTAAACAAGCACTTTAAACACGGAAATTTAAGCTCCTTTGTGAGGCAGCTAAATAAATACGATTTCCATAAGATAAAGAGTCAAGAGTCCATTCTAAAGCAGTTTGGGCTGCAGGTCTGGGAATTCAAGCACAACTATTTCCAAAGAGGCAGGGAGGACATTCTAAAGCACATTGTGAGGAAAAAAAGCAATGCAGACAAAAGATTTAAAACCTCCAGGGAAATGAGCTCTGACAATTTAGAGGCATCGAACAGGATTCAGTCGCAGATCATTGGCACCTTAAAGATGCTTACAGTGCACTTCCAGGTTTTAGTAGAAGAAGTTAACGACCTTAAAAGGAATCTGAACAAAAAAGAGGTTCTCTTTAAGGAAAACGTGAACGTATTAATTGCAGAGGATAATCTTACATGCAGTTCCTACGCAGGCGCAATTTTACGTAAAATTGGGTGCACCCCTGACATCATTGAGCAAGAGAAGGAGATTCTTGTGAAGTTATCAGAGACAAAGTATGACATTATCTTTTTAAGCTTGCAGTTGCCAAGTATTCAGAAGATTCTCTCTGCATTTAGGCAATATGACGAAGTTACGCCTGTGATTTTGATAGTTGATGGACTGGCGCAGGAAGAGTACATTTCTGTATTGGGGGCAGGTGCAAGTGATGTGCTTATGAAGCCGTACCACCAAAATGCCATGGTTCAAATTATGATGAAATATTGCTACAACCCAAGAACAAATCAGTCCATGCATCAGAAGAATGTTTCGAATAATCTTTCCATTTGGTAGTCACATATAAATACATTTTAGCATTTGTTAGTTTTATTTTGGGTGGTTGTTTTGTTATTTTTTCAGTGTGAGAAGTAAGTATGCCTGATTTTTAACTATTGCACAGATCAGGAGCAGAGATATTCTTGCATTTTTGTTGTTTTTTTGTTCTTATAATACCACATGGTAGGTGTGAACTATTCATATTTCTTGTGTACTGAAAACTATTCAAGTTATTTTTTGGGCTATAACTATTTTGTCTAAAATAATCCTACAATAAAGTATTAAAAATAACACTTTTATTTTCTCTCTGCACAGCTCTCTAAACTAGTTTAATTTTAAAATAAATAAAGTAATATGGATAACCAATTAAGTATACAAGAAAAACCCTTTATTTTACAGTGTATTCTAGCCCGAATACAAAGCACCCTTCTTATGCAGCAAGTGCAGTCTTTCCATTTCGAACTCTTCTAGAGAAACCAAGGAATGGTTCTGGTTGTGGTTCGGGATCTTCTGGGTCCTCTGGGTCTTCAGGGTCTTCTGGATCTTCAGGGTCCTCTGGATCTTCAGGGTCCTCTGGGTCCTCTGGCTGTTCCTCGTCCTCTGGGGTTGGCTCTGCAATAATTATGACATCTGGGTCATAAATGTTGATTAATCCACTTCCCTCTGGGATTCTTGCAAGAATTGTTATATCCAGCTTGGAGCTGTTGAATGGGAACATGGTTAAAGTGAATCTGCCTTCTGGGGTATCAATTAAGCCACCGTCTTCCATTCTGCTGATGGATGGAATGAATCTGGGCCCTGGGGTTATCCTCCAAATTAAACCAGTCTCGTTTCCAACAACATCAGAGACATTTGAGTCTGCAGAGGCATCTCTGAAGATTAGCTGCAGGTCCTTGATTCTTAATTCGTCTTCACTGGCTGTGGCATATGCCATGCCCTCAGGGGGTGCTGGGGCAGCCTCCAGGGTAACTGCAAATTTGGCCTCTAAGTAGGGCACTCCTCCCATGGCTGCAACATCTGTGTGAATAGAGATGGATCTGGTTGCAGTTCCAACCTTAGCATCATCTGCCATTACGTCGTATGTGTCAACTACTTCAGTTGGGTTGATGACTCTTTCTACAAAGGTCATATTTCCCTTCTGTATGGTTGAGTTACCAATTGGTCCAGATTCAATAATGATTGCATTTGGTCCCTTTGAAAACTCCGGGGAGAAGATGCTCTCCTGGATGTAATTTATGGCAAGTACCTGGGATGAAAGCAAGGCTATCAAAGTGATGAACTTCATTGGATATTCCTAGGTTATTTTGTATTTATAGTTTTGTTTAAATTCTAGAGGGATCTTATTCTTGTATTTGTGGAATTAATGTGACCTGATTCTGGAATTATGAAAAATCAATATAGAAGATGGAAGGGCCGAAAAGGCATTCAGGTTCTATTAATTTGGGGCACACGAGTTAGGGTTGTTTAGGCGGGAATAAACTTGGGTTCTGGTTAGATTTAGACTAGATTACTCTTCCTACGAAATAGAAGGGTATTAGGTGTAATATAAGGGGGTGTATGTGTAAAGTTATTTGTGGCTGCATTTATTGGATTGTTCTTATAGTAGTGATAATTAAATTCTTTAGAATAATTCTTGTTGAGAAGAGGATGGTTCTTCTGGTTATAGTTGGGAATTTATTAGAGTGAAAGGATTCCTGAAGGGCTATACCTAAAGCTAGTCCAAAATAGTCTAAAAGCACCTTCCATGAAAGACCTGCTGAATATGCAATATTAAGTGGTATACGTGGAATATATGCTTGTAGTACTAGTATGTACGCAATATGTTAATTTATATGCACTAATATCCTTCTAATGGCATAAAACATGAACACATAAATTTACTCCATGAAATGTGCGAATTAGTAGGGTATTTGCAAGTAGTGGAAGGGTGCATGCGCTATTTATAGGTGGACTATTAGCCGATATAACCCGAGCCTCTTGTAATATATAAATCCCATAATAAGCATACCTTTATTCTACAGTATATCATTGTTTGGATCAATTGCCACTTGTGCATCATGCATTGCCAAAAGTACTTCAGTTGCTAGTTTGTTTGTTCTTTTAAAGTATTCAATGGTTTTATCCAGGTCTGCTTGGTCTGCAGATCTTTTTGTCTTTATATCCAGCATTTTATAGGCAATCTGTGACTCCAACCGGGTATCATCCATTTGGTTAAGCAATTCATACGCACTTTTTGTTTTCTCCAAAATAATCCCACATAGTACACCCAGAAACAAGAAACTCGTTTTCTCCAGAACATGGCTGATCTCTGATTTGTCATTAGCAAGCGTCTTGTACAAGTCAAATGACTTCTCATAGTTCTTGAAGCGTATTTCGCTGGCTGCACACTGCATCAAAATATTTCTTCTATTTATGTGCATCTTCGCTCTGCCGTATACATCAGCTGCTCTGTAGAAATATTTTAGTGCTTCTTTTTCTTGGTCTATTTCCCGCAGTAAACCACCAATTTTTGCTGTAAGAGATGCAACCACAGACGTATCCTCAGAACTCATTGAGATCTCATTCAGTGCCTTCTTGTATACGGAAATTGCTTCTTCCTTCTTTTCTGCTGCTAGTAATGCTTCTGCACTTTTCTCCAGATATGAAAATATCTCGAATTTATTTCCCTCTTCTTTTGCATCTATTAGAAGACTTGCAGAGACAGAATACATTTCTGCTGCTTTTTCGTGCAGGCCCTTCCTGGAGTATGCATTTCCTGCTTTTTCGTATAAAGTGACTGCTTTGTCTGTGTCATAGCTTAAAATCATGCGAATTATGAAGTTACTTCTTTTTCTGGTGTACTGGTCTGCGTCTCTCTCTAAGTCTTCCGGTGATGCGTGCATGTATTGAAAATAAAAATAAAAGAAATAAGATAGAAGGAATCGGAGTATATTTGGAGTGCATAGAAGGAATAAGCATTAGAAAGTAGATTATTTTTAGGTGACGGAATTCGGGTTATTTTTCAGTTAAAGTTAAGCACATTTAAGCTAGTTATGTAAAAAGCACTATTTGATAGCCACATAGAAAGTATACAGCTTATATTCAGTTATAGTCACGGAAATGCAAATAGATACAAGAGTATTAGGGCTACATCGTGTTATTAGTGTAAGAGTAAAAACACTCTTTAAATTCGCTGCAAAGTGTAGATTAGTATGTACTTATGGGGTACATGTATGTTTCTGAATTTATTTAAACCTTCTGCATGGTCTACAGGATATTCTATTAGTTTTAAATATAATCTGAATTTATTGCTAGCTTACAAGCTTAGTGAATCACTACTTAAGTGGTTTAGACTAGAGTCAAAGTCTGCTAGATTATTTGTTTCTTCATCTACTTCTGGTTCAGCTTGTTGTAAATCTTCATTTTCACTCTCTTCTTCTGCCTCTTCAGTTTCTTCATTATTGCTTACGGATTCTTGCAGATCTTCCATTTCTGTCTCTACTGCATCTAAGTCTGTCTGTTCTTCCTGTGCTGCATCTAATTCTATTTCTTTCTCTTTTATGTCCTCAGTACTTTCTTCTTCTGCCTCTTCAGCTTTAATTTCACTCTCTTCACTTTCACCTTCTTCTTCTGTTTCTTCGTCTATACCATGTTCCTGGATAGTTTTTTCTTTCTCTTTTTCACCATCTTCACTTTCTATTTCTTCACCTTCTATTTCTTCTTCGTCTGTGTCTATATCTGAATCAGTGTTTATAAACTCCTTAAGTAATCTCTTTGCATCTTCTGGTGTTATTTGCATATTTGCATCTTCTCCTTCACCACCTTCTTCCTCGCCACTTTCATCTTCTGACATCTCGGGCTTATCCTTCACTTCTTCGTCTGCCTGATCTAAATATTCTTCTTGTGGCATGTGTACCTTTCTTGCAGGTGTGTCTCTGGGTGCATGCACTTCTATATCTCCAAAGTACTCGTCCATCCCATCCTCTGAATTATCGTGCGACACATTGAATGACCTGGGCACCTTCACACTTTTTACAGGTCCAGGATGTACGCCTTCTACAATTAGTTTTCTTTTATTCTTCACAAGCTTCTTCAAGTAATTATTTGACTTATTTCCGCTTGCAGTTTCATCTGTATCCCCCGGCAGTCTATGGAATGGATATATCCATGGCCTTGGTATCTGCTTGTCTTTTACGTCTCCTTCCATTATCCCAAGGTCTGTTGCTAATTTCACTAACTCTGGGAACACTCTTCTTTCCATTACGTACTGAAGGGTTTCTTTGTCTGTTGGATTTTCCTGGAAGTAGTCTAATAGATCCGTCTTGTTGGTCAGTGGATTCTTTAAGATATAGATCTTCTTCATATTTTCATGCGGCAGATTCTTCAGTCTTAAAAAGTTCTCTAATTTTCTTATGTCCTTTATGTCTTCTAGTACGGAAAAGTATTCTGGGTCTGCACATTTTACAACAGAAAATAGCTTAAACAAAGTCTCGTCTTCTGTGTCTAGAAGTACTTCCATATGGACCTTATATGCTAGTATGAATAGCCCGTATGAGAACTGATCTTTTAGTTCTTCCAAGACTCTTTTTGACCAGGCTTTGCACTTAAGCATATTCAAGTTCTGCTTATTTGTCAAATATATGTGTCCCTCTATTACTAGTAGAAGTATTTGGCAAGTGGTGGGTGCATCTGCACTTATGAAGTGCTCTGCTAGTCGGTGGGCCTGTCTTAATTCTTTGTTGTAAATTGATGCTGCAATTGCCCCAAGTGCGCACCTGTAGAGACCACTTCCTGTTTTCGGGATTGCCATCGTGTCTCTGTACAGCTCATTGAACTCTTGCGCCTGAAAGAGTGCTGTTAGGGCTACTCCTCTGTTAGATTTCATTATTAGCTTGGAGAGTTTATTTTGGCCGTAATCTAATCCTTTCGCTAGTGAGAGAATTGAAAGAAACTTCTTGTAATTGCTTCTTATGTATAATTCCATGTAGTGAAAATTATTTCGGGATATTTTATGTTTCAGTGTATTCGGGCATATCCCAGGCATACGCTCAGACTGTAAATAGAAGGCTGTAAGAAGGCCTTTTTATTCGGGTTATATCGTATATGGCTAATTTTCTGGTTATTTGGGCTATAACCCAATATAGCCCGAATTCAATCTGGCTACAAATAGTATCTGGCTAATTCATGCCTTTGGGTTGTGGTTTGTCCTGGGTAATTTTCGCATAACCCAAAGCTATAGCCCGGCATAACCCGATATAGCCCGAATGACATGGAATAACCCGAATATATTAATTTCTTTGTTTTTCTTTTTGCAATGGGACAGCAACAATCCTCACCAAGCGGGCCATCACAGCCACCAAAGGACCAGCAAGAGAAGAACTTGAACTTAAAAAAGAAAAAGAGGCTGAGGGGGCCAGAAACGCTCTCAAAGCTTCCAACTGTCTTTCCACAAAGCAAGTGCATGCTGCGCCAAATAAAACTAGAGAAGATACGCGACTACTTCATGCTGGAGGAAGGCATTCTTTCCTACCACCAATCTGCATCTGTCAAGGAAGGCGAAGAAACCTTCACAAGTGAAAGGGCAGAAGTGGATAAGTTCAGAGGGTATCCAATGAACCTGGGCACACTAGAAGAATTCATTGATGAAAACCATGCAATAGTCAGCACAGGCTCAGGACAGGAATATTATGTGCCAATATATTCCTTCGTGGATAAAGACGCACTTGAGCCAGGGTGCACGGTGCTTTTAAACCACAGGGAAAGTGGAGTGGTCGGGGTGCTAGAAGGAGAGACAGATCCTTTAGTGAGTGTCATGAAATTGGAGAAAGCACCAGTTGAGACATACGCAGACATAGGTGGACTAGAGCAGCAGATACAAGAAATAAAAGAGGCAGTTGAGTTGCCCCTCACAAACCCAGAACTGTACGATGAAATGGGAATAAAGCCACCTAAGGGCGTAATTCTATACGGTGAGCCAGGAACCGGAAAGACTCTTCTGGCAAAAGCAGTGGCAAACCAGACATCTGCAACCTTTTTGAGAATTGTTGGGTCAGAGCTTATACAGAAGTATCTGGGAGACGGCCCAAAGTTAGTCAGAGAGTTGTTCAAGGCAGCAGAGATGTATGCGCCTACAATTATATTCATTGATGAAATTGACGCAATTGGGGCAAAAAGGTACGACACAAATTCAAGCGGAGAGAAGGAAATAGAAAGAACCATGTTGGAATTATTGAACCAGCTGGATGGGTTTGATACCTCCTCGGATATAAAGGTGATTATGGCAACGAATAAGATTGAGAGTCTGGATCCTGCGCTAATTAGGCCAGGGCGTATTGACAGAAAGATAGAGTTCCCTGTGCCGGATATTCAAACAAAGAGGAAGATATTTGGGATACACACGACTCGAATGACACTCTCCAAGGAGGTTGTCTTGGATGAAATGATTGGAACAAATGAGGATTTGAGTGGGGCTGACATAAAGGCAATTTGCACTGAGGCTGGGATGCTTGCGCTCCGGGAGAGAAGAAAGCAAGTTACCATGCAGGATTTCACAAAGGCCAAGGAGAAGGTGCAGGCAACGAAGTTGGAGGCTATACCGACATCCTTGTACGCTTAATCGGGATGTATCAATAAACTGAGTTTTTTACGTCGGGCTACTTTCTGGTTACATGCAGCCAGATGACTGTGGTGTGTTTTTGTAGAGTGTGGCTATTTGGTTCTATTTAATTTAAGAAATATTTTCGTAAAAACAGAAGGTTTTAGTAGGGCATAATTTAGGCCATATAAATATATAAATGCACTGCCTCAAGTCATGTGGGTGGAAAGCATGCAATACAAATGTATCCTAAATATAAACATGTCCTTCTGTTTGATAACATTTATAAATGCAAATTTTGGTGTTTTAAGTAGAGGCATAGCCTGTATTCTAGTGGCAATGCGCATACAAGAACCATATCTATGATAATTCTGGTTATATTTGTCTATATCTTCATGAAATACTGCTAGTATATTGGGTCTGCCCACCTGGAATTTATCTAAATCTGCAGCAGTATCTTTTCCAGTAGTAAAACCTTTTAGTACCACTCTTGCTTGCTTTTGTAGACAGGTTCTTGAAAATATGCAGAATATTACTATTTTCATTACTCTAATCTGTATTTAAATAAAACTCATTCACAATAAAATTATATATGAAGGCTTTTATTTTTGAGGATTTATATTGAAAAACACAAATCCAATATAATCCAAGTGAGTAAAAAGCAGAAATATACAGAGACACATGCATATATCAGGCTGCATACTATAACCCGAATTATTAGTGTAAACAACAAATATTCAGTGCAGTTAGTTTTAGTCATTTATTTCGGATAGGTATGTTCAGGCATATATTCAGACTCAACCAATAAATGGCCTTCTGCATGCAATGACCACCGTACAGTTATGTCTTAACTGTATTAGAACTACTTTTCTGTAAGAATATAGACAAGTATATGCACAAATGAGTTTATAAACAGAAATACTCGAAATATCCAATATAACATGACACTCAAAATTAACAACCCTCACACTGTATCTATGAATAGATCTAGCACTACTGCAGTTTCTTTGTCTCTGCATGCATTATTCCCATACAATAAATCAATGCGCCTAAAATGGCATATAACTCAAAATAACCCGAATATAACTTAAAAATAACTTAGACTAGCTATAGCATAAATATTTGGATTTTTTTGAATGCATGCATGGCCATGAGAAGAAAATCGTAAAGGAAGTTCTTTCCCATAAAAGATCAATCCACATGCTATACAAAGGCATACGCCTAGGCATAATTCTCAAAAACATCGCATACAAATCAGAAGAAACCCTTGTTATAATAGGGTGCACCCAGCAGTACATCAAGAAATTGCAGAATTCAATGCAAGAAGCTTTAAAAAACACAAAAACGCAAAGAAAAGTTAAAATACCCCGAGAAATAACCATAAAAACAACCAGCGCCCAAAGAAAGCGAATCTACAACGAGCCTGGAACTGTTTTTGTGAACGAACACATTTTCCTGCTGGATATTCTGAAGGATAATATTCAGGTTAGTTCTGGACTGATTCGGGTTGTATACGCAGTTGCAGAGAGATTCCTGCCCTGTACAAAGACAATGATGGATTTTATTCTTTTCGGGTTCAACGGCCCTATAAATATACTATTTGAATGGGCTGCAAATAAATCATTCGCAGATATTGCCATGAAAGGATATTTTCCTGCATCTGGGGTGTTCTTATACCCTGCCTTCAGAAAGTCTGTCATCAAAGCATTTGGGGATCTTGAAGTAAATGAAATAACCATTCCCATAGACCCGCACAGAAGACAGATCCAAACAGAGCTAATGGAGCTAGCCAGAAAGGTAAAGAACATTGGTAATAACTCAGGCTTTCGGGAGTACATCCTAAAAACAGTTGCATCCTTGGAGTTCGGATTATTTCTCCTGCATAATTCCCCAATTGAAAGATTCTTGCAGTATATTCGGGATATTTCAGATATTTCGCATGTGATGAACCAATTAGTGAAACTGTACGGAATTCCAGATACAATCCACTCCAGAACAGTGGTCTACCAGCACATCCTGGCATGGCTTAATTTACCAGAAATTGAAATAATACTGGAGCTGTCCCAGGAAATATCCAAAGAAGAAAAAGCCTTCCCAAAGAAAGCACTTTTACAGAAAATATCAGAAGAAGACGCACTAATCTTCGTAGACCAGCCAGAAATAACCAGAAACCAGGAAATAGACCCCAGAGAGTGCTATGGCCTGGATTCTGTGCCAGGCAGAATATGCTCCAGCCAGAAACTTATTTCATCAATTCACACGCATCTAAGCAAGCAAGGCATACAAGCAAAAAAGAGGGAAAAAATCACTGAAACCAGAAATAACCCAAAAATAACTAAAATCATCCTAATGAACCACTCCCTGGGCTTCTTAAGAAAGGTAAATATGTGCCGTGAGAGATGGAATAAAAAAGGAGTAGAATTTTCAGTGACAATTATAAACTTAAGAGACTCCTCAGAGGAACTTAATTATCTGCAGGAAATTGCAGCAGAAAAAGACGCATTCCTGTATGGAATAGGCTTCAAGCAAAATAGGCCAGAAGCAATAGACAAAAATCTTTACACAAAGGAGCCAAATAACCCAAATGCACCCCTTCTGGAGATAGACATAAGAGAACTAAGAAGCTCCCTGCCCCTCTATTTAGCACAAAAATTCAACAGTCAATTTCGCTTGGAATTTAAACAGCTCCCAGTGGGTGACTACATTTTAAACAAATCCTACTACATAGAAAGAAAAAGGATTGATGACTTTGCAGGGTCCTTGAACAATGGGAGACTCATGAAGCAACTGCAGGCACTAGATTACATCCGGGGGTCAGGCTATTTATTAATTGAATTTCCAACAGAAACAAAAATAAGCTTTATGAGCTATACAAATAGGCTGCAGCAGATAGATTTAACAAGCAAAATTATCACGCTCCTAGAAACCATGAAAACAACGTACATATTTTACTCTTCAACGGAGAGACACTCCAGTGCCCTAATAAATGCACTTGCACGCAAGCCAGCAACTGAAATAACTTCGCACAAGGCGCAGTCACCTGCTGTAATTGAGGCACTTATTTCTGTGCCTGGTGTAAATAATGACAACGTCAGTATAATATTCAAGAGATTTCAGTCAATGCATGATTTAATAACTGCATCAAAGGAAAGACTAATTAGTGCACTTGGGGAAGTGCATGGGACCCGGGTCTACGAGTTCTTTGGGGCGTGAGTAATTCGTGGTTGTATCTAGTTATATACAGGGAATTTCAAGCAATTTCAAGGTTATATCTGGTTGTATACGAATAATTTGGGTAATTTGAACAATTTCTGGCTATATATGGGCTATATACATGTAAGTAGTAATAAAATGTATATTATGTATGTGTTAAAATTACCACATAATTAGTCTGTACTACAAGATATTCTGCATATGGAAAGTATTTCCGTATATCACTCTACTACTAAACCGCATGAAAATATTAAAAGACTAAAAGAGCCACAGACCAGATAGATCAATCATGTGATAGAAATAAACTACCCTTAATAACTACCCTATACCACTATCTATTACAGACTAATATTTTCTCACTGAAATATTTCTTCCCTCTTAGCACACCATATTATATAAGGAGAAAGGCCTTTCACTAGCTGATTTTATTAAAATAATTAAATATATTTATGCTTCAATAACCCTGCATATTATCATGTGACAGGTTTATTCTTATAAGAAGCATAAGAAGAACAAGAAGCAGAGAGAAAATACTTCTTTATGGTGGATATAACCCGTGTTAAATTGTCACACTTTAACGCACAAAAATTGTCGCCTAGAAGCAAAGTGACCTGGCTATGAAGTTCTCATGGGCTGGATTATAAATGGATGATATTTCCTGCATGTATGCGTCTAGCCACTTTTTTGCTTTTTTGTCGGAAATTTCAACATTCTCTAATACCCACAGGACAAGAGACAATTTCGAAGGAGAAAACAAAGAAATTGGAATTCCTTCAAGGACACTAAGCACACGAATAATAGACGTACAGTGCACGATTATTTCTTCTTCTGGCTGGATCTCCAATAGTTCCAAGATCCTGCCACTTTCTCTCTCGATTATTTTATGGAAGCCAGAGTGCAATCCGAACTCATTAAATATATCACAGAGGGCACTTAAGCCTACAACTAATTCTGCCTTCTGCCTGAATATTTCTAATTTCGGGTTATTTCTGGTCTCTTTCCCAGGGGAAATAATCTTATTCACTAAATACTTTCCAGCCTGCAAGGTAATCCTATTCGCAGCCACAGAAGAAGTCCCTTTAATCACAGGATTCTTAACTTCCCTGCATTTCTTAATGAATTTCACATAGCTTTTTAATAGTCTCCCATCTCCTTCCTCAAAAGTATTCTCTACAGCAGAATAGAATTGCACTCCCAGACAAAAAATCACTTCATTTTCGTACGTCTCATTTTCCACCTTAGTCGACAGGTGGTCTAAATGGGAGATGCACACAAATTCAATTTCCTTCAGATTTCCTGCTGTTTTGCACCAATTTACAAGTGATTTATGGAATATTTCATATTCATCCTGGAATGAGAATATTCTTCTGTATGCCTCCGTGTGCACCTCCGGGTACATTCTGAAATATTTTGGCATAAAGAATTCAGATCTTCTTCTGTGCACTAATACTGTGGTTTTATTATACAGAGACTCTTCCACAGGAATCCTATAAGGCGTATTCACTTTATCCCGGGCTGTCCCAATTTCATTCCTACTATTCCCTGATACTTCAGATTTTCCATCAGAAATAACAAGAATATTAGTCTGTGCTAGTGCATTATTGTAGAATTTAAGTAGTCCAGGTGTACACCACAGATTAATCAATAAGAATATGCCTGCTTGCTGCATTACATCCAAGATAGCCTCTTTCCTGTGAAAATTCACTTGCCCCAAAATATCCGAGATGCACTCAAGTATTCCCAGGGTGTTCCCAGGGATTATTTCACTCTGATTTTTATCATCCCAATTTTCTGCATCTATTTTGATTATTTCTGATATCCGGAACATAAACCGCATACTACTCACTAAATAAGAGATTTCTTTCTTTTCTTCTGCAATTTCCAAATTACTTTGCAACAACCGCATGCAAAGAACTTTTGAAGGGGGAAGTGGTTTTTTATCTTCTATAATTAGCACCAGAATAGATGAAGGAATAAATAAGCCTTTCTTCTTAGATTTAGACAGTAGATTAAATAGTCCTTCCAGGTCATCCTCCAAGGCATGAAGTATTTTCCGTGTAAGAGAATACGAGTGAGTATTTTCCATGGGGAATATTTTATTTTTGGAGTATATAAAGTGAAGGTGTTTAAAGTGAAGGTGTTTTAAGGGGGGAGTATTGGAAGATTATGGTTTTAGTGAGTTTATATATACTTGGACTAGACATACTCGGACTATATAAGAGGGGAGTATTGGAGTGAATTTATTTATACTTGGGTTATATATACTTGGAATATATAAGGGGGGGTATTGGAGTGAATTTATTTATAAAGTGAAGTTGTTTATATTCTTGTTATTTATAAAGAACTATTATATAGAGGATATTAATAATTAAAATCTTATGATCTATGGATATTTAGTCACAGATATAACAGAGTATGACTAATTACAGCAGTAGTCCAAGTATAGTTAGTCACAAATATAACAGTACCCTACTAATTATAATAACCCACTAATAGTCCTAGTATAATTAGTATGGTTAGTCACAGATACAACAGTATATGATTAATTACATCAGTATCCTACTAATAACCCGAATATTTAGTCACAAATATAACAGTATATTACTACTATATATCCTAAATAGACTAATTACAACAGTATTTCCTCCCTCTATATATTCCCATATATTCCCGTATACAATTAGTCACCTTCTCTTGTTTGTTTATAAATTAATAATTCCATGAGAGAGAAAAGAGACTTCTTGCATGAAAATAAAGACAAATAGAATATACAGATATATCCATGTATACCCAGATATATTCACGTATATCCACGTATATATACGTATAACACAAATACATTTCATTTTAAACACTTCTATCATGATATAACCCGAAATAACCCGAAACCCTAAAACCCCATAAATATGCCTTAATACACACTAAAAACACCGTTATACCCCATTATACCCATATATACACCTCTATACACTATTATACACTATATTAACCAATTTTAATCATGAGACCCAATTATTACACCTCAGAATCCCATTAAAGTTCCATTAAAACAAGCACCCTAATTATAACCAATTACCACACAATATACACTCATTACCCCATATACACCATATATACAATATCTCCCGCCAATATTCCCCAAATATCCCACATATTTTCCCGCCTAATAATTTTTACCCGCCGGCGGCATTTTAAAACTATAAATACAAAATGAATTTTAAGAAGCATGGAGCAAAGAGAAGCACAAAAAACAACACAAATGATTTCCAGACCAGAAGAACCAATATTAACAGAATCAAACAACAGATTCGTAATATTCCCAATAGAGCACCATGACATATGGGCACTCTACAAGGACGCAGTCGCAGTCTTCTGGACAGCAGAAGAAGTAGACCTGTCTAAAGACCAAGCAGACTGGGATAACCTAAATAATAATGAAAGACACTTTATATCCTACGTACTCGCATTCTTTGCAGCCTCAGATGGAATTGTCAATGAGAACTTAGTAGAGAGGTTTGCTTCAGAAGTGCAAATAAGCGAAGCCAGATGCTTCTATGGCTTCCAAATAATGATCGAGAATATTCATGCAGAGATGTACAGTCTACTCATAGACACATACATAAAAGACACAGCAGAGAAGAACTTCTTGTTCCAAGCAATTGAAAATATTCCTGTCATAAAAAAGAAGGCAGACTGGGCACTAAGATGGATATCTGATAAAGAGGCTAGTTTTGCAGATAGATTAGTCGCATTTGCATGCGTAGAGGGAATATTCTTCTCTGGGTCATTTGCCTCTATATTCTGGTTGAAGAAAAGGGGACTTATGCCTGGATTAACATTCTCTAATGAACTTATCAGCAGGGATGAAGGTCTGCACTGTGACTTTGCATGCTTATTGCACTCTCACTTGGTGAATAAGTGCGAGAATATATCTAAAATAGTCTTGGAGGCAGTTGAGATTGAGAAGGAATTCTTGACAGACGCACTGCCTGTCTCTTTGATTGGGATAAATGCAGATACAATGTGCCAGTACATTGAGTTTGTCGCTGACAGGTTATTGCTTGCCTTAAATGAAGAGAAGATTTTCAATGCACAGAACCCCTTTGACTTCATGGAGTTAATTTCACTCAGAAGGAAGGCGAACTTCTTTGAGATGCGAGTGGGTGAATACAAGAGGGCATCAGTTGGGGCACCACAGTCACAAGGGTTTGCCATGAATGATGACTTTTAATGGGAAATGAGACAAAAAATACACAGAGACATGAAGAATACAAAGATAAAAAGCACAGTTAAATAAAAACACAGTTAATTAATTCAGGCATTTATTGGTTTTATTATATTATATTCGGGAGATACAGTTATTTGTTGTTTTTATTGATAAAATGTCGGGTATTTTCAGTTAAAGAGTGTTGCAATAGGTATATGTGGGTATATCCTGCTTTAATATAGACTAAATATCTAGTATTTAGTATATCCCACTGTAATTAGTCATATCCTGTTATAATTAGTCATATTGTGTTATATTTAGTATATCCTGATACAATTAATATATAGGATATAACCCTGTTGTAGTTAGTCATATTATGATGTAATTATTCATATTGTGTTGTAGTTAGTCTATACCTATATATTCCTGTTATAATTCACTATAATTAGTCTATCCCTATATATTCCCACTATAATTCACTATATTTAGTCTATCTATAACTAAAAATTAATTAAAAGATTTATTATGTCTATATATACTAATATACATAGTATTCGTATTACGCACAGGGAATATTCATATTATTTAGGAATATATTGGGTTATATACGGTATGTATAAGATTGCACTTCTTATAATTAGTCTATTTATATGCGTATATGGCTTATATAGGGTTATATTAGACAGAATAATATTCTGACGTATATAGTCATATATAGCCAGAGTGACAGAACTATTTCCACTTTTTATAAACTAGACAAGACTTAATCCACTTTGTCAAGACTTAATCCACTTTGACAAGACTATTTCCACCTTGACAGAACTTAATCCATTCTATTCTAAAAATGACAAGACTTAATCCCTGCTTCCTCCTGCATTTTCATGTATTCTCTTGTCCACTTCTTTCCCTAATTCTTCCCCGAATACGTAGTCCATCCATTGCAGCACCCCTATGCTCCATCCAAATCCATCTTGCACTGAATATTCACCTGAATTCTTAACGTATTCTATTTTCTCAGGTAGACTATTATGTACACTGTAATATTTGTGCATTTCCAGGGCGTAAGAGACAGAAACCTCCTTGGCCAGTGATATATTACCAGAGCGTATTAAATATTCCACAGTCAATTGGACTAAGGGTGGCCATACATTATCCCCATCCCACTGATCATTCTTTATATGTTCGTTGTATACAGCATCTTCTAGGGTGCATTTTATGCTTAGATTTTGATCGGGTTTAATCGGGTTATTCCGGGTTATCTCTGATTTATTTGTGCTAGTGCAAGGTAGTCTATTATTATGCGTCCAAATGTACTTTTTGTTGGCATTTAGGATATTATTCTGTGGGTCATTCACTATATCCATGTATAATGGGTGTAAGTCACTGTGGTAGAATGCTTTGTCTTTTTTTTTCTCTGAAAAATAACCGTCTTTTTTTTTCACTAATATTATATCTCTCCATCTGCTGGAATTTTCATCCCACATTAAGGTGTCAATGGAATTTGCTAGTTGATTCGCTTGTGCTTGGTAGAATTCTGCCTTTTTCTTGTTGTATTTGCCTTTTTTCTTGTATGCCAGGTGCAATAAACGTGCATTTTTAACGAAAATACTGTTTAAATCAACAGGAATTATATTTTTTGTATTTAAAAAACCGTACATTTTTGATTTTTCATCAAAAATTCTCCATCTTTTTGAGAAGTCCCATCCGGACTCTGTGGCTGCCGTGATGTGCTTGTAGTACGTGCCATTACCCATTAGCTTGTAATTTTCATTTGAAATTAAATCTGAGATAAACATTTCAGGTCTGGGGCTATCCGTATCAGGGCTATATCTAAAAAGTATGTGAGATTTTCCTAAATTATCTTTTACTTTTACGGTTCTGTTTTTTATCCAAAAAATAAATTCTTTATCTGCTGCATTTAGGTTATAATTAGATATATTCACATCGATATTATTAAGGGCCTCAGAGTAATACGTTCTAATTAGGGGTTGCTGGATTATAACGGGTTTTTGTGGATTATCTTCAGTGTTTTCAGTGTTTTCAGTTATAACGGTTTTTTGTAAATTATTTTTATAAAAATTTTCACCGCTCAATGTATTTTCCGTTATATCTTCATTACTCAATGGAATATCCTTACTATCTTCAATATCCAGTGTATTTTGTGTTATATCCTTAATGCCCTTACTAATTACTGCACTTCCAGTTAATTTTCTTAATTTTTTTAAATTATCTTTTATCCCTAGCTTATCTATCTTTTTTGAAATATTTTCTATTCCTGGTGTACTTTTCACTTTATGACTACCCCCGCCTGTCCGTACAATTTCCCTGATTTTCTTAAATTCATCAAGTGACTCGAATAACATCTGTGTGAAGTATGGGGGCTGTGACCTATTAGTGTAGTACCATCTGGTGCCATTAGGAATAAACCCGAATACGTTAATTTGGTCTGCAAAATTATCTAGCATATTTTTAACGGTTTTTTCATCTTTAGATATAATTAGGCCTTTTTCCATCCAGAAGAAATCCCAGTAATATGCCTCTTGGAATCTTCCCCCTGGGACAACTATATTCCTTCTTTGGGGAATTATGCTTTTCATTCTATTTTTATTTGGGTTTTTAATTAGTGCCTTCCATATACGGCGTACGCCTGCTAGCATTTCTTTATAATTCGGGTTATATCGGGTTATAATCGGGTTATATCGGGTTATATCAGATTTTGATTTTTTAAAATATTTTTTGGAAAATTCTGTTATTTTAGTCTTATTCTTAGGCTTAATCTTGTTGTATTCTGTGATTGTTCTATTTATGCTGTAATTCCAGACTAAATCTGGGATGGTCTTTTCATCTTCTTGTTCTGTATGGAAGCATAAGTCAATGAAAAGGTTCCAGGCTAGATTATTTGCGTCTTTTGAGAAAATTTTTGTTTTATGATTTTTTGCCGTTATAAAAAGGTTTTTTTGTTGTTGTTCTGTGATATTATGGCGTGCAATTTGGACTATACGCTCAGTAGAGGGCGCTGCACAGGATACTCTTTTCTGGGAGAGTGTAAGGCCCAATATAGCTAGTATTATAGTGAAGTATTCTTTTTTCATATTCTGCCCAAATTAGTATATCTATGGCTATTTATAGCTTAAGATGCTGTCATATATTATGCATTGTGTTTATTGTTTGTTTATTTCGGGCTATTTTGAATATATCGGATTATAATGGGATCATTTGATTATTGGGTGTTATTGGGTATGATGTGGATTAATTCTTGTCATTTATGGATTATATTTTGTATTATGTGGAAATAGTCTTGTATTATGTGTAAATAGTCTTGTATTATGTGGAATATATTTTGCATAATGTGGATTATATTTTTCACTAAGTGAATTATATTTTGTACTAAGTGGATTAAGTTCTGTACTAAGTGGAAATAGTCTTATTCATATAACCAGAATATAATACAGCCTAACAAGACCAAGACTTATTCCCAATATGACATTAATTAATCCACACAGTGCAAGACTTATGCTACTCTTGACATTAATTAATCCACAAATAACAAGACTTATGCCCAATATGACAGGACTTATTCCACACAGTGCAAGACTTTCTCCTTAAATGACAAAACTTTTTCCACTTTATATAAAACTTATTCTACTAATATATCCCACTAATACCCCGTATACACCCCATATATATTCCGTATATAAGTGTATGGTTAGTCATAATTACAGTGAAGTGTGACTAATTATACTAAATACAACAGGGATAGACTAACTATACTAAATACAACGGAGTATGACTAATTATAACAGAGATATACAGTGGAATATACACAAGGGGTATATAAGGGATAGACTAAATACAACGGGAATTTAGTCTATTTTACAACAGGAATATAATAAATATGCAAATTATAGACAGATTTAAGTTATAAAATATATAGACTAATTATATCTGGGAGTATACAGAGATAGACTAATTATAGTGGGAGTATATATTAGTCACAAATATAACACAAATAGACTAAATACAACAGTAACTCACTAATTAGTCATAAATACAACAGTAATATATAGTTAGTCATAAATACAACACACTAATACTAAATACAGCAGTAGTATATATTAGTCACAAATACAACAATATCCCACTAATTAGTCATAAATACACCACAAGTATATAGTTAGTCACAAATACAACACACTATGACTAATATATACACAAATAATAATATTTTGAAATAATTCATTTATTCCCTACTAATTCCTTCACTTCCTTCACTTCCTTCACTTCCTTCACTTCCATTAGTGCAGTGACATCTTCTTGATTGGTGAGAATCTCTTGCCTAACAGGAATCCAACGGCAAATAACCCACATCCCATTGATATCATGGCAGTTACAGATATATTATGACCTTTCTTATTCATTTCAGTTAGTTTTATATTCATGTTCTGCACTAAATAGAACAATTCCTGCCTGTGACCCTCTTCCTGCTGGGCATGCTTCTTGGTCACATCTATTAACGACTTAAGCCCATCCCTTACCTCTAATATATGCGCAACCATGAAGTTAGTCACCTTTTTAACGTACATTACATTATCTGCAATGGGTTTTCCTTGTGGGTCACCCATCACAATACGTAAATACTTTGTAAGATGCTCTATCCCAGATATAATGTGCTGCATATCTTCAGTAGGGTCTATTTCATGTGGTAACCTGGGGATTGTCTCATTTATATCTGCATTATATGCATTTGGGTCATATTCTGGATGTTCTTCTCTTTTGTACAGTGAGGCACTGACTAATTTAAACGCATTCTTAACAGAGGCTGCATAATCTGTGGTTAATCCAAAGTACTTTCCTGATAGTCTACTACTAATTTCTGCCATTTGCGTATATCTTACCCTATCATATATGAGATTTTTATCTTTATCGTATATTTCTATCTTGAAATTTTTTTCTGTTGAAATTATTTTCAGGGTTAACGTATTTTTGTCTTTGAAAATATTTGGGTCTGGACTGTCTTTTAGTTCGATTGTATCTGGGGCTAATTCTGTATAGTCAGTTTCACCATGATTTACAGATACAATTATATCTACTCCCTTGCCAATGAACTCCAATCCTGCCACTATCCCGTTGAATTTGCCTTTTGCGCCTTTGAATCCCCCGTGTCTCACTGGGTCTTCTGTGTACCAGGCGTAAATTCCTGCGAATTCTGGGTATTTTAAGGTAGGGACCTTGAAAGTGATTTCTAGTGACCACTCATCCTCTTGGGTATTCTTGTTTTTGAAGTTTACAATGGATCCTGAATTGCCATTTCTGAGGGACCATTCATTATTTTCTTTGATCCCATTGTAGAGTCTGGCTGCTGTGTCTGTCATCTCCAGGCCCTGGAGTTTTTTTTCTGAAAATTTGCAGACTGAATACTTTACGGCTAATAACCCGATTAAACCCGATATAACCCGAGGTTGCATAATATTATGCGTCACAAGAAAGTATTTATAGGAATGGTTTCCATAACAAACAATCAGTATCATAGTGTTTTTGTATATATTTTCATGTATATTTTGTGGTCTAAATAGAGTACATGCATAATTTACGTATTTTACTGTATATAAGTGGACTAATATATCTGTACACTGGATATGTACGTGGAATTGGTATAAATTCCTTATGCTCTTGTGTAAACCCATCTGGTGTATGTGCTATATTATGTATGCGGCAGAATTACAATAACCCGATTATAACCCGATATAACCCTATTATAACCCGATATAACCCGATTGTAACCCGAGTTGGCCCTAAGCAGATTATATACGTAACAGAGACAGACTACTCCACTGTAACCCAGACTAAGACAAAGACAAGGCACACAATTAGGACGTATTTAACTACAGTATTGCAGAATGTACCAGTTACTGTGGAAAGAAAGCGTACAGTTACAGTTACACCAATTCCTGTTACAAATACAAAAATAATAACGGAATTTTTAAAAGTAACAAATATTGAGACAATTACTGTTGTACCAAGTATGCATTCTGTAACGGTCAAAAGTATTCAGGTTATAACTCAACCGCCAATTTTATCTACAGTTCGGGTGAGTGTAACGGCAGAGCCTGTGATTCATGTGGAGACTAAGGTTATAACAAGCATAATTACGCCTAAGCCTATTTATATAACAAATACAACAACTTCTGTTAAGACAGTGCAGGTGCACCCTACATTATACAAGGATTACATTAATGTTAAGCCACTTGTGAATGATTCTGGGGTTCTTGTTGAATTTCATGATTCAAATAATAAGGTGAAAACCGTTAGGGTTATATTACCGCATAAGGAAATTTTTGAAAAACCTGAAAATTTTGAAAAATCAAAATATTCGGGTGTGCCCGGGTATAACCCGAATAATGGGCCAAATAATATGCAGAATAGTGGACCAAATATAGCAGGAAATGACCTTAGTAGACCAAATAATATGCAGAATGGTAATAACCCGTCTAATATGCAGAATAGTAGACCAAATACAACAGGAAGTAACAATATCCCGCGTAATATGGGTTATAATGGACCAAATACAACAGGAAATAACAATATCCCGCCTAATATGCAGAATAGTGGACCAAATACAACAGGAAGTGACCTTAGTAGACCTAATATGGGCTATAATAGACCAAATACAACAGAAAATGGTAAAATATTCACTATAACAAAAAATACTCCAATTATCTCTACGGAAGTGATTTCCATCACCAGATCAGTCACAAAGACAGAATATGTCCATAAACCACAAGCCACAAAGAAAATAACCATGAAGCCAGTGACAGTAATTAAGACAATAAGTATCCCAGTGGAAAGACCAATTAAAATAAATCACACCGTAACAGAAACCATAACTAAAACAAAAACAGAAAAAAAAACAAAGATACAGACAATATTTTCTACAATTATATCAAGTCGCCCCCGACTGACTGTAATTAATACAAAAACCCAACAGAAAAATAACTTCCTGACAGTCACACTGACAGAGACCCTTAAGCCCACAGTGAAAATAATCACAGAAGTAAAACCCGTGTATATAACACAGACTAAGAGACTAATTACAACAGGAACAATAACTAAATACGTGACTATAACAGAAGTGCCTATTCCTACGCTTAAAGTAGACAGGACGCAAGAATATTCGAATATTATTGCAGAATTAAGGGGAAAAATAGATGAATACAGGGATCTATTAAGGGAATCAAACAGAATAAGCGATGATCACCAGAAAGAGATAAATACATTAAGGGAACTGATGAAGAGGAATACTGCTTGATTAATACATGGGGAGAATATAGTATGAGTTAGGGCATAAATTGTGGTGAAAGTGGATTAAGTTTTGCCATATATGGATTAAGTTTTGTCATATTCGGGTTATATTTTGTACTAAGTGGAAATAGTCTTGCTAGATATGGATTATATTTTGTACTAAGTGGATTAAGTTTTGCACCAAGTGGAAATAGTCTTGGTAGATGTGGAAATAGTCTTGTCATGTTATATTCTGGTTATATGCCCTGCAGTGTATTGGATATAAATAGACTAGATAATTAAATAAATATTTAAGTTTAATAGGATTTACAGTGACGCAATATAGGAGTATATAAACAAGACTATTTACGCTTAGTGCACAATATATTCCACACATGACAGGACTTAATCCACTTAGTGCATAATTTATGACTCAATTGACAAGACTTAATCCACTTAGTGCACAATATAATCCACTTAGTGCAAGACTTAATCCATCATACCCCTATATAACTAGTAGTACAAGAATATTAAATAAATATAATTTATTTTTAAAAGAACCAGGATACACTAATATACTAAGAATAGACAAGAGTAGACTAATTATACTAAATACAACAGAGTATGACTAATTATACTAAATACAACAGAGTATGACTAATTCTAACAAGATAAACTAATTATAAATATACAAGGGGTATATAAGGCATAGACTAATTACAACGGGAAATTAGTCTATTTTACAACAGGATAGAATAAATATACTAAATATAATAGAATTATACTAAATACACTAAATACAACAGAGTGTGACTAAATACACTGGGATAATACTAATTATAACAGACCATATATATTAGTCATAAATACAACAGTAGTATATAAGTTAGTCACAAATATAACAAAATTATAAGTTAGTCACAATTACACCACAAGTATAGGTTAGTCATAATTATAACAATATATGACTAAATACAACACAAATAGACTAAATACAACACAATTATAAGTTAGTCACAAATACAACAATATCCCACTAATTAGTCACAAATACAACACAAATAGACTAAATACAACATAATTATATATTAGTCACAAATACAACACAAATAGACTAAATACAACAATATACGACTAAATACAATACAAACCCCATTGAATATGCTCTTTTTATTTAAAACTACAATAAATACATTGGTTCAATGCACTTAATTGACTTGCACTTCTTTGAGCACGTGGGATCACTGCATATACAAACTGTCATACATGACTTTTCCTTACCAGGTTGCCCCCTACCACTCTTAAAATATTTCATAACCCCAGATAAAAAGTCTCCACTGAACTTCTCATCGTGTAATTCCTGGATATCCTTCTTTGTTGTATTGGAAATGTCTTCAATTAACATTTTTGCAGAGATATAATTCTGGCTCATAACGTCTTTTGATAGATCCCTGGCCTGATAGAAGCCAATATCTGATAAAATTCCAGTTGAAATAATTTCATCCTTTGATTCAACGGGAACCCCAGTGAAATATCCTGATGAATCAATTAGTCCCCCATCTTGATTCATTTTAAATTGTATTTTACCCCAATAGTCACTATATATACCACCCCCTACTGGATATGCCATTATTCCTGAAATAGGCGTAATCCCTGGGATTGCACCTTTTCTTTCTATTAGGCTGCTGTAGTAATTGCCTATTACATTTGCTGCTGCTAGGCCATCTTGCATTTCTGTTGTTCTTAGTGTGCTGTATCCTGTGTATACGCCTGGGCCTGTGTTGTGGAATGATGGGTTAGTCATGTTTATATCTGGTTTCATTGGGTTATGGCTTGGATTGTTCATTTTAGTGGGTGGATAACCTTGGTTATTTTTATAACTGTCATTTTTGTAATTGTTGTTAATTTCCTTATTTGGATTTTTATAACCGTCATTTTTATAACTGTCATTTTTATAAGGGTTATTATTTTTATAAGGATTATTCATTTCCTTATTTGGATTTTTATAACCGTCATTTTTATAAGGGTTATTATTTTTATAAGGGTTATTACTTTTATAAGGGTCCATTCCTTTTGATGCTCCTTTGCTGTGGTATTTCCCTTCTGACTTTGACTTATATTCTTCTTTGTTTTTGAAAGAGCCTTTGTCGTTATGTTTACTGAATATACTGTATGCTAGTATATTTTGTGTGACTAAAGTTAGTATAAATATGTATTTCTTCATGGGAATTTGGGATAAAAACGGTTATATAGTTAATTTTGGTGAAATGTATGGGAATTTTGTGTATTTTATGATTGTTGCATGGGTTATTTCGTGTTTGTAACACGTTATATTATGTTTGTTTCTTGTTTTAACGTGTTATTTTGTGATATTTGGTTTTAAAGGTGTTTGTTTCGTGTTTTAAACGGTTATTATTGGGTTATATTGTGTTGTATTATGACTAGTAGGGTATATCGGGTGTTTTAAATGGGTATTTTGATTATTTTGCATTGTTTTGAATTATTTTACTATGCCATGAACAAGACTTATTATTTTTTTGTAACAGAACCTATTACGTAAGTGACAGGAGTTATTACGCAGAGGACAAGACTATTTCCACTTGGTACAAGACTTATTACGTGAAGTGCATAACTTATTACGTAAGTGACAAGACTATTTCCGCGGAGTGCAAGACTTATGGCTAGTTGGACAAGACTTAATACACTTCTTCCCGAAACTAACAAGACTTATGCCACAATGTCAAGACTTATTCCACACTGTCAAGACTTATGCCACACTGACAGAACTTATTCCATTTTGTCAAGACTTATTCCACTATGACAGAACTTAATCTACCTATCCCGAAACTGACAAGACTTATTCCACACTGTCAAGACTTATGCCCAACAATACACAATATATTCCACTTTACCAAGACTTTTTCCACTCAGTACAAGACTTAATCCACTATACGTCCAAAACCAAACTGTAAATAGCCAATAAATAATAAAAAGACATTAATACTCACTAATACACAATAAAAACCTAATAAAAATCAAAATCCCGTTAAATCCATGATAAAAAATAATATCCAATTTAATAAACTATCACTTCCAGTTAAAATACATTGACACTAATCCTATCCCAATCTCTAACGTAATCAAAATAATTATTATTTTCTCCAATCTTTCCCCACTAACCGTATTTATGTGTGTAGATAATAATGTAAGTATCTCGTGTATTACATCACACTTCTGATTAACTATTTCAGTTCTACTCTTCAATTCCAAATATAATTTAAAACTCTCATATAACGAAGTATAATTAGGATAGTACCATAATATCTCAGGTGTATCCAATATGTTCGTTGATAAATTCAAATTAAATTTCAATTTATGCAAGACACCAATTAATTTTATCACTTCTTCTCTCTTTCTGGTTGTAAACCCCTTTGCTACTATCTCATCAGGTAGACCCCTTATGCTTTCTATTGTTCTTTCAGCATGTCTCTCAAATACGTCCAATTTAGTGCTTTGTGCTAGGGCATTAGAAATAATCATCTTATTATATACTGACTCATTATCCAGATATATTACATCATTAATGATTGATGCGCCTTCTAATACTATTCCATATCTGAAGTCTTCTCTTTCCACTAATTCCTTGTTGTAACTCATTTCTTCAAAGAATTGCTGGTGTGCTAGTAGTTTATCTCTGGCTTCTTCTTGTATTCCCCAGAATACTACTACGCCGTATCTGAATATGAATATATCACCTTTTCCTGTGGGCTGATTAAGGAGTATATGTATGCACTCTCTGAAGTATATGTGGATATCTGTGTAGGCTGATCTTTCCTTTAAGAAGCCAAATAATTTTATGATGTTTATTTTCTCTGCTGTGCATAGGACTAAGATGTCTTTTAGTTCGATTGATTTATCTATTCCATTTTGTTGTTTATGTTGTTGGATTGTCTTTAATTCTAGTGCTTCCTTTGAGACTCTTCTGTTTTCTATTCTTGTCTTTTTTGTGTCATTTGGTTCTGCGTATTGTTCTTTCATAAATTTATTTATTTTATGGGGTATATTTATAGTGGATATTAGTGTATCATAAGGGGGGAGTATTGGTTGGTGTGTTTTGTTTGAGAGTATTTTGGGTGTCATAGGGTTATTTTGGTTGTCATGGGGGTTAGAGAGGATTAAGTCTTGTCATTTTGGGCATAAGTCTTGCACTAAGTGGATTTAGTCTTGCACTAAGTGGAAAAAGTTCTGCATGTTGGGGAATAAGTCTTGCACAAAGTGGATTAAATTGTGTACAGAGTAAAAACAGTCTTATTAAGAATGGGCTACCTCTTAGTCCATATACGTCTATTAATTAGCAAGAACTGACTATTTATTAGTGCTTATATCTGGCTATTTATTGGTTATATGTGGGAGTATGTGGGAGTATATAAATAGGACTATTCTTAGATCTACCTATTACAGAAATTAATACGCAGGGAACAAGACTTAATCCACTTGGTGCAGAACTTAATCCATATAGTACAAAACTTAATCCACTTTGTACAAAACTTAATCCTCATAGAATGACAAAACTTAATCCACAAATGACAAGACTTAATTCTCTCTAAATAATAAATAGGCTACCCCATATGGCTATCCATGAACTTCCCGAATTCGTATACGAAGGAATTCCTGTATATCCTTGTTAATATCTGGTTGGAATTAAGATCCTTTAAGGTGTATGCATATGGTACAGTGCTTGTTCTTATATTATAATCCTTAGGGCCGTTTAGTCTGAATATATACGGGAATAGTTCAAATTTACAGATATATTTAACGTATTTATCAGGTCTATACGACCATTCTTCTGTTAATATCTCATCTTCAACGTACTTTAGTATGTCAAAGTCACTAGGCAATGTATAATAGTATATATGGGCTATTTCTGTTATAATTTCATTAAGAAGTGTCTTAAAATATTCTGCAATTAATGTGTCCTTGGTGTACCACTTGTCAAAGAAGCAGAATGTCCTTTCTCTGTGCAGGAATGTCTTGAATATCCCTATTTCCTTGACTTTTTCATGGAGTTCATTTGGATTATAACGGATTTTTCCTGGTTTATTACTGAAATTCGGGAATATTATCCCAAGTTCATTGATCTTTAAGATTTCCACGAAATTATTTATCACTTCCAGGATAATTTCCTTATGGATTGCGAATTTCTTGAGGACCCACAGGTGCCCTTGCATTATTTCTGAATATTCTGTGAGTGTGCCTATATAATCATCTAAGTATCTGGATATATTATCTGATAGTAAGAGTTCTGTTACTTGTTCAATTGGGGTTTGGTTGGGTTTTGATTGATTTTTGTGATTTTCGGATTTTGAGGTGAAAAAATCAACTGTATTTTCTAATGAATTTGTTTTTCCTGGGAGGAGGGGCAGTCTGCTTATGAAGGGATGATTAATTGATGATTCTATTACTTGCTGGTATGCAAATAATCTTAAGATTGCATCGTATTTCTTTTGAACCTTTATGTATTCTCTTGTTATTCCACTGGTGGAAATGAATCTTAGCCAATTACTGTTTTCATGCAGGAGGGAAGCGTGTAAGACTTGGTCTATGCTTTCATACAATATTTCTGTTATTTTTGATGAGCACTTAGTAACTGCCTCGTGCATGAAAATAATTGCAAAAAAAGATATTTGTTGGATATTTGTTGTATAATTATTGGATAATTGGGTATAACGGGTTTTTATTTCCCTTTTGGGATATTTATTGAATATATACTGTTTTTATTGCCTAGTTGGGATATTTATTGCCTTATTAGGAGGGTTATTCGGTTATTTGTTGCCTAATTTGGTTATTATTTCCTTATTGAGTATATACTGTTATTACTTCCTAATTAGAATATATCGTTATTTATTTCCTTATTGAGCATACTATTTCCCAATTAGGATATTATCCCATAATTAACTATAATTAACCAAAATTACACCCATATATCCCAATACCTAACATACGTATATTTCTGTTGTAATATCCTTCATAAATTCATAAAATAACAGAATAAAAGTGTCTTTACTTCTTAATGAATAATCCATATAAGTTATACTTTATTAATGATTTATTAATGGCAGTTTCCTGCAATTGACTTTCTTTCGTTAATCTTCATGTATTTTCTTAAATGTCTCATTCTTCCGGTGCCTTCTGCTCTTCTTCCCTTTGCCTTTGGTGATCCTGGGTTTCTCCATCTTCTTTCTGGGTATGCACAGCTTGAGCAACTGTTCTTTTGCTTGTGATATGACTCATTTCCGCATCTGATGCATTGTATGTGATTTCTCTTATTTCTCTTACCAAAACTTGTAGTTCCCTTTGTCATTCTCTAACTGGCCGGGATGCAAAAATAAAAAGAAAAAGAAGAAAAAATTAGCAGACGGATTGTTTGGACTGGGAAGAGTATAGAGAAGTATAGAGACGTATAGGGAAGTATGTGATTGAATAGTGTTAATTATTGCTGCTTGGTGATTAAATATAGTTAATTAGTGGTTATTTACAGTTAAATGTGGTTGGTTAATGCTTTGTATGGTTAATTCTGGTTTAATATGGCTAATTGCTGTTATAACCGGTTAATTGTTAGCTAATTGCTGTTAAATGTGGTTAATTGTTAGCTAATTACTGTTAAATTTGGCTATTATGACTATTTATAGCCAATTTATGTTATACACAGTTAAATAGTGTTATATACTGCTATATATAGAGATATTCTAGTTATAAGAGGCGTATACACAGTTATTTATATCCAATTACTGTTAATTACTGTTAGTTACTGTTATATACGTCTAATTACTGTTAAATAAGTATTTCATACAAGTTATATACGGCTGACTAATGCACTTAGTATGATTCTTTCTTGCTTTTGCAGAATTTTTCTTGTTTCTGGTGAATTTCATTCGGGTTTATTTGTCACTCTGCAAGAATATTTATAGAGGAGAAATAAACATAGTACAAATACATATTCCCAACTAACAACAGCAGTGAATGATTAGAATATAACCTTATTTAGTCCAAAATACACTAGTCTTAATCTAAAGTACAATCAGTTGATCTAAAATTTGCTTTTAAGTTTAATAATTTGTTATTTTAATATGCTGAAAGAGACAGAGCGCAAAGAATCCCTATTGATTGCATTTTTTGTTATAATAACGCTATTTATTATTATGTGGGTTATAGCAAATATATTTCGTGGATTACAGTACGTATTGCGTATAGTAACATATATATTTCATGTTTTGCAAGAACCTTATCAGCTTTTATGAAATTTCAAGAAAGACAATCTTAGAATAAAGTTATATGGTAAGCCGCATTATTAAAATAATAAAAGGCATTTACTTAACACAATTTAACCAGAATTACTTAAAGAATGCTATTTTCTGGTTATCTTCATTCTCATGCATTTTTAAATATTTTCTATGGAAATATAGCCCGAATTGTGAGCTTATTCTTGTGCTACCTCTTGAATAGTGTGCCCTTTTGTGCTTTGTCTAAAAATTATTTTAGTTCTTTCGTGCAGCCGCAAATATTTAATATATTCGGGTTATATATGGCTATATATGGTTGAGTAGTGTGCTTAGACTAATTCTTTCTTGTTTTTTTTGAATTTTAGTTAGGTTATTTGCTGCTTGCAAGAATATCCGTAGAAAATAAATAATTTTACTGTGCTCACATATTCACAAGTAATAAAACTAACAAATATCTAGACTTAATCTAAGCACTTTTTAAGTTTAATAATTTGTTAATTTAATATGCAGAAAGACACGCATGAAGATACAGGTTTTGACCGAATTCGAAGAAGACTCCTTATACTCTTATTGTTGGCTCTTGTTATAGTTGTAATATCGACATTCTTTCTACTAATGCACGTATTGGATATGATAAGACTACCAGTGCAGACTGTATAAAGTTCTGGGAAAAGCCAGTCTTACAATAATGTGACATGGTAAATTCTGGTTATTTCATAATAAAAGGTGTTTATTTAATCTGAATTTAGCGTACTCTAGCTGCATAATTAGCCAATAATACAGCTAGTAGAGTTATAACGTGAAGGATATTCACTAATTAATTTTGCTTGAAATTTAAAATGGAAATAACTCAGAATATGGTGCATGCACTTATATAGTGTTATTTTCAGATTGTTTATTTTCATGCATTTCTTTGAATATTTTCATTTTTAGTCGTGTTCCATTGTAGAGGATATTTTTTCCCCTTCGAAATACTAGGCTTGGCAGTACTAAACTTGGATATAATTTATTTTTCATTGACTATATACAGTCTCTAGTAACAGCTGTCAATAATTGTTTTACTCACAAACACATGAGATTTGGCTGTTAATCTAAATATGTCACTTCTTGCTACAAACTCGGCGTGTAAACAAGTTGAGCCTCTTGTAGCATGCTGGTCTACAGCTAAATACTCAGATGGCAGTGGCTAACACCAATCTATCCTGTTGACCTGGGAAGAGAGTTTTATGCTCTCAAGGCAAGGAAACCAACAGTAAAGAAGTATTATACTAGAGAAGGCTATATTATATGGGAATATAGCCTGAATTAACTTAAAATTCATTTTGGTTAAATTTTCTACTTCTCAAATTTGAGGCTACTAGACTGCTAATATAAAGGGAAGTAGTTTCGTGAAATAAGAAAATTAGAAAAACACTATGTAATTATCTGAGAATATTTTAAAAAGTGGCACATTTTAATTATCAAGAATACCCGAAATTCAATGGTGAATAGCTACTATACATTCATATATCTGTGAAAATGCTCTAATAAAACATCCTTAATAATGACTATATCTTTTTTATACCACTATTTGGGTTATATTAGTATAACCCCATATGAAAATGCTACACCACAGTAAGTGTGTTATCTTAATATGCATGCGATCCTAATCGCTCTAATAATCTTTTTTCTTGCTATTTGTGGTTGATCTGCTGATGGTTCTTTAACTTTTGTCATTTTTCGTATTTTCTGTGCCTCTCTCTATAAATAAATAAAACAAGTTCATTCTTGATTATTTCTATAAAAAAATGAAGATATTTATATTTCGAGGATAAAAAGAATACAAAAAGAGAAAATAAGAAAAGCCATTCTAGAGGGAAGATGGTCAAAATGCGCTGTAATTTGGATATAGCCTAGATAACATGCGTACCTTAGCAGATTTGCGCTTTTATGCGTCTTTTACAGGTTTTAGAAGACACTTAAAACCGCACTTGCAAGATATGCAAGGATATAATGTTTATCTTATCTTAATTTAGTATACTAAGCTAGAACCCTCTAGAACCCGATCTAATATACATATTATGTAGATCTTTGCAGAAAATGTGCATGCATAGTAAACTTTGCTGCATTCTAGCCGTATTTAAGCTATTCTAGCATATAGAAAGAGAGTATATTTCGGGCTCTTGTTATATTCGGGTTATATCTAAACAAATTGAAAGTTCTGAAATAAAAGCAGTAAATAAATAGTGCACATGATATTTATGCAGGATTCTCTGGTTTATTCTGTAATTATTCGGGTCTTTCTGAAAGTACTATTTACAAAGCACTTCTAGCCAATGAACATGTCACGAACTGAACCAAAGAAGAAAATATCTACTAAATGTGCAATCTTAGCACCGCAAAAATATAAAGCATCCAAAACTATCACTTTCCACTCGAGTATTTGATTGCATACACCGTTTATGACATTAGAATGTAACAGCATTTTATTATTTCTAAAATTTAAACTATTTTAACAGTGAAATACACACAGCTCTTGCTTCTAAATTTAAGCTGCCCAAATAACCCAAAGAAAAGAAGAAAAAGAAAAAAGTATGGACTTGAATATAACCCGGCATAACAGAAATATAACACACAAAGAGATATAACACAAATATAGCATAAATATGACCTGAAATATAACACATATTCATGCAATTTAAACCATACATTGCAGGACACAAAGGCACTCCTTAGTGCATCTTAGTGTATAATCGCTAAATACTCACTCAGAATGGTTTCTTGGCATATTACTCCAGTAGAAAAACCTCTATAATTTTAACTTATTTTGGCTACACCTAACAGACAAAGGAATATTTGCACAAAAATAATTCGTATGAAGATATCCTAAATAGTCCTACATAAATATATCACACCAAGAAATACTCAATTACAAATTAGTTCCATTATTTATGGGTGCCTTAAATGGCTACCTAAATATGCTTTCTATTCTGGCATAAATTCACTGGCTACCCATACTATATATTTTTATTTTTTTATAACCCGAATTATATGAAAGAAGAAGTCAGTAGATATAAATATCTGGAAAGCAGAGCCATGTCAGGAGAACTATTGTACCCATACGACTTTAAAGAGAGCATGTCAATAAAAGCAATAATTGAAGTGGTAGAGCAGGAAAAACTAACAGCAGAGACCATAGATGCCTCGCAGTACAGCACAAAGAAAATAACAACCGCAGGAAGAGTCCTTGCCATACGCTCAATCGGAAAGATATCCTTCATAAGGATAGAGTCAGCAGGACAGTCAATCCAGATCATCTGCAAGGCAAAGTGCAAAGATATCTTCAGAGGAGACGTAATAGGTGTTGAAGGCACAATTGGCTACAGCATGAAAGGAGAGCTAAGCGTAATAAGCAGTAATATTAGAGTACTTTCCCCATGCCTGCACATATATCCTACAGTGCACTACGGCCTCAAGGAGACAGAGCTAAGATACAGACAAAGATACCTAGACTTAGTCCTGAATAAAAACAGTTTAGACAGATTTGTAGTCAGGAACAAGATCATAAGCTTCATTCGCAGGTACCTGGACAGCAAAGACTTCATGGAGGTTGAAACTCCTATGATGCACCTCATCCCAGGAGGAGCAGCCGCAAAGCCATTCACCACAAAATTGAACGAAATGAACATGGACCTGAGCCTAAGAATATCCCCAGAACTGCACCTTAAAACACTTTTAATTGGAGGAATCCCCAGGGTCTACGAAATTGGAAGACAGTTCAGGAATGAAGGCATTGATGCAACGCACAACCCAGAATTCACAACATGCGAGTTCTACATGTCGTACGCAGACTACAATGATGTCTTGGAAATCACAGAAGAGATGCTCAGTAATATGGTCATGGAAATATTCGGGACTAAAATAATCGAGTACACAGTCCACGGAAATGCGAATGCAGGAGAGGCAGAAGAGGAAAAGACTGTAAGGATAGACTTTAATACACCATTTAAGAGAGTGGATATCCTGAGTGAGCTCTCCAAGAAGGTGGGGGCAGAAATAACTGGAGACCTCCTGGAGACAGAAGAAGGCAGAGTCCTTCTGGATGAATTATGCCGTAAGAATAACATCAGGTGCAGCAACCCCAGAACAACAAGCAGACTTCTAGATAAATTAGTGGGAGAGTACCTGGAGAGTGAATGCAACAATCCAACATTCTTAATGAACCACCCAAAGATAATGTCGCCACTTGCAAAGGAACACAGAGAAAGAAAGAACGTAACAGAAAGATTCGAACTGTTCATCTTAGGGAAGGAGGTGTGCAATGCATACACAGAACTAAATGACCCATTCGATCAAAGAAGGCGGTTTGAGCAGCAAGCAAAAGACAAAACAGCAGGAGACGATGAAGCACAAGAAATTGATGAAGACTTCTGCACAGCCATGGAGTACGGCCTGCCACCAGCAGGAGGATGGGGAATTGGAATTGACAGACTTGTCATGATGCTGACAGGAGCACAAAATATCAGAGATGTCTTGTTCTTCCCTACAATGAGACCACAGCCAAAGCAGCCTGCAAAGGGAAAGGAAGAAACAGCACAGAAAGAACAAAAGTAGTTGAGGCAGTGAAGTGAAAGAGTAGTTCATGGATAGCGACACGCGCATGCTAATTATTATGATGAATAGACAGAATAAATATCTAACTATTTAATTTTATATACTGCATATTCTTCAGTACATTTATATTGCACACATGGACTAACAGTCTTTTTAGTTGTCTCAGTTGAAGAATCTGGTGTGCCCTGATGGAGACAATATTTCAGTCAGAAGGCAGTAGTCTATAATCAACGGGTACTTGTCAAGGAAGTAGTATTTTTATCACTTGGCGGATGCCTTTTCTGACTATTCTCATGTGCTTCTTCTTTTAATATTTTCATACGATTTAGTAGTAGCCTTCTAATATATAAATCAGCGATTAGAACAATACAGCATGAAATATCATGAATAGTATGTAATACCACAGAATAACATGAAATATCAAGGAGTATTACGAAATACCACAAAATGTCACAAAATATTTGAATTTATTGCAGGAATGTGGGGATATGATTACTCTGGAATCCCATTTACGACGGAATTAATTATCGCAGCATGATCCATTTGCGTGCAGTTCCTTTGCTGCATGTGATGATTGGCTACTTGATGAATTGCAGAAATAAGCGACTCCTTGGTCTCTTCTGCGGGTGCTAAAATGCACGGTCTCCTGTGGGTTATGCGCCCTGTGGTATCTGATTGATTCGTATCTGGGGCAGCCTCTTCTGTATAACCCAGTGCATGCGGCAGTCCTTCTACTAGCCACCTAAACTCAATTAGCTCTGGATAATTCAGCGATGCCACAAGATCCAGGAACTGCAGGGCTGCATACCCCACGGATGCATTGGCAGATGTAACTGACTCTGAGGAAAGAGTATCCATGGCTTCACTGATTGAAATGGGCCACATATTTATCAGTGCGTCAATTGGCATTTTTATGCAAAGCACGCGGCAAAGATGGAAGGTCTCCACAAGCAAAATCTTGCTGCCACTTGAAACTGCGAATATTTCACTAATTAAACTGAATATTCCAGGAAGGTTCTGTGTATATTCGTCCTTTGGGGCACATAAAATCATGTAACGGACTCTTTTTATCAAGGATGCCCTGGAAATAATGTCTGATTCACGGATGAAAAAGCTTGTCGTGTTGGCACGATTAATTAAATCCTGCACCCTATCGCAGTCAATTAAATATGCGCCTATATGTACCTTTATGTGAATATTAGGAAGGGTGTCCTTGAAAAACCTTTCAGATAATATTTGCTCGTAGAAGTCTCTTCTGCAGGTTTTACTTTCTGGGAGTTTCACTAGGCTTCTTGTTATTTCGAGTGATTTGCTGTAGAGAGCATTATTTACAGGCAGTTTATAACACGGAAGTATAAGCATGCTCCAAATGGCAGATGTATCCAGGGAATAGACTCTTTTCACGGCAGTTATGATAATCGTATCAATAATATTCAGCAGATCAAGCATATCTGATGTGTTATCTATTTTATCTGGGAGGGTCTTTTTTATGCCTAATTTACTTGCAGATACAACAGAAGACTCTAAGACCTTATTTCCTAAAGAAGTTCCTGCTGCAGAACTAGTTGACTTTAAGTAAGCAGAACAAAACCATAAAAGATCACTTGTTTTTGGGTACATCTTCACCTGTGCTAGAATTGTTGCAATATGCGTATGCACCTGTGAGGACATAAATATACTTTCATTCTTGGTGTATTCTGCCCACTCCCTAAGCAATTTATACTTTCCCTTTAAGTCACTCCCAAGCATATGCAGGAAAACCTGCTGCTCAATGGTTTTCTCAATTATGGATATAAACTGGATCTGGCGATTTTCCAGGTACTCACTCAGGATTGCCTCTGCCAGAATACCCGGTGACTTACTATGAACTACAAGCACATACCTAGAAAGTATCTCCAAATTATTCTCGCATTCGTATTCCTCTGCAGCCACACTTTCTGCTGCATTTAATTTGAGTGCAGACAGTCTACTGTATATTACGGCGTATGTCTTTAGTAAAATGTGCGATATCCTGTCCATTCCGCCATCTGCAAATACGTCTGAAAACTCCATACCACAATAACACACGTACTCTCCTTTTTCTGGCCACGCGGGGATGCTTTGGTCATTGGAGCACGTACTTTTCAGGCCAGATGCACCCATATATATGCAGTGCTGCAAGATATATTGAATATGATGAATATTCCATCTGTTATTGTCTGCCGCTTCTTCTTTGTCAAAGTCTTTTATTAAGCCAGAAATAAATTCAAGCAAATCCAGAAGGACGCTGCTCTTTTTTTGCTTTACACAGTATATTATGATTTCTGTACGAATATTTTCCCTTTGCATAAATATTTCCAGTAAGTCACTTGTTTCTTGGTCACTCTTTAAGAGGAAGAATATATCCAGGGCGTGTGGTATGCTATGCCTTGTTGTAACACTTTGCAGGATTGCAGCTGCTGGGGATGTGTGAAGTGAAAATAGAACTGAAGAAAAGTCTGTGCAGACCAATTCTTTAAGGAGTCTCAGGGAGGTCTCTTTGATCTCTTGAATATTCAGGGCAAGACAACTGTTATTTCCTGCTTGTTCTATGTAAGGTAGCCCATCCATGATTTTTGAGTTTGTAAATTCAGCTGTTGCATACATTAGAAGCAAGTGTAAAATAACGGAAGCAGGGCATACTGGTACATCCGATGCATAGTATCCTGATAGATCAGATATTTCTGCCACTTTCATTTCTGGGATTTCTTGATGATTTCTTAAAAAGGCTCTGAAACTGCATGAATGTTCCAGCATGCTATCTAGAATCTGCAGACCGAATAAGACCCTGTTGTAATCGCAGTCCACCAAGAAGATAGTCTCTTCAATCTGCCTTTCACACGGCCAATTTAAGCTCTCAAATATTTCTGTAAATATTTGTGCATTTTCATTGACTTTTCTGCAGAGGTTTATGGCCTTCTGCCGGACAGCATAACTGCGCGAGGAGCAGAATGAAATTAGGAAGCACAGAAAGTGTGCACTTACTTTGCTAGTTTTGCATTGATCTACTAAAGAGAATGCTTGGCTTAGTTCTGCAGATTGATCGAGTGATGGGCGTACTCTAGTCCCTTGGTATATTATTCTTTTCTGCAAGAGGCTTTGTAGCTTTCCATTAAATATTTCATCATACGCCCAGAACGTATCTGCATCCAGGACAGCTGCCTCATACAGAATAGTGCACTCCTCTTCTGATAACTCACACGGCACAACAATCTTTGTCAGAGAATCTGTGATCATTGCGTGCACCTTCTTTGAATTTTCGCGACAACTCCAGTACTCCAAGAATACTTTTCCAATTGTCTTAACAGCTGATGTATACGTATCTAGTAGCTTTGCAGTCACTGGAATCGACAGGAAGAACAGAATTGGCTGCAGTCTATTTATCTCCCTGTCCTCTAAGTGTGCTTTAATTTCATCCCAAATCAAAGAATACGCAGAGTCCACAGGCTGTATTATATCCAGCCACTCGTACGGGTATATCTTACTCTTTATGCATCGGGTTATAAGAAGCGGGAGTTCTGTTGTTTGTGTGTGCTCGTCTATCAGGTTGTATCGAATTGCTGTTTTTATGAGCTCCATGTCAAGTGGCGCATCTAAAAATATCTCCCAAATAATCCGCTTATCAAGTATTTTGAAGAATGCACTTGCATACACTTCATTTTCTACGTCTATCACGGAAAGTATCCACAGTATAAGGCGCTTAAATATTTCCGGCGATTCTTCAATATTTTGCCGAATTGCCATTAGTATCTTAAAGCACGCACTGGGTGACTCATCAAATAACATGCATATTGATGCAAATATTAGGTCAATCCCATCTGGCTGTTTTATCAAAAGTGTGATCCACATTTGCACTCTTTTCAGGAGGGAGATTTCCTTTAATAAAAGCAGTTTTAATACGCTTAAAGACACATCTTCATTATACGGATGTAAGTCTAAACCATCTGTCTTGTAGGAAAGCAGCAAATCAAAGCTCTTCCTAAGGGTGATGATCTCCTTTGATTTTAGGGCAGACACAAACCCTTTGCTTAGCATGTCACTCCGGCCCCGCATCACTTCCAGGCCCTTATCCACCCGCAGAATATACATAAGACACCCAGGGACAAGTTCTGTGCACTGCCCCATGGCCTCCCATGTGTTTACTAAAACAGTCTTTGCCCCAACCTTTTCCTCCAAAATATTCAGTACCTGAAGGGTCATCCCGTACTGCTCGCTATTCTCTTCCTCCAAGCCCATAATCATCCCAAGAATCATTTTCTTGCAGATGTTTATGGTTTTGTCCCCAAGCACTTCAATTATCTGCTTAAGCACCGCAAGATAGCTAGGAATGCTTGTGAGATTTGAATGCGAATAAAACCCGAACAGTCCTAAAGTAAGCACATCTATTTCCTGCAGCAGGCTAACCTGTGATAGCTTTGGCATGACAATTTTGTATACGCCAAGTGCTTTCATGTGCACGCCAGCAGGTAGTGCTGGGTTAAGGCACTGATTTAGCCTTCTGTATAGGAGATGCGGCCTAGGAATGTGCGTGTACTTGTTTACTCTAAGGATGCCTTCTAGGCCTGTTAGATATGCAACTAAGTCAGACCAATCATTTGCAGTTCTGAATAATTCGAGTTGCTTCTCCAATGCAATTCTGAACTTTTTCTCACTCATTTTATGGTAGTGCAAATAAAAAGACTTATAATTAGAAAAACAAAGGGAAGGTGTGTTTAAGAATTATTTGCACGCATAGCCCAGAATAATAGAAGGAGAAGAGCTTAACTATAGTGTAATCCCAGGGATGGAAAGGCAAATAAACTGAAGGATTTTGTTTTTCACCTAAAAGTGAGAAATATTTGAGGTGTATTAGAATAATCCAAATATATTCTGTCATAACCCGAATAACATGAATATATAATGGATTATGGACACTTGGATTATTCCCAGCAGCGATAAAGTATATTCATTCTTAGCTCATTTATCTTGTGAAGTTACATGAGTTTCTGGTTTTTCTATAATTCCAGGTAGTCCATAAGTCTAGAGAGTCCATAACTCCAGCTATTCCCATGTTATACCCATATATTTGCATAATTAGAGCATATTAGTATACTTTAAGCATATAATTCAAATATAGACATAAATATGACCGGAATATGCGTCAAATATATCTGTAAACAAGTATTCCCTAACAAACAACTGTAAACACATCATATCCTGGGGAGAATCACATATGAGTGCATTCTATCGCTATAAATATTTAATTATCAAACAGATTGGAATTATTATAATCGCAGGATGGACTCAATTGAAATACATGCCTCCATAACCCAAATGCAACCTGAAGATAACGCACAGTGCTTTGGTATGGATCTCTTATGGGTTGGTTTATTTTATTTATTCGATTCGTGTTTTTAATATTTATGTTTGCATATAAGGAGAAGATGCCCGAAGGCATGTCTGAAGCAGAATTAAACAGAGCAGGTGTAATTAGATGCGGAAGCGGTGATGAATTATATGGAGACAATTCTGGGACTAGTTTATCAATTGTTGGGGCAGATTTCTGTGTAGTTGCCTCAGACACAAGGCACTCTGCAATGTACAATATTAACACGCGGCAAGCAACAAAGTCATTTTGCCTGGACGGCCGGTTCATTCTGAGTACAACCGGGTTCTATGCAGATTCCAGATACATTTTCAGTAAATTGGCATACGAGATAGATAAATATCAGTTCAAATACAACAAAAAGATGGCCATAGAACAAGCCGCAGCACTTTTGCATGTTCTCTTATACACGCACAGATTCTTCCCGAAGTTCACGTATTGCTGCTTGGTTGGGTTTAATGAAAATAATGAGCCAAAGATATTTTCGTATGATCCAGTGGGCTCGTACCAAGAGACACCCTGCAGGTGCAATGGGTCTGGTACTGCCTTGCTACAGCCAATGCTTGATTCTTGGATCACTCGCAAGAACTGGTACTGCGAGGAGGGAAAGAACTATGTGTGCACAGAGGAGGAAGTTATTTCTTTAGTGAAGGATGTCTTTAATAGTGTAGCTGAGACAGATGTGAAAACGGGAGATGGCCTGGAGGTGTACGTAATCAAGAAGGACCAAATAGTAAGAAGTGAATATCCACTTAGATCAGACTAAATTACACAAAATAACGATGCAATAAACATACTCCGTATACTTGTACTACTTAGATTATATTTAGATGTATTTTATCATTTTAATCCAAATTATTGCACTTCTGAAAAATAAAGGGCTTTAGACCTCTCTGGTGTGTGCGGATAAAAAATGCATATAAATAAATTTATGCTTTTATGCATGGAAATGCATTTGGAAGAAGTAGGTAGAATGTAGTGGTGAATAATTTATAATAAAAAGCCATTTAAATGGGGCCTAATAAGGAAATAACCGCATTAACGGTCATATGGGCCCAATAAAAACAGAAATATTTATGAAAATCAATTTTTAATTCATACTAAAGTGCACTACGGGTACACTCATAAGGTGCAATATACTTCATGGTATATTTAGTTATACTTGCTATTCTGGCTATTTAGGGAACAAAAAGGCTCAAAAAGAATACTTTAGCTGCAGATTCTTACAAGACCCGTTAATTGCGCTATTGCCTGCATTGTTTAAGGGACTCAATTGCCTCTCTTCTTTCTGCTCTCTCTTTTATTTGCATATGTATTATAGACAGAATCTCCTTGTAGCACTCGCTTGGCACTCCATCTACAATAATGTAATTAAGAATATTTGTTGGTAGCCTTGGTGCAATTATATACGTGTATAATACATCTATGCAGTTTGTTAATCTTGGCATATACCTATACATGTAAATCAACCAAACGCCACATATAATGTCACTCAGCAGACTACCCATATAAGGGTTATGATACCTCACCATTTCCAATATTTTTATGGCATTATCTGGCAAATTGTCTGAAAATAACCGCCAAAATATCAGGATATTATAAAATTGGTGTATCATCATGAACTCTGTTGAAATAATGTCGCGGCTAGATTTTTCTTTTATCTTTTTGCAAATAAACTTTGATAGCTCGAAAGGAGTTCTCATAGCATCTGCTTCATCGTAGATTATCTTGCATTGATTTAGAGTTGTGAAAAGAAAGGAATCTATATTTTGATTGGTTATAAAATTTGGGTAGAACAGAGAGAGACCAGAAAGCTCTATTGCAGCAGTTATATGTTCCCTTATGTTTTCATCAAGTCTTGTGTATGGAATTAAATTTGAAGTAAATACTATCATTGGATGTTGTTCATGGTGTATATGCGGGTATAAATTAACAATAAAAATTATAAATACTTTTGTAATAACATTTTGGGAAATCACACTCCCAAGCATTAGCAGCCTATTGTATTCCACAAAGTTATTTCTAATAAGCTTAGTAATTTCGAATTTTGCAACTTCTTCTCTAAAAATTTCTGCAGGATTTTTAACTAGCATGGAAATTGTTTTGACATATTCATATTGCAGATGCGAATAGAATGTGTTGCCAGACTTGTATTTATTCCGCATGTCCACTAGTTTCTGGTCATCTTCATCTGAAATATATGGTTTTGGAGTTTTTACACCCATAAATATCTTAGTTTTAGATATGGAAAGCATGATTGTTCTTCTTGTTAAGCCGCTTCCTAGAATTATATCTGCCCACCCAATGTATTCTACCCTTTCATAGCAGTAGTTATTATTAGCTGGAAACATTGAATATTTTATAATACTTGGCGTGAAAATGGATATTTCTGTAAAAAGATATTCCATGTATCCAAATAATTCACTTTTCTGCTTCTTCGTGTACGGTTTGTTTGCAGTCAGGATTTTATCAAAGTCTCTGTGTCTGGGGGTATCCACGGATGAAAAACCAGTTATTTCACGAATTGCCTGAAGCATATTAACAAAACCACACCTTAAATTGTTTCCAGGCACTTGGTATATTATATTCGGGTTAGGTAAATGGGAAACAACCTCATTCCAGTCCATATACATGCGCAGCGTAAAGAACTCTTTTGGCTTTTTATACTTCCTGAAGAACTCCTTGAACTTCTGTGATGGATTTGGAATATGGCTTATATCATACTCGTCTGTCTCTGGATTGTATAAGAGTGAAAGAATGAGTTTAAGAATGCTTGCATCATTTCCATTCAAAAAAATACTTTTAAAACTATGCACATACGCAGTTCCTTCTCTGTGAATAACTGGCAGTGAAAATATGGTTTTGGACCATCTGAATGATATGAATGGAGGGAAAACTTGTTTTTTTAGAATAGTAACAAGCTCCTTTGCGTTCTTATAATCCTCTGCAATTGTATTTCTGTAGTCATCTGTTGGCTGAATAAAGCATTTGTTTAATATTTGTGTTGCAGTTTCGTGCCCAGTGCCAAATATACCACTGCATTCATTTAAGATCTCATACACCGCCCTAAGGAATCCTTCTGCCTGCTGCACTGAATCCACAAATTCAAAGACATACGCTTGTATGAGGAATTTCATGCTGCACAGGAATGCCCCATTTTTAAAACTGTCCTCTGTCATTGGATCTGCATTTAATCCAAACGCATTAATAACCGGTGCATTGCAGTACTCCATAAAGAATAAAACAATCTCGCACAGACTTTTGTTGCGGTTGCTTGAACCATATACCCCCTGCCTTGTATACAACACATCCTGCAATTCAATTCTAAAGTGCTCTTCAGATTTTTCTCCCTTTTTAAGAACAACGTATGTGGCAGACCCAACAGTCTCAATGTGCATAGGCACAGTTAAATTCTCTGCCATCAGAAACAGCGCTGCCAGAAAGTGGTTCTGGTGATCTTTGAATTCATCTAACCTAAATGCACTAATGAATGCATTACTAGTTGGAAATTCAATTCCCACACCCTTCCCAAGAGTTGAGAACATTAAGATAAACACGTTACTTAATTGGTAGATATACCTTTCTATACTAAATGCATTCAAACCATGTGGTGGGTTGTTGTATTTAATCAGATTTATAAATGGCTTATAGCATGGTCTATCGTGGTGCGGAATTCTAATCCCATAGAAATCCCAATTGGGGGCTTGAGACTCTTCCTTTACTGCTAAGTAGTGCTGTATATTTATATTTGGCGAATATAGTCTTTGGTTTATGATATACGAGTTCTTACAATATAGATATCCTCGCATGAAATTCAATGGGCCGTCCTTTGCTACTACTAAATTATTCTCTCCAAATGTTAGACTCATGATCTCAAAGATCTCTTCAAGCTCCAATCTTGCAAGTACTTTTATCATATAAAATGTATTAATTAGGATGTGCACTAGAATGATACGTTTCCATGTTTTGTGTGTAACTCTTTGTCTACTCATATCTTGCATTTTATCTATAAATATTTTATGTTAAAAAATTCTAATCTATAGATAGGAAAGTATGTAAATTTTGTCTATATGGTGATATAATATCTTCCTGTGTTTTTAATAATACTTCAAAGAGAAGTCGTTTTATAAAGGATGTCTTCTTGCTGCATCGTGAGACACACAAAAAAGAACTCTCCAGAAATATTCAAAATGAACATGTGACTCATTGTAGTATTTCTATGAAATTGTTACTTTAATGTCAGGAATGTCTCTGCATCTTTAATCTAAAATCTACAAAAGTATTCAATAATCAGTAATCTAGAGACTTTTATGCAACTTCACAAGAAATATATAAAAGCAGTGCATGGAAAGAGTACACAGAGCATACAAGAACTAAAAGATAAAGGTTTTAAGACGCCTGCAATTTTACATATCCTAAATACCCCGAATCTAATACAGTATCTTTCTGGCTCGTTACTTTTATTCTCACTCTAATATTGCTCGCTAAAATAGCAGCTCTTTGTCTCTATTACAAATTATGATATGGCTAGTTTGAACCCGTGTCCAGTGAATAAAATTTAATGGAAAGTAAAAGTAAAAATAGAATAGTAGAAGAGGTTTAATTATTACTTCACATATAACCAGAAAATAACTGTTGTTGCGCGTGTTGCATTCTTATATACCTGGGGTAGTTTCCTTCTTATCACATGCTGGCCTCCTAGGAATAGAATTACCGAATTCTTTTCTGTTCTTAGTATGTGTAGTCCTTTTACACTCTTAGCTTAAGTTATAAGTGGCAGAGGCTAAACCGAAGTCTCAAGTCGCCCGTGTTTGGGTGTATTTGGAGTTGTATCTGTTTCCTCATCGCTTAGTTCAGATAGCCTGTTTTTTGCTACTTCTAAATCTACCTCTTGTTGATCACAGAGCTTTTTTGCTGCATAATATACTTTATATTCGTTATATACATGCTGTGACCCAAGTACAATGATATCCTGGATATCATTCATGTTATTTAGTGCATTGGCCATAGCATCCATATAGCCCAGGCGCTTTTCATACAATTCTATTATTGCTTCCAAACAGTGTGTGTCTTTTTTATCCTCTTTCAAATAGTTAAGCTCTTTCTCTCTCAGTATGAGCAATAGTTTATCTTTGGCTTGCATTACGTTAACAAGCTCTAAATTGCATTTTATAACTGCATTCATTTTTTCCTCGGTGTCTACTATTTGCATAAAGTATTTTATGGTGTCTTCTCCCAACCTGTACTTATACTTGTCTAGCTCGTTTGTAGAATCACAAGCTTTGGTATATATTTCGTCCTCAGCTCTTTCTTTTTCCTTTAGCTTATTTGACTTTGTATTCAGCATACTAATTTCATTCTCTATACTTAAGTGCTCCATCTCTTTTCTGCTTGGTATTTTAACAGGAAAAAAGTTATCAGATTTCTTGATTTTGTTGCCTATAGACTCTATTTTTTTAAAGGCATGTTTGTACATACTATTATGTTTTTCATACCTCTTTACCAAATCCTGAACATTTTTTTTATTTATCATAAACTTATCATACTGTAGATTTGCATAGTCAGTCATTTTTTTTAGAATTTGCATCTCATTTTTATACGTCTTTTCATCCATATATACTTTCTGGTCTTCTGCATTTTTATAACTGTGTGGGCTTTCTTCTCCTACAATAGAGGTGTTTTTTTGTTTGTCTTGGACAAGCATGGGAGTCCTTTCTGGGTCTAGTTCATTCTCGAATTTCTGATCTTGCAGGCATGCAATTGCGTTCTTCAGTGCGTCCTCGCCTTCTTTTATATCCTTAGTTTCCCTGGCACCACGTATTGCACTAGTTTTTGGGTGTGCGAAAGAAAATTCCTTCTCATCTGCTATGCTTAATGGGTCTGCATGTGACTTGTTTGGATTGGACGCTGTGGCTATGCATACAGACAGCCAGAATAAAACCATCCCTACCACGCGCATGCTTAACACTACATCTTTTATTATAAAATCCTTCCTTCTTATCTGTGAGAAATCCATGCCTTTATATATTTTTTTTCTAATATATCTTGCGCATCACTTAGATTTCTTTCTATTCTGCATTTTTATAATAGAAGTAATTATTTAGCTGCTAGTATGGAATTTGCGTGTGTGGCAAAAATTAAAATAGAAGAATTTTAAAGAGCTTGTTAGTTTTCCTTGCCTTGAGGGCATGAAACCTCTCTCCGAGTCAGCAATGTGGTTCAATGTTGGTCATTTCCTTTCGGGGCTTTTGATTGGAAGATAACACGCTACAAAGATGGGCTCTACTTGTTTACACGCCAGCTAGGCTGGTTTAGACTCTAGGACTCTTTATTCACTCACCAGCAAATAATTAATCGTCTCCATGGAATATCTCCTGGAAAGAAGTCTATAAGTAGAGGATGCGAAATAAATTTTTTGGGTCAGTACAACAAATTCTAACATTTTGAGAAGGAAAAACCAGCTATTTGTATATTGTTGCAAGTGACTGGGTGTGTTGTAAGATATGCCCTCTATACTTAATTTGTTCTTGGTAATTGGTATATGCCATTTTTTTAATATTCTCATATAATTAGATAGTGCTCTTTTGGATTTATTGTTTTCTCAGGATTATATTTGAGTCATATCCGCGATCCTGTGGCCTTGAGTTTGAGAAGTGGGAAAATTACCACGCTTGCTTTCTTTTCTTTCTATTAGACTAGTCTTGTAATAAACAACTACAAAATTTCTTATGATAATTCATAGTGACTTATCACTGTATACATGCATATTTGGGGTATTTTAAGTGTTTTGGCCAAAGAGGCCTTCTACTGGTCGTAGCCAATATTGTGCTGATTAATGCACCTATACTCTTCTTTTATCTGCATATCCTTCATTTCTTTGCATATATTCACTTAGTTCTTTTCCTCTCTTTCCATTGCACCTCTTATATTTTTATTCTCTTATATATTGGAAAATAAAGTATACATACATCATACTAGAGCAATTTATTGCTAGAATACCTGGAGAGAAATAAAACAGCAGAAGAACAAGAAAATAGAAATAAGTTGTACAAACTAGAGAACCATCATCGGCCAGGCACGAAGAGAGAAACAAAAGCGAAATACAGAGAGGAACACGGCGCAGACAAATAAAGAGCAAAATAGGCATTTATTAAAGCAAGAAAAGAACTTTCTTCTATCCAAAGAACACGAGTATGCATCCTGTGCCATAGAAATACATAGAGACACTTCTTTCACATTCAAGTTATTCAGATTATATACTGAGAAATTAATGGGCATATGGTCCGGAGGCAGGCCTTTTGCATCGCTTAATGCTCTACTGGCTCTGAAAACAACTTTTTCTGCTAATTCGACCTACTTACTTCTACACTATACAATACTCTTTCAGTTATATGCCTTCAGCTATTTTCTTTCTTTCCAACATACCTTTTTCTTCATCGTATTCTTTATAGGCATTATATACTTTAGTTGTCTGAGATAGAACATCATCCTGGATGCTATGCATAACATCTAGCATATTAGTCATCTTGTTTACCCACAGCATGTACTTTTTATATAACTCTATTAGCTCTTCTATCTGCTTTATTTTCTCTTCAGACTCTCTTTCTTTCTCTTCTGCGTTATTTTTTAAATACTCTATTTCTTTGCCTCTAATTAGACATAGATATTTCTCCTTGTCATATATATTTCTATAAATTTTTGAAGTGTACCCTATAACAGAAAGTAGCTGTTTCTCTATCCCTATTAAATGTGAATAATATGAAAGGAAGTCATCTCTTGAGCTATCTCTTTCTTCCTTTGATTCCTTTAGTTTCTCCATGAAAACAAGATCTTTTGAGTATATATTTTTTTCTTTTTTTTGTATTTCCTCTAGTTTTTGTATCTCTGAAGACAGGTAATTAACGTTTTCTATGTATATATCGAAATCTTTGTCTTCCTCGCTGTTTATCTTAATCTCTTTCGTGTTATTATGATTATAGTAATCATAAATTATATTGTCTAGAAGCTTTCCTTCAATTATATATGAATCAGCTACAGACAAAGTATCTTTATACTCTTTTTTAATATTCCGAAGCTTATTTTTATCTTCTAGAAAGATATTGTAGGCTAACTTGGCTGCGTTATCCATATCTTCAAGTAGCTCTGACATATTCTGATACACTTTCTTAGCTGTACCTACTTCTGGGTCTGAATGTACTAGCTCTTTGGCTTCTTCTAATGCAAAAGAAGAACTCTTATGTCTATCCGTTACAGGAGCAGTTTGCAACATAGAGGCACTATCTACATGTAGGATATCACTCAACTCTGCATTTGGTATACTTATAGTGTTTTCCATTGTGTGAACATCGCTCTTTCTTTCTTGCACATTTGAATCTAGCGCAGAGACACTTTTTTCCTTTACTAGATCCTCCCCTATACTCTTAGATTCTAATGTATTTTTTTCCTGGCATACTTCCACACTTTCTGAGTTTATAGCTGTATTATCTGTCTTAGGCATTTCAGCCGTTCTTAAACTATCTACTGCTGCTTCTTTTGTCTTCATACTATCAAACACTGTGTTTTTTTCATCCCCTTCTGTGCACTCTACTGTATCCTCCTGCAGCTCATTTAATACAGGCAATTTTGCTGCCTGTATATAGAGCTTAATTTCAGTTAAACACATTATACACATAATGGTTAAGAGAATACATTTCACTCCATAGCTATTTGCTTTATTCATTTTTTATGCAAATTCTTTGTGACTATATTATCTTTAGAAAAATCATTTAGATCCTTATTTTTATAATAAAATCTGCGCTTCTTTATCCGAAGCTACAAGTCTTCTAATAAAAAGAAAATAATTCGGAAAAAGCTACAAGTGAAAGAAATTCTACATAAGTGCAAGAAAATAATTAGCAAAGTATTAGATGCCCCAAAATGAAGAATAAAGGAAGTAAAAACACTACAATCCACAGTGTATTTAGGTATATGTATAGTTCTACGAACAGAACCATTATCTATTGGCCAAAACTTCACTCTCTTTTGACAAGTCAATTTTAATACTTGTTCTATGCATATAGTTCAGTGAAGAGTCAGCAAAGCAGGGCATTTTCTGAAACATTGGACTTTTTTTATTCGGCATGAAGTTTATTTATTGCCATTTATTTATAGACCTCCAAGAGAGATAAATTAAAGCAGTACCATAAGAGTAGATCTTATTTGACAACCAATAGAAAATAACAACATATTCCATTTATCCAATCAACTAATTTTTTTCCTAATAAAACAAGCAGAAAGCCTTGTGGCGTGCAGGCCTGCAGATTAAACCCGAAGGGGGAATATCCAATTGTTGCTTTTATTGCAAAGGTGGAAAGAATTTCATGTCCTCAAGGAAAGGTAGCAGAAGATGTGATAGTTTTAGATTGGTCCACTATAACACAGTTCTAGCCATTTCTCTTTAGTATTCTGCTAGTTAATATATGTAAAGATATTTTATCTCTGTGAGCACATCTGCAAGAATATTAATCTTTGAATTTTAAGTGTTTTTGCTAAGGCTTGATTACTAGAAACTATTACAACACATATTCAATTAATCCGCATATTAACTCAAATCTCTCTACACTCTTCTCACTGTTTTCATCACACACAATGTGTTTTATCTCTTTAAGCAGGATTGGCAAATTTATATCGCGCCCCCATTTAAGACAATAAATTGGAAAATTGATTTCTTTTTGTTCTGTTGTGTCAATTAACTCATAGCAGCTTTTTACTATAGTACACCAGTTATCATATTTATAGTTGTTTGCCAGCCAAATAATCCACAACAGAAACTGAGTACTATGCCCCTCATATTCAACAACTGGATGTACTCTTTCTTCTCCCTGCATAGCTTGGATAATTCTAGTAATGTACCTCATAGTGGTCCCATTTAGTGTCAAAATATTAATAAAGAAAAATCTTTGGGTTCTAGAACTCAATCTTCTAGCAAACAATTCCAAATCCAAATAGTAGATACTACTCCAGCATGCTCTTCGAAAGTTAATTATTATGCTAGTTAGTATGTTGGCATATGTCAGTTGCGATACAATTTTTGTACTTTCTTCCAATCCTAACACTTTTTCTAATATGAATGTAAAGCGATTTGGCTTTTCGTATGCATTTATATCTACGGTTATACTCGGGTAGTATTCACCTGCTGTGGTGAGACCAAGAAACATAAAAATTGGATCATTATCATTTTTGTCCATGGAGGGAATACTTCCCATGATATTATTAGCCAGGCGCACAAGAGGATGGCTGCTGTCAAGATTTAAATCCATTGCGCATATAGTCATCACCCACAGAATTCTTCTTTTGTCTTGCGTGTTATGCATTCGGGGGTCAAGCAGAAGGGCATCTATATTTCTGCGCCAGCTTTCATGACAAAATACAGGCCGTGTTTGTTCGTTTGAGTTAGAGTGTCTTATGTTCTCAATCTTAAGTTTATCGATTACCATGCTTCGGGTTATATAGGAGTTCAGTATCGTTATAGTATATGAGTTTGGCTTGTTTGCCATACTGTATCTGCTATAAAACTTAAATTCATATTTCCATTTCACTTTTAGTGTTTTATCAACATGATCGGGAAAAACATCAAATTCATAGCAATAGCAGTGGGAAAAACGTATATTCTTGCTCTTTTCATTATACGGTATATAAAATAATTTTAGAAACCCAAACATGTCACTCAATCCTTCTTTAAGATTCTGCTTATACCCGGTCAACAAATCAACAGAAAAGCGTTCATTTAGTGCAATTTTCTTAACTAAGGCAGTCAGATATCTGTTTATGTTTTCTTTTAGTTCATTTTTTAGATTTTGGTTCTGAATGCTATAGATTTCATATAATAAATTAATATCCATCTTTTTTTCTTTCTCTTCATCCATTGATTTGTTTATTTTTATACTAGACGCTGGTTTATTCTCTACAGGTTCTAGTATATCTTTAAGTGTCTTGTTTCGGTCTAGTTTTTTTACATCAATCATCCCTCTGATCTCTTCTTCTAGAACATCTATTTTTTTGGTAGAATCGTTGATATTATTTAGGTATTCCCAATAAAGCATTCTGACTTCGCCAATACTCTTCTCATTATCTATTAAATCCAAACACTTTTTAAACTTATCTATTTTCTCTGTCTCACCCACCCCGGTTATCTCTTTAATAACATATAGCATGTTTATCAAGCCTGGCATAAGTTGGTTTCTGTCATCTCGTATATACTGTATATTCGGGTTATATAAGCCACCCACTACCTTGTTCCACTCATTGTGCACTCTTTTTGACACTATCCCATACATGTGCCTGTGCTTTCTGAAAAAGCTTTTCAGCTCTTCGGAGGCAGACTCCATGTGGTCAACTATATACATTTTCCTCTCAGAGTCATAAAAAGCCCAGCAAAATAGGCCTAGCAGCGCTGTCTCTCCATAGTCAGTAAAGCTCTCTATATACTTCAACTCATCTCCAACAACCAAGGCGGTTCTTGCAGGCAGGCATAGACCTAAAGCCCCTAAACAATTAGACATTAGACTGTCCATCTTCTTTTGAACAGGAAAAACATCTGCATTAGGCTTTAAATATAAAAGATTCACCCACTGTTTTTTACAATCATTGTAAAAAGGCACTTTTGTCTGAGCTCGGGCTATGCAATCCGAATTATTTGGATTTTTCTTTTCTAATGCAAAATACTTGTAAAGCACACCCTTCGCTTGCATAATTAATGCCTGCTTTCCCTGATTGTCCTCTAGATTGGCTTCTTTATATCTTATACATGTTAGCAGACAGGTTGCACATCGCTCGATTAGCCCTTTTTCAGAACCTATTTCTTCTTGCTTTATATACTCACTTAACAGATCAAGCACGGTTTGAATAAATAGATCCATTTCTTCTGCTCGCTCCATGCAGTGGTATATATACGTCTCTATAAGAAAGTCTGGGCTATTTACAAACTCGCTTTTCTTAAAATTTCCATATAAGGCTTGTTCTGAACAGCTTTCCTCTTCTTTAAAAACTCTTTTTTCTCTATTCTCTATAAAGAAGTTTATCACACCGATTGCCCTTTTCTGGAACACCCTTTCAAATACATCTAGATACTCTGCATTTTTGCCAGTTTTAACCACTACATTCATATTGAGTCTGAAGTGCTCTCCTTCTCCGCCTGCCTGCCTTAGAACCAGCTCTGTTCTATTCTCACTTTCATCAATCTCTAGTGGCACATTTACTCCCTCAGTAAGCAGTAGCAACGAAGCAAGTATTTTATATTTGTAATTCTCTACATGATTACTGTTAATAAAAGAAAAAAAAGAGTCTCTTCTGCCTGACCATGTGGACACATATCCGTGTAGAGAAGGAAACAGCTCAAGAAGCGTGTTAAAATATCCTCGCTTGTACTTAAGCAAGTCGCCTTCATACGGAAGAATGAGATGCACTCTGTCCAAGCTATGGTCTCGTGTGTGCGTGTAGATGGGATCGTTATACTCAGACGGCTCAACTTTTATATAGTATTCTATCTGTATCTCAGACGACAGAAATCTCTTGTTGTGAATAACCCAAATATTATCTGCTATTTCATCCCGTAATAGATTTAGTGCACTATCTGGGCTGATTACTAGTGCATTTTCTTTTTCTTCATCAATAAAAGTAAATGTCTTCTTCTGAATGCTTATTAGCTCATTTAGTGGTATTCTGCCCCATACTTCACATAGTATGAGTATCTGAATCAGAAGATATACAGCAGGACCCATTTTATTCTCTCTTCCACTTCTCTTTCTTGTGCCTTCTGCACTTAATTTCTTAGCCGGCCTTCTTTTACTCCAAAATACTATATCTAATTTCATAGGCTTATCTAAAAATTAAAGTCTTTATATTTTTAAATATTTCTATGTCTCTTTTTATTAATAGCATGAAAGCCTTTTCCTGAGTCTGCAATATAAATGTTTTTTATTGACTTTCTCTGCCCTAGTAGTATAGAACTCTCTTTGTTTTTTGCAATGTAAATGGATTTAGTCATTTATTACAACTATTAGCAGTGATTATGGAATATTTTTCTGGACATGCATAATAATTTCTGCGGCCTGTATGTAGAAGACAAGAAATAAATAAATTAGAAAGAAAGAACTATGCTAGTTTAAATTTTTAAACGAAAATTAGTTATTCTAAAACTACTATTTCTGTATTTAGTGGGTTGTTCTATAGGCATCTCCTTATTTTGAATGGTTTTTGTTATCAAATGTTCGGTTATTATGGTTTATCATCTATAAGAATAAATTAGCTTTCAAAATGTAAAAAACTTAGTCTTCTTTAAAAAACTAACCAGGCAGCTCCTTATGCAGTGCTTATTTAAATATTTGCATATTTTATTTTCCATGTACGATGATGAAGGACTTTCAACTAAATCCTCAGTAGATGCGATTCACTTGAATTCTACGTTAAAAAAAAGAGTATCTGTACTGGATAAGGATGCACACATAGAATATTTGATTAAACAAATGAATAAACCCTTAAACATAGGATATACTTCGTTAGTTCCATGGGTGTCTTCCTGGATTGCAAATGCCCTTTATGTTATACTGGGTAGAGAAGAGTTCTATGCATCATTAAACCATAAACTGTCAAAGTTGCATGACATTGCCTTGCAGATAGTGGGGCTACAACAGAGCAATTCAGGAATATCTCCGGATCGCAGCCAACTCCCTAACTTAGGATGCACGTACGCAGGACTAGTCTTCTTGAAGGTAATGAAAAAAGACCATATGCTTGATAGAGATGGAATAATCAAGTTTATAACAGAAATGAAAGTGAAAAATGGATTTACAATGTATTCAGATGGCGAAATAGACCCCAGGTCAATTTATTGTGCAGTTGCAACATACTCCATCTTGCATTCAGACACAATCTCGGAAGATTCACAGTTCAATCCGCTTTCAACACCAGAGGGAAAAGAGCTATTTGGTGACACAGTTGAGATATTGAAAAGCCTCCAAACATACGAAGGCGGGTTTGCTGCGGCCCCTGGGGAAGAGGCGCATGCAGGATACTCTTATTGCGTGATTGCAGCATTAAAAATACTTGGGGTGGATGTATCTGAGGATAGCCTATTGCGAAATTGGCTGCTACAGAGGCAGGATGAAATTAACAAGGGATTTACTGGGCGCACGAATAAGACATCAGATTCTTGCTATAATTTCTGGGTAGGCGCATCATACAGGATGCTTGGTTTGGGAATTATTTCCAATTCTGGGCTAGCTGAATATACATTCTGCAATTGCCAGGACGAGAATGGGGGTGTAAAGAACATTCCTGAATCACATGCAGATGTTTACCACACGGCTTATGCCTTAATTGGTCTATACATTGTGAATGAAAATGACTTTAATTATGTACTTGGGATGCCCGTGTAGTTCAGATTTCTTATGAATTATAACAGATTTATGGCAGGTGCTGTGGGTTTTTTAATTGCGTATACACACTGTGGCCGAGATATATGTAGCTGTATGCGTGTTTACAATGGATTGGATTTGGTGGGTCTATTGCTGACTATTTTAGATTTTTCTTGCTATTAATGGTTTATAGCAGTTATTTATATGTTTATAGCCTAAAGGCATCATTGTAAATGAATGCATTCACGGTTACAGCGGGTTTATATGTTTTAATTGATTTATATATGGTGTAAGTATTTATATTCAGGATATACTTGAAACTAACAGATTCTTATCAGTTATTAACAGTGTATAGCAAATCGATCTAATTTATAACGCATTTCAACCATAGAATAAAATACTCCATGCTTTTTCCTATAACTCACTAATATTTAATTATTCACTTATATATAAACTAAGACACAATTAAAACATGCATAAAATAGCATGTTCGCTTTATGAATATTTCACAGCGCATGTGAATAACCCAAACGATATAACCCGAATAGTAATGTGCATTGCTGGGCGTGTATAGTAAAAATATATCACAGCGTATAGATCAAGCCACTTTAGGAGTGTGAAACACATTGCAGAACAGACTAGACATATAATACATCGCACTGCCATAGACTAAAGCACAGCATAAATTGCAGTAATACACTGCAGCGCCCAGTAGTATGCATTGCAGCACAGACTATTCTTTCACCTTCCACTTGGCACGGCATATAGGGCACAGACTATTTGTGGCTATCCAATTTTTTATGCAATGCATGTGGTAGCAGTGGTTGCAGTCCCCGGAGGCAGGCATGCATTCAATTGGGTGCTCGCAGTCAGAGCACATTTGCTCAAAGGGCTGCTGGCATATCCCGCATATTCCTTCTGCCACTTTCCACTTCCAGTTGTATGATGCCCGAATGGCCTTCACTTGAATGCGCACGTCCTTCATGAATAAAAAAATAACATTCAGTTATAAAGCACTTTATTACCAGGCGATTTACTCTCGCATCATCTGCTTTCTGTGTGGGCCTCTTAAGAATCCCTTCACTGCCAGAGTCACGAACTTCCTCTGTGCTCTCTTCTCTGCAATTGTCTTGACAGCTGTCTCTGCTGGGATTTCACCAAGCTGCTCCTCTGCAATGAGCTGAATGTGGCATGGTGACTTGTTCCATGCAGTGACTCTTCCGTGTGCCCTGTATGTTCTGTTGTGGATAATTGGGGCTCTATTGACGTGTGCGTGCATAATCTTCATCTTGGAAATATCCAGGCCCTTTTCTGTTGCAATATTCTGCATGTTCTTAAGCATGGTCTTTGCCTGGATGACACTCTTCTCTGGCCATCTTCCCTGGAGGGCTCCAAACTCCTTGGCTTGGGAGACTCTTGGGACACCCCCGTTAAATCTCTTCATAGGAATGCATCTTTTATGGGCAAGAACATCTTCTAAATACTTTATGGCTGACACAAGCCACATTCCTCGGAGAATGGTGACTGTTTGGTGAGTGTTCTTGAAGCTAATCTTTGCGTCCTTTATGGCTGCCTTGACTGCTTTGTCTTCGTTCTTTGGGGTGTACCCATAATTAGTCTTGACTTTTTTCATCTACAGGGGAGTAAAAAAATTAAAATGTTAACAGAACAAGTGACTCATGAAATAACCGCAAAGGTGAGGCTGGGCAGCGTCTTGATAGTTGTAGGGGCCACAGGATCAGGTAAGTCAACAGGCATACCGCAGGCATTGCTTAAAACAACGGGAGACAAGATCACAGTCACGCAGCCCAGAAGAGTAGCTGCCATTGCACTTGCATCGTATGTAGGAAGAAGTGCTGAGAGTGGTGTAGTTGGGCACAAGGTCAGATTCAGTGATACAACCTCGCATAAAACAAGACTAAGATATGTAACAGATGGGATACTTCTGAAGGAAATGGAAGAGAAAGTAAGACTATCTACCGTAATAATAGATGAGGTCCATGAGAGGTCAATAAGAACGGATATCTTACTAGGTCTATTAAAGAAGAAGATTAAAACAATTCGGCTAGTCTTAATGAGTGCGACTGCAGATATAAATATGCTTACCGAGTACTTTGCACGGGATAAGATACCCGTAGAGTACTGCGAGATACCAACGCAGAAGCATACGGTAAAAATAAACTATCTCCCAAGAAAGTCATCAGACTACATACAGCTAGCATACGACACTGTAAAAAAGATCATGAAGAATGCCAAAGATCTGAAAAACAAGCAAACAGAAAATAATATACCAGATGCACAGCAAATAACGCATTCAAGCAGTGCATGCAACAAGAAAGAGCCTGCTACAAAGGATGTGCATAATTCAAAGAACTCTAAAAAAAGTAAATCGAAGAAAGCGAATAATCCGCAGGAAGAACTTGATGAGATGGATTGCATATTCGCAAAAAAAGAGTTCACGCCAAAACAGGTGAATATTCCAGATGGATTTACATGCGGTACAATATTAGTCTTTCTATCTGGTTTGGAAGACATTGAGGACTTATTTAAAATGCTTGAAAAACACTCTGGCCTGGAAATTCTTAAATTGCACTCTTCCTTGTCAGACACAGAACAGAAGCTTATATTCACGCGGAGAAAGAGCAATATTCGGGTGATTCTATCCACAAATATTGCAGAAACTAGTTTAACAATAGAAGATGTCCGGTGGGTTATTGATTCGGGCGTGCAAAAGATAAACATCTCCAAGGATGGGATAGATTCACTTGGAATAGTTAAAATATCCAAGTCATCTGCACAGCAAAGAACTGGAAGAGCCGGCAGAGTTGGTCCTGGCATTTGCTATAGACTGTACACAGAATGCGCGTATAACTTAATGCATGAAAACAATATTCCAGAAATCATGCGAGCAGATATTTCATCTGTTTCGCTTTCTTTGATTCAAATGGGAATAGACCCAGAGGTGTTTGATTTCTTAGAGGCGCCAAATGCAAATGCAATATTAAGTGCTCTTGCAGAGTTGTTCATCTTAGGCTTGATTGACGAAAATAGGCGCATCACGGAATTAGGTAAGAAAGTGAGTAAACTCCCACTGTCTCCATCTCTAGGGAAATTCCTTCTGATTGGAAAGTCACTAGGCGCAGGACATGCATCTGCTGCTGTGTGCGCATTATTAGCAGGCGACAGAATATCTTTATTCTCCAAGGAAGTTAATACATCTACCATAGTAAGCGTACACAACTCGCCCAGCAAGTGCTCTGATCTTACATTATATGCAAGCGTGTTCTTTACATACCTCACATATTCTGCAAGACTTAAAGTAGACTTCTGCCAGTCTTTGGGGCTGTCTCTGCAGGAAATGAGAAATAGTGAGAAGATTTACAAGCAGCTAACATTAATACTTGAGCTGAATCCGGGGATAGAGTCAGAAATAGATGAAACTGAAGATAAGCACACTTTATCATGCATTCCTTTGAGACCAATTATAGCCGATAGATTGCACACTTCTGCATCTGCAGGGTTTATGACACGAGTTGCAGAAATGAAGGGAAATGCATATATGCACATATACTCTGAGAAGCAAATATATGTTCATCCTAGTTCAAGTATGTTTTCGCGTAAGGAAGGCTCTCTTGGGTTTATAGTTACATCAGAGACTACCAAGCCATATATCCTGCATGTATTCCCATATATACCAAATGAAATACTTGTTATGCAGAAAACAGATGCATAGATATTTAGAATATTCGGGTGCAGTGATTATATCAGATTGCAATTGATAAAATATGAGTATTTTTGTGTGTACTGCCTGAGTGCTCTTAATATGGCAACACAATGCAGCAATACTCCAGTATGAAGAGTCTTGAGTTTCTTTGTCTTAAAGTGGACAGCCTTTCATATAGATCAGAGCTACATAAGTATACGCACTGATTTTAAAGTAACTCGTGTCATTAAGCCAGAAACATGTTTATGCTGTCTCGGCTGCTGTGCTATAATTTACTAATGGATCTCTATAGATATTTGGAAAAATTACTACTCCTTCGGAATTTTCTTATTACAGCAGAGGGTCCAGAAATAAAAACATTATTATCTTGAAATTAGACTCCAACAATAAAAACAGATACAATAGAGCAAAAAAAAAGCAATGAAAGAGCAGATGGCAGAGTAATTAAGACAAGTTCAGAAGCTAAAGTCCCAGTGATACCCGCACGACATGAATAAAAGTTCTTTTTTAAACAAGATGTTATCTCTATTGGGTTATTACTTCCAGGGTATGATGCTTACGATCATACAGTACATCAGCAAGCATATGGGCAAGAAGATAGAAATAACAATGCCCTAATAACTACGTAATATAGATAATGCATATGTCTAGCAATTTCAGATATAGCATCTAATGATTTTTTTTATAGAAAATAATTCTAGTGTTAGCATGGGTAGAAAATAATTCAGCATTCATCCATAACAAAAAACTATAAAAATATAGTACACTAATACATCTAAGTTATATGATAAATACATAAAGAACCCATTAAATAAGGCCTGATCTGCATAGCTTAATATGTTTTTATAAAAATACGTGCCAGAGAGTTTTCTATTTTTTAGTTTTATATGTAGAAGAATAGAATAAAGATGATTGCTAGTATATTTACGTATGCACACAGGATGAAATTAATTGAGCCGATTAAACACAGAACTGTCTCTGTTCACTGGCTAATTATGCATTGCATGCAAGTGACCCCTAAGAAAATAGTTAAAATGATCTATATATAGAAATAACTGATGCTAAGGGCGATGAAGAAAAATAAGGAATTAAAACAGGTAAGAAAGAAATCTTTTTTCAGTTTACAAAAAAATGATCTGCAGGATAATCCTAAGTCTAATGATGGTGCAAACTATTCTTACAAGAATTAATATGACAGACATAAAGACAGTACATGAGACTTTTATTGCCGAAAAGCAAGATGTAGTTATCAACCCAAGGGGACCATTGAATCTGCTGCGGGGATATATTGGAAACCGAAGCGGATACATGTATAACAAGCGGTTTTATTCTTCTGAAATAGAAACAGACTATACGCTGACTAAGAAAGGTATAACCATTTCAGATGAACAAGAGTACGACTTTAAAAGAATACCAGTCAATGACAGGGTATACAAAGACATAGCTACACAGGCCCCCAATGGGGAGTATCTTAGCACATATCACATGCAGTTAATAAAGATGTTTCCTTCAATGGATGGAGATCTTTCCATTGAGGCAGCCAGACCAAATGCACTTACAAACTTCCTAAGAGCAGATCACGTTAAGAAGGACACAAAATATATTCTTGCTGCGCTGCTGCTTCTTTCAGAGGGCGTTGATATTAAAATAGATATAGATCATACAGAAAAGAAAAAGAAGCTCGTGATAAAAAGTAAGAAAAGCAAGGAGAAAGTGTTTGTGGATGTGGAAATGTACACAGCAGGCATAGACCCAGTTACAAATATGTACAGTGATAGTATCTATCAGTACGAAGCTGCTGAAGTTGTCAAGTTCTATATACGGTGCAGAGATAATCCGCTACTAAAGAAGGGGGGCGAGTTTGCAATGCCTTCTTGTAAAAAAGAGTTTGAGAGCGGGAAATTTCTGAATAGTGCAGCCTTCCTTATACAGACATACATCTACGAGTTCATTGACACAGTAGAAGACTACAAGGACTTTGTGAATGCAGTGCATGAACTACTAGTTGATCAAGTAGTTGAAAAGGAAAACCCCGAGCAGACTAAGAAGAAAGGCAAGAAGGGCAGAATATTCGATGAGCTCTTTCTAGCGAAAGAAGAGCTTGGCGAAAATATAAAGTACATTGAATTATTCTATGATCTTGTAAAAGATACAGAGGAAAATGCCATAATTCCCTTCTGCAATGATAGTCAGCTGCCGAAATTTACTAGAGTTCCGCTGTGTAAACTAGACAAGTCAGGCTTTGAGAAAAACCAAGCCCTTTACTATAGTGACTGTGTAGAAACAGCCCTTCTTGGGCTGTTCTGCTGTCTGGCATACAATCCAGAGACAAAAGAGTACGAAACCAGTCACATGGGAGCGGGAGTAAGCAAAGAGTTAAGAGACTTCTTTAGAGACTATCCAAAGCCAACAGAAGCTACAGACTTTGAAATGCACAAACAGTGGAGCAAAGTTGTTGCTTGTTTAGATAATCCTGAAATTGACTACAAGAAAGAGAAAAACGAACTTATAGCTGGGATTTCAAATATATTTCTGGTAATTGCAGAAATAACAGGCCAGAAGGCAGATACACAGGAGCTAGTTGAGTATATAGAATCTGCAGATAAAGCAGGAAAATTAGATGATACGCAGAAATTTTACATTAAGTATAAGATAGAATCAATTATTAGATCCTTGTCACTGAATAAGAATGTGAGCGTAGACTGTAAACAAATGAGACTTGGAAAGAGGTCAAATGGAAAGGCAGATATTTTAGCTGGGTTTAGCATTATGTATTATTTTGATAATACACGCTCTGGGATTGTTTTGGATATAAAAAAAGGACATGCGAATCTTTCTCTTCTTTCATCTTTAGATGCTAATTCTGCATATATTAGAGAAAAGTGTGAAGAAGTAAAAAATATTTATAATAGGGCAGAGTGCTATATAGGATACATTGTGTGTCACTACATTGATGTTGAGATAAATACCTTAGAGTATGGCGATTATGCTATCTTACAAAATATTAAAAATGACATAAACCTAATGCTACAGGGAGAATCTGAGAATGTATCTAAGATATTATTGTACAACAGGATTTCTAAAGTATTCATGAAGGGCTATATTATGGAGTTCTTTGCGTTTGGTGCTGTAACCAAAGGAGTCGCTCAAACAAACTCTTTAACACGCTTTACTGCAAATATTTTAGGAAGTGTTCCGCTCAATGATCCTATAACCCGGTTTTTAATGATTCATTTACTTCCAATTCTTAAGGGGTGGCGAGAGTGCTATCCAAAACTTGGTTACACCGCATCTGACTGTCCATCGGAACATATTTTTGCTTGGGGACAGGTAGAATCAATGCATTTTTATAAAAAAATACTAGACTATCCAGTACCCATTGCAGTAAAAGCCACATGCAACTATCTTAAAGCAGTTGCAGGCCACGATGATCAAATTCACCATGCGAAACATTTTATAACCTGGAGACTTCTATTTAATCATATAATCTCTGATGGGTCAATAGATAATTTAGTGAAAATTCGGTCTGTTATTACAGAATATATGAAGGAATACACTTTAAACTATATATATATTTGCTGGTTCATACATGCATGCACAGACAAATATAAACTCTCGCCAGAACAGATTAAGGAGGTTTACAGCTTTATACTCCCGAATGTTTATCCGCATGGATTCTATGTTCGAATAGTGATAGAAACTAAAAAAGAATTCCACAAATGCCTAAGCGTTTTAAAAGAAAAAAAAACTCTTTTCTGCTCAGAGAATGACCCAAAAAGTATGGAAAAATATAATGGACTGATGGCATACATTGACCATTTATATTCGAATATAGCATGAAGATGAAATGTGAAGGTATATTTAGAATAAATTTATGAGTAGAGCTGAATTTTCCTCTTCAAAATATTAGACTTGGGCATACTAAACTTGGATCTAATTTATTTCTGATTGTTTATAAATAGTTTGTAAAGTGAAAATTTGTTAAAGTTTGTTTACACAACAAACCATTGTTTCTACAACAGACTGTGATGTAGTAAAAAGTGTACACAAACATAGATCACTATTATTCGACGCGTAAACAATTAGAACCTCTTGTAGCGTGTTATCTTTCAATCAAAAATCTGGAAGGTAATGGCCAACACCAATCTACATTACTGACCCGGAGAGAAGATTTCAATGCCTTCAAGACAAGAAAAACTAACAAGTAGATTGTTTTCATGCCACTTTCTAGCTTATTTTTATTCTAGTATTTTACAGCAGCTTATATTCCGAATATCTGGGCTTCAAGATATATTAAAAGAAAAATATTGCTAGTGGCTATATCTAATAGTATTTTAATCATTTTTTATCTTTATTTTGCCTAGTTAGCGACAGAAATATAAAAACTTTAATTTTTAGATAAACTCATGAAATTATATATAGCACTTTGGAGTAAAAGAAAGCCAGTCAAGAAATTAAGTGCACACAGCACAAGAAAGAAAATTACAAGAGGCAATACATTTCCTATAATGTTGTATGTGTTAATTCAGATACTTATACTGTGCCAAGTGTGGGGAAAAATGTCCCTAATTGAGCTAATAAGCACTCATAGAAATACATTTACTTTTATTGATGAAGAAAACAGAAAAGCACTAGTAATAAAACCAGATAGACGAATGGGCCCATTTCGTAGTGAACTAGAAGATACTATTGGGCTTATGTACAACAAGAGATTCCTGTCGCCCGAGATTAAGATAGAATACTCTGTAAAAGTTGAGCAGACTGACTATAAAAACCCTATATACACATACACACGGGACTACAGCCTAGACAGAGTGCGCGACGATAATGACCTTCAATATGAAGGAGACTTACTTAAGTATAAAAAAGAGTACTTTAGTACACTTCTTGAGATGTTTCCCTCTATGCACGGGTATGTGTCTATATGGTCAGACAAGACGGACTCTTTTTATACATTTATTAATAGCAAGGATGTAAAAGAACATAAGCACGAAATACTTGCCTCTCTTTTTTTGCTTTCACGTGGAGTGAATGTGAGGCTGGAAATTTATAAGAGTGAAAATCAAACAGAGCTGGTTCTGAGGACTGCAGATAAAAGAAATGAGCACTTTAGAGTGAGCATGAATGCATTGGTTAAAAGCAGCAACAAAAATGCGAAGTCTATAGATTTGTTTGAAGAGGTGCTTCAAGAAAAAGCAGTTGCTGTTATAAACTTCTTTATAGAGAATAGAAAGAAAAGAGCTTTTAAAGAAGAGAAAAACTATTCAGAGGAAGAAATGCATAGATTGTATATAAAAAGAAAGTATGTAAACAGCCCGAGCTTCCTTATACACACGTATATATACTACTGTCTAGAAAATATAAAAGAGACTACCTCCTTTATTAAGGCTGTCTATGACCTGCTGTATGAGTATCTACTGTATGGGCATATGTTGCAAGAAGAAAGGAAAGTCAAGCAGATTAAAAACTATATATGCAATAAATTCGCACTATTTAGTGAAAATATAGTAGAAAATACTCTGAATGGGCAGCATGGCCAAGAAAATGAAATAAGACATATATTTGAAAGGCACTTTTTACAAAAAGATGAGTGGTGGCCTGGGGTGAAATACATAGAATTCAACTATCAAGAAGAAGTCCCCCCATACTATATTCCTATAGATTCTTTTGTTGATCTTATGTATTTAAGCCCACTTGCAGGTATAGTTCCTTTTAGAAAAAACATCCCCTCACTGAGAGTTCTTTCTTCACTCTCGGCAAACATATATGTTCCAGATGACATGAGTGTTTGTGCGGGTGATAATACAATCCCTTTGTTTAATTTCTTTATTGACTACGGAGAGACAGCGCTGCTTGGCCTGCTCCGCTGGGCTTTTTATAACCGGGATAAGAATATATGCACGGCTGACCACATAGAGTCTGCCTCAGAGGAGCTGAAAAGCTTTTTCAGAAAGCACAGGCACATGCATGGAGTAGTGTCAAAAAAATTGCACGATGAGTGGAACCAAGTAGTGGGAGGTCTATCCAATCAGAAGATACAGTATATGCGATCAGACAGAAACCATCTTACACCTGGCTTTATAAACATGCTATATGTTATTAAAGAGATAACCGGGGTGGGTGAGACAGAGAAAATAGATAAGTTTAGAAAGTGTTTGGATTTAATGGATGATGAAAAGAAGATTCGCGAAGTCAGAATGCTTTATTCGAAATATCTAAATAATACCAAGAATACTATGGAAGAAAAAAATGTTCTGGAAAGAAATATCAGAGAGATAATTTATGAAAAAGAACTAAATAAAAAGAAGCGGTATGAAAATGCACTAAAGCATGGGAAAAAAACAATTGATGAAGATAATATAGAGCTAGAGATAGACAGATTAGTGGATTCTATGAAGAAAAAAGAGAAAAAGAGTCTTAGTGAGTTGATAAAAAGCTATAATGAGGAGAACAAAGTTCTAAAAGATGAACTAGGCAATGATATAAAAAACTATCTAATAGAAGTGATTAAGAAAATTGCACTATATAAAGATTTTAGTCTTGAAATTCGGGTTATATGTAAACAAACTATTATACATAAATGCTGCGACGTATTTGGTAAGCTAGAAGTGTTTTATAACATAAACACAGAAAATGACTATTTTATAAGAAAGTATTTTTCTAACTTCAATAGCCTCCCACGCGCACTTGCACGTGAACTCAAAAAAGAGCAGCCGCCCTACCCCCATCTCAATGGCTATAAATTTATTATCTATCCTAAGTATCATGATAATACAACAGTAGAGATAAAATGGAAAACTATATTTAAACTATATAGGAAATACAATATATTCGAAGATCTATGGCCCTTAAGAACTAACATAGAATTATGTGTTATAGAGATACTTAGCTTCTATCTATATAAAACTTTAGCCATGTCGGAACTTGAAATATACAATAAGACACTTTTTAAACCGGATTATACGCGCTATGATGTACTGGGCTATGGAAAGTGTTCGGGTTATATTGACACTCTCCTGGTTAGACCCGAATTTCATGGCATTGAATATAGAAGAAACTATGCTTTGAGACTACTCCTACATGCAAAGAAACAAAAGTATAGAAAAGAATCACCTTTCGTCTATCTAGTAGACAACATCGTAGGAAGCATAATCTTCATGGATGGGGATTTTAAAGATGCAATGTTTCTATTTCTTAGTTTAGAATTTGCAGAGCAGTACTATCCGCATATAACTATAGACAAACATGCATATAAAGATCCAGCTTGTTTTACATACCTATTGACCGAATTGTTAAAATTCATAGATATTCGTGCATCACTATATGAAATACTAGAGTTTGACAATATAATCACTTCTATATTGGTTATGCTCAGAAGAAATTGTTTGAAAGATAGTTACTATACGAAATTTAAAGAATTTATTACTAAAAAATTGGATCAAGATGGCAAGCATTTACTTATCAGGATTCTAACACAGGATGGAGATACTATAAAGAATATTACTAAAATTGTTCAAGCCATGCAGGAAACAGAAAAAGCACATCCAGTTAATTGGTATGAGAAGCATAGTAACGAGTTCTTGCATTGGATTATTTGGGGTGCAAATGAGTTTAGATTTGCTAGCTGGGCCTTCATAGTAAAAAAATGCTATGAGTTGATTGATGCACCAGAACCGAAAGAAATTGATTTTTCAGGTCATTCTTCTAACTGGGGGGTTGATATAGATCTAAAGCAACTAACTGCTAAGATAAGATCTATAGTTAGTTCCCAGAATACCGCATTAGAGAGTTTGAAAGTTAAAATAACTCAAACATTACATAGTCTTAGTAAATAAACTTTTAGATCTAGTAAACAACAGCATTGTTAGACAGGCTTTCATATAGCTATTTAAATTTTAGGCTGCCGTGGTTTTCTCCTTGAAGTATTAGGCTTGGTTGTACTAAACTGAATATAGTCTATTTCCTGCCATCTATATATCGGGTTATTCGGGCTATATTCATAAAAGGTATATACAATGATAGCAGATGAGAGTGTAACACGCAGTGTCAATAAACTCAGAACACTAAAGTAAAGGAGTGCAGACAAGCAGAGTCCCTTGTAGAATGCTAGCCCCTGACTGAGCCCAAAGAGGAAGTGGTTAATCCATCCTTTCTAAACTACTAACAAATGAGAATTGTTTTATGCCTGCATGTTGCCAATTATTTACTGAAATATATGCATATATTCAGTATTAAAATAAAAGTCAAAATGATTTTCAAGTATAGCTTATTAGTGCGAACAATGCGCATAAACAGAAATGAATAAAAATAAATGGAGTGGAGTGAGGTATATGCTTTTGTGTATCTCAATCATAATATGCTTAACTGAAATTAAGCTATATCTGAAGACAGTACAAATATCAGTATTGTGTGCACAGCAGTCAAGCACACTAAAGCGTAAAAAAGAAGAGGAAATAGGCTTTGCATCTGATAGTGTGCAGAAGAAAAATACATTGCACAGTTTATGCTGCTGTAGTGGAGATAAGACAAAGGATGCAAACGTAAGCACAGAAAGTGCGACTTTGAATAATAAGAAAACAGCTGTGCCGAAAGACGCGACTGCCAGAAAGAAGCTAGTAAGAAAAAAAGAAAAGCTATCAGATGCAAGTCTAGAGAATGTGCCAGAAAGTAAAAATAATTCTAGCAGCAGCAGCTGTGCGACAAAAACGGTGCCCGTGCCAGATAAAAACACAAGCCCCTCTCCTGAGGCAAAAAAGAGAGCCAGTTGCATAGAGAATAAAAGCACAGCAGCGGATACAGCCAAGAAAGAGACAAATGGCAAGAAAAAGATGTATAGCACTGCAAATTCGTATTTAGAAGTTTCTGTAAAAAAGCGCAACGAAATAGCAGATATAAGAGTAAAGTATAACATGTATATGAATGCATGCGGTTTTGTTCTGGACAAAATAAATGCGATAATCCATGAAATCAACCATTGCCACACCATGTATGATACATGTGAGATACCCAACTCAATAAATGCTGAATATGACAGCGAAATAGAAAAAATTAAACTTCTGCGTGCTGAGATAGATGGGCTCAGGAATGACCGAACAAATAAATGGAATGCATATATGGCAGGCTGCCATTTTGTAGACAAACTGGAAAAGAACATTTATAACTTAAGAAAAAGCTATGTTCAATACTATTCAGAAATAGTAAGGTCAGAGAAAAGGCTAATTATTGTAATCGAACACACCATAAAGCTTTTACAGAAAATATGTGAAAAGGAAGAATTACAATCCTCTATAAAAGAAAAGGAGGCTGCGCATTTTAAAGAGGATAAACAAAAGGCAGCAGCACTGAACAAAATAGCAGAGTTGCATAGAATTCGACTAGAATATACAACAAAATTGATTGATCTGGAGAATGAGAAGCATACCACACAGGAGAATATTATATTGAGAGAAATTGAAAGAAGAGATGCATATGTGGCATATGACGAGTCAGCAAGTGCGGATGAAAACAAAAAAATAAATCAGCAAAGGAGAGCAAAGGAAAAAGCATTGCAGAAGAAGAGCCAAAAGGACACATCCAAAGGAAGCAGCGAGAAAAGCACTGGTTTGTAGTCTACGTTTATTCTCTGCCATGTATAGTACAAACCAACCTTCAAGAAAGCTTATTTGAATGGGGACTAGCGAAGAAAATGGGAATATGTATTTCTGAGCAGTCTATGCCCTAGGGAAAGTAGAGTTTTCCTAAGGATGCCATTTTAGCCTTCTAGAAAAGAGATGCAATGATACTTCAACCACTGTAAGAGTATCTGGGTTTTGTGAGGGCTGTGGAATCAACTACTGAAGTTCTTTAATTTTAGCTTTAGAATTTTTATTTATGTGGGGAGAAATCGAAATAGTTTATCCATAGTGGCCAAGACTTGCGCATAGCGTATAAGTGTGCATTATTTAGATAATTTCATATATAATCTGAAGAGTGCATTATTCTATTGTAGAATTATTCATTGCAAAGAATATTATGGCATACTTCTTTGATGCATTTCGCTGACTCTTTACTGTTCTATGCAAGCAGGCAAAGCATGTATTATCAAAATAATTATGATGCTATTCCAAAGTTGCATGTTTTATGCTAAGTGTCTGCTTAGCTCTCAATAAATGCTTGTTTTGCTCTTTATTTGTCTGCGCCGTGTTTCTCTCTGTATTTCGCTTTTGTTTCTCTCTTCGTGTTTGGCCGATGATGGTTCTCTGGTTTGTACAACTTATTCCTATTTTCTTGTTCTTCTGCTGTTTTATTTCTCTCCAGGTATTCTAGTAATAAATTACTTCACTATAAGAAATATACACTTTATTTTCCAATATATAAAAGAATAAAAATATAAAAAGAGCACTAGAAAGAGAGGAAAAGTAAAAAGTAGACAGAGCACACACTGAATTGTATAAAAAGTAGTTTTAATGGAAAACCTCCTTGAAACAAAGCTAGAGTAGACATAATTTAGTATAAAAGCATGCACTGCTGAGTGACAGCAATTAGCATAACTAATTTTCCTTTAAAAATTTAAACTAGCATAGTCCTTTCTTTGTAATTTATTTATTCCTTGTCTTCTACATACAGACCACAGAAATTATTATGCTTGTCCAGAAAAATACTCTATAAGCACTGTTAATAGTTGTGATAAACCTGCACTTCTCTACCCGAAGTTACAAGTAAATGAAAGAATTTCTACATAACTGCAAGAGAATAATTAACAAAAGAATTGCATGCCAAAAATGAAGAATAAAAGAGATAAAAACACTATAACCCACAGTGTATTTAGGCATACAGAGGGATATACGAACAAAACCACTATTCACTGGCTAAAATTTCACTCTCTTTTGGATACGTCAATATTATTAATAGATGAGAAAATTCTTCTTAGACAAATAGCACAAAGAGTGTAAGCCATACATATATTTGCGTATACAAGAAAAGCCACCTATAGTACATTAGCCTGCAGTAAACTCAACAAACTATGTATATGGCCTGGTTGAAGAAAGAATATACGCCTGAAGGCAAAGACTAGCAATAATAAGACTAAATAATGCAATACCAGATATTCCACTAAATTTTATTCAATTTAATTTGGATTATAGAATCTCTTTTAGAATTGGGAGTTCATCGAATGCGGCGGTCTTTCCTGTTTCTTCTTCTTTCTTGCCTATTTCACTAATAACCTCTTCAGATTCAGTTGCGCCATCAGATTTAAGTGGTGCACCTTCAGATTCTTCTTTTGTTTGCTCTGGGAAGAGAGTTTCAGCTTCTTTCTTCTCTTCTTCTTTTTGCATTTCTTCTGCCTTCTTTTGTTCTGCCTTCATCTTCTCCTGTGCCTCCAGATGCTGTGTGTATTCTGTTTCAATCATGTACTTTCTGTAATTAACTCCGTCTTCAATGGTTTTAAGCCGTCTCTTTAGCTCTGCCTTCTTATTAAGTGGCATGTCCATGGAGTACGCCTCTTCCATCTGCACTTCATTTCCTACAACTTTATTCCTTGCCAGGAACGAGACAAGATTATCGCATGGCTCTGGAATTGTCTCCTGTCTTTTCTTTACCAACCCCAGGGCCTTCTTTATCAAGGATGGCAGATTCTTCTGAAGGGTTTCAATTTCCTTATTCAAGAAAAGCTCCTTTTCTGCGTCAGAGACCATTTTCTGGTAATTCTTGGCAATTTCTGGGTAGTCCTTGGAGTGCGTGACTTCCTTTAAGGATCTTCCATTGCAGATTAAGTTGACTGTCTCTTGCAGTGAGGCTATTCTGGCTTTACCGTATTTTTTGACTAAGTTTTTATACTCTTCAGTCTCCACTGATCCTGTGATAAGGGAGTGAAGGGTTTCCTTTATTTCCATCTCATGGTTTAAAGCAGTCGTGTAAAATGTCCATTTCTTTAACTCGCCATTCAGAGAGTACAGCCGGAAGGAGTCTCCTATACTGGTGCTGCTGTACTCTACCTGATATTTAGCTCTTTCTTGCTTGTCCCTGATCGTGATATTCGTGCGCTTCATGTGCAAAGGAGCACTTGCCAGGTCTGACTTGCTGGGGGTGAATGCATCCGAGATATTCAATGAATGCATCATATTCAAGTACTCCTGGGGATTGAATATGTCATTATATATCGATACATCTCTATGCATCTCTTCATTTTCCGCATTCTCTTTATTTTCTGTCTGGTTCTGCATATTTTTCAGGGTTTCTTCTGTTTTCTCTATCATTTTACCAATGAACCCTTTTGTCTCCTTAACGTACTCCATTAAAGTGTGGTGCAATGGGATTAAGTCTATTTCTATCTGTTCCTTCTGTGCATGTGGCAGCAGTACAAGACTCTTTCCATCTTCTGACTTTTCAAGAAGTGTAATTGAAAGTGTCCTGATGTACTGTACTTCATCTAGGTTATCTATAACTAAGTCACTCCCTTGGTCTGCCTTTACCCGTATCTTCCAGATACTTTGCAGTGCGAGATCAATTAGTGGTAATATTTCAACAGAAAAGGTCTTTTCTGGCTCTGCCACTTGAATTGCATCCTTTTCATCTGCAGGCAGTGCATCCTGTGAGAATGACAGGCAGGGTGTTCCAACCAGGTCATACTGCAGGGCAGGATACTTTTCATTAATAAGCTTCTTAATTTCACCAAGAATATAATTATAAATAAGGGTTATAACTGCAAAGTCAGAGTATCCTTCAAATATCTCTTGATTTAAGAGGAATATCTCACTTCCCTTCTTTACATCATCATCCTTCTTGAAGTAGAATATTTCTGCTGCCATTTTACTTCCCCTCATGGTATATGTCACAATATGGCCTGTCTTTCTTTTTGAGCTTAGAATTCGGTCTACTGCCTGTGCCATTCCATCTGTAAGTAGTTGTATCTGTGCAATGGGAGCTACTTCCTTCATTGCATGCAAAAGTGTTTTTTGTGTCTCTGGACTGAAGTATCCTCTGGTTGTCATTCCCAGGCTCAGAACTGTCCTGTTCTTACGGTATTTCTTGAGGGCCTTATTAAGATACGCCTTGTATACGGCTATATCTGGTACCTCTGTGTACAGATCATCAACTTTCACTGTTCTTGCATCAGTTTCTGGTGATATCTTTACATTTTTGTTTATAAAACATGCTATTTTCATGTCCTCTGATGCAATCACTTGAGGAAAGTATATTCCCTTGGTTATACTCTTAATAGGCTGATTTCCATCGGTTTTTGCCCCAGAATAGTCGATAATTATTGTTTTTTCTTTTTCAATCTTCTTACCAGCTGTATTCCCAGAGGTAATGAATGAACTGTCAAACGTATTTACGCATGGCACGAATACAGAACTGTCCACTCCCATGTACACACTATCATGGCACTTCCCTGTTAAGAATAGTCCTACTACTGCACACAGAATCTGTACCTTCATAAAAATAAAAATAAATTTTGCTTTTATCCCGTAATTCTAACTTATATTAAAGTCTGCAATATGGTTATATTAACTATTCGAGTATATTATGTAAATGGTTCGGGTTATTTATAAATAATTTTAAGTTATTTATGGGCATATAGTGGATTAAGTCTTGTCAGTTTTGGGAAGGAGTGGATTAAGTCTTGTCAATGTGTCATAAGTTCTGACAAAGTGGATTAAGTCTTGTCCAGAAAGTGTGCATAACTCATTCCACTCCTTTCTAAAACTGCCAAGACTTAATATACCAATCTAGCTTAAACATAACCACTATTACCACATTTAGTAATATCCTATCTTATCATATATTACACTCCCAATAAGGAAATATTCCACCGTATCACAGAATTACCATAAACAGTAATAGCCAGTAATTTCCTAATAAGGCAATAAACACATATTACACTCCCAATGCGGCAATTTCCCTTTTTATCACACAAAAACCACCATAAATTACCATAAACGGTAATTTCCCTTTTTGTCATACAAAAACAATAAAATTACCCAAATCAGTAATAAACCCATTAAATAATTTATTGATTACTTTGTCTTTCTTAACTTCTTCTTTGGTCTTAAATTCGTTGAATTCCCGCATATTCCACTCTTCCTGCAATGCGTCGCCCTAATACTATTCCTAGAATAGCATCCTCTGCATATAAGTATCTTTGTTCTTTCCATTGTCACAAATACTCTATCTGTATCAGTTATAACACCTCCCCTTAGTCTTAGTACTAAATGTATCGTACTTTCCTTCTGGATATTGTAATCTGACAAGGTTCTGCCGTCTTCTAACTGTTTTCCTGCGAATATTAGTCTCTGTTGGTCAGGGGGTATGCCTTCTTTATCTTGTATTTTCATTTTAACATTCTCAATTGTATCATTATTATTTACTTCTAAGGTTATTGTCTTACCGGTGAGTGTCTTTACGAATATTTGCATCTGGGGTTAAAAAAAATAAAATATTTATATAGTTTTAATTTTAATAAAATAAAGACGGCCATTATGGGGAGCTTATTTTATTAGATTATCACTGTATATTACTGTTATAATTAGTGTATCACCGTTGTATTTAGTGTATCATTGTATATTATTGCATATTTAGTGTATTACTGTTATATTTAGGTTATATCTTGTTATAGTTAGTGTATTATTGTTATAATTATGACTAATATATATAATTGTGTTGTATTTAGTGTATTACTGGTGTAATTGGTCTATCCTGTTGTAAAATAGACTAAATGCCTGTTGTATTCTGTTATAATTAGTCATACCCCACTGTAATTAGTCTATCTCTTTATATCCCCAGATATAATTAGTCTATATATTTTATAGCTCAAATTTGGTCATAATTTTCCTATTTATTCTATTCCTGTTGTAAAATAGACTAAATTCCCGTTGTAATTAGTCTATCCCTTATATACTCCTTGTATAGAATTAATAAGACTTTTTTCACCTATTACAGGACTTTTTCCACAATGACACAATTTAATCCACTTTACCAGGACTTAATCCACAATGACAGAACTTTTTCCACCCTACCCCAAAGATGACAAGACTTAATCCACTTTGTCACAATTTAATCCACATTACCAAGACTTTTTCCACTTTTTATAAATTTGACAAGACTTAATCCACTGCATATTTATATACTCCCAGATACTTTTATTCAATAGTATAGCGTATCCCTACGGCATTCTTTAATGGCTCTAATATTACCTGTTCGTACAACGTAATGAACCTATTTCCAACGGAATTTGAATTATTTCCCGTTATAATTAGTCTAGACTCATTTCCAACAGGAATTAGTCTAAGATTCAACAGGAAATTAGAGTTATCTAGGGCCAGGCGTATCGTAGATGTGTCTTTAAGTTCTGTACGGCTGATTTCCATGGATATTTCATGGGTATTTATAGTTATATTATTAGGGCCTGTTGGAATTGGTCTAATTGGGGAAATTGCAGAGATTAAATTAAAATCAAAAATAACATTTTTTACCTGATCAAAGTTTTTATTAAAAATAACGGTGACTTTGTAGTCTTTTGTTTTTTTAATTAAAATTTCATTAGGTACTTTTTTATTATTTTTTAATTCTTCAATAACCTCAGATACAACCTTATTAAATACTTTTTTTAATTCTGATGCATCTCTTTCCTCTACTCCGACGTCCCCGACCACTCTCTCACAGATACTTCCTTGCTGTAGTACACCAGAGATGTCAATACGCGCTGACTTCTTGTTCATTCTTTGTGTGAGGTAGATTGTAGATTCGTCTGGGTGGAATTGGATATTTTTCTCTTTTAATTTCGCGACAATTAAGGAGAGACCTTCTTCTGTGAAATCTTGCTGCGTCCAGTGGTAATTGTCCTTATTGAACATAAAATAAAAAAAAAAGTAAAAGAAATATCGTTATATTTTTATTGCCAAATATGGTAATAGAAAGTTTGTTATATTGTAGGAGTGGATAATATGTGGATTAAGTCTTGTCACTTATGGGAATATAGTTTATTAAGTCTTGTAATTGTGGATTAAGTTCTGTATAAAGTGGAATAAGTCTTGCAGTATATGGACAAAGTCTTGGTTTATTTTTATAAAGTGGATTAAGTCTTGCACAGGGTGGATTAAGTGCTGTATAAAGTGGATTAAGTTATGTCCATAATGATAAGACTTATTACACTTAGTGCCATAAATTATGCATACTTTCTGGACAAGACTTATTCTCTAAATGACAAGACTTATTCCATGCTATAAGTTTTGTCGAAATATAATACAAGACTTATGCCACTATATGCCCATAAATGACAAGACTTAATCCACTATGACAAGACTTATTATTTTTAAATATAAAACGACAAGACTTTTTCCACTTCTCCCAAAATCATTAAGATTTAATCCGCTATTACAAGACTTATTCCACTTAGTCACAATTTAATCCAATATAACAAGACTTAATCCAGTATATGCCCATAAGTGACAAGACCTAATCCACTTGACGTCAACAAATGACAAGACTTAATCTACTTTATCACAATTTATTCCACTCCCTCCCAAAACTGACAAGACTTATTCCACTCTCTCCTAAAATAGCCAAGACTTATGCCCGGGGATTAAGTCTTGTCAAAATAAATAAATATTTTATTTTTCAATTTCCAAACATGACAAGCGAACAAGCACTACTAAGCGAAAGAACGCCCTTGCTGGATTGCATATATCCATTAGGCGTAGTCTTATTACTGTGCCCTGCATTCGCAGGTGTAAGCATAGGCATGGGCAAAGCATCTCATGGAATTTGTCAATCTGCAGCAGTTAAAAATGACATAGTTCTAACTGTCATTCCAGCAGCATTCATTGGAGTGTCCATTCTGTACGCAGTTCTGTTGTTCTTTATAACTCCACCCACAGGAGACGCAAATACGTTCACTATGCCACTAAAATGGTTAGCAGGGTATATTGTAACAGGAATGGGGATGTTCTGGGGTTCAGTTGGTCTGGGAGATATATCTGCAGTGGCAACCATAACAGCAGCACAACAGAAGAGGTTTAAGACGTCATTCTTTTTGTTGTTAGTATTTGGGGAATTTATTGGACTATTTGGGATGATAGTTGGGTTTATGCTGGGACTAAGTAATAGGCAATGGTCATGATTATAACGGAAATTACTGTATTCGGTAATAGTATAATAAATGGGGGTTGTTGTTATTTTTGGTTTTGTAAAAATATTGTGTGTTCTTAGTGGAATGTGGTTAAAATATGGTTAAGTATGGTTAAAATACGGGTAGATTAAGGTGTTTGTTTGTTAAAATATGCTAGTTCTTGTTAAAATGCAGTTAAAATAAGATGTTTATGGTTATTTCGGGTTATTCTCTTTAATATTTTAATCTGGATATTTTCTTCAATAGAAATTTGGAAAGGTGTTTTTTTTATTTTCTATGGAATTTAAAAAGTTCCTTCCTATCACATGCGAAATATATAAAATTTTTAGGAAAAAAGTAAAAACGCCTTTGTCCTTTCCTAAATTATATTTTAGTGCAGGGGCATATCAGGCATAAATATACTCAGATTGTATGGGGAACATATAAAGGGATATATGGTGGGTATTTAATATATGTGGGTTATATTGCTATATAGTGATTTATAACATATAATTTAACTGGATTTTAGTTATATAGTGTATAAATCAGTTAATTTTGATTATATTCAGTTATATAGTGTTATATACAGTGATATACTGGTATTTCCTAATATATCCTGTAATAATGTGCACCTGAATATAATAAACCAACCAAGTGCCCCATTGTTTATTTACATTTAATTTCCGGGTTATTGTTTATTATGAAAATATCCAGGAAAATACTTGGGGGACTCGTTCTCCATGCATCTGCCACACTGGTATACAGTAAGTTATTCCAGAATAACTTAATGGATCAGGTCGTAAATGCAGATCTTCTGAAACCAATCAAACTAGCAGCTGCAGAACCAAATGCAAGTGCGCCTAAGACACCCCCACAGTCAGGGGCAGCACCAAAGCCACAAGCAAAGAATGACACAGCCACTAAACCAGCAACAAGTAAGACCAAGACATCAGCCACTAAACCAAAAACCAGTAAGACATCCACTACTAAATCATCTACTAGTAAGACAAAACCAACAAGCACCAGCACAGCCAGCAAAGGAGGCATTCTGGGCCTATTTGGGGGAGGATCAAATGCAACCACAACAAGCAAACCAACCACAAAGAGCACAGAGTCATCAGGAGGTGGAATATTCGGGTTATTTGGGGGAGGAAAGGCAAGTTCAAGCACGTCAAAACAAAAGACAGCTAGTAGTAAGACAGCTAGTAGTAGTAAGGCAGGCAGTAAGACAGCTAGCAGTAAGACACAAAGTAGTAAGACACTGAGTGATAGTAAGACAGCTAGCAGTAAGGTACAAAGTAGTAATACAGCGAATAAAAAGAGTGCATCAAAGGAGTCTGCGTCTGCCTCCCTGGGGAAAAGTACAAGTGCACATAGCAAGAGTATATCCCCTAGTAGTATTAGTAAGAATATATCCAGCAGTAAATCAGTACACATTAGTGCAACAGGAAGTGGTCACAGTGCATCTCTGAATGGTGCATCAAAGTCAGTTAGTATTGGGGCTAGTAGTGCAGGAATTAGTCAGAGTAAGACTGTCTCTGCGAATATTTCTCAGTCTGCAAATATATCTACCATAACAAGCATAACAGGCTGCAAGTCAGAAGATATCAAGAATGCCATGAAGGTCACGAATGCACAGCAAATCACAAATATTGCAGTGTACTTCTCAGCAGACTGCAACTGCTACAAGGATGCAGAGGGTACTTTACAAATGAAAATGGTAAATGGTTCAATTATTGATGAGTCTGGGATGTTCAAAGGACAAGAGTGCGGGTGTAAATCAGCACAGGAAATAAAACAAAAAGCAAAATTAACGGAAACAGGATTCTATCAGATAAATATATCAGATGCAGAAGCAGCAAAGCAAGCAGGTTCCATGAAGTTAGTGTCAAATCAACTATCCGTCAGTGGGGCAGCACAAGCAAACTACTCAGCATCCATGGGGAAAACAGTCTCAGTGCAGGCAATGGCAACAGGAGCAGTAGTAGGCGGGGCAGCAGCAGGTGCAGTAGCCGGAGGGGCAGCAGGTGCCGCAGTAGGCGGGGCAAGTGCAGATGCCTCTGCTGGAGCCAGTGCAGGCGCAGACGCTTCGGCTGGAGCTAGTGCCGGTGCCGGTGCTACAGCGGATTCTAGTGCTGGGGCTGCTGCAGGCGCAGACGCTTCGGCTGGAGCTAGTGCAGGCGCGGGTGCTGCAACAGACGCTAGTGCAGGTTCAGCAGCGGATGCATCAGCTGGAGCTAGTGCGGGCGCAGATGCTTCGGCTGGAGCCAATTCAGCAGCAGGAACAGACGCTAGTGCAGGAGCTGCAACAGGAGCAGATGCCAGTGCGGGTGCAGGTGCTGCAACAGATTCTTCTGCTAGTCCATCAATTAGTCCATCTGGCAGTATACCAGATACTACACCATTAGCATCTCCATCTATGCCTAGTGATAATTCACTGCCTTTGACTGCACCTGCAGCACCAGCAGCTTCATCTGCAGTGCCAGTGCAGCCTGCGAATAATCCACTGCCTGGGGGATGCACTGGTGCTACGTGCTATGATGTCATCAGGTACTTTAAGATAAAAGTACCGCAGCCTGTGGTTAGGTCTGTGACTACAACTGTCCTGGCTACTGTCACTCTGCCAACTACAATACTGCAGCCTACTACAGTCATACAATCTACTACTGTAGTGCAACCTACTACTGTAGTACAGCCTACTACTGTTATGCAGGAGATTCTTAAGACTATTTCAGTTGATAAACCTGTTACAGTAATGCAGCCTGTTACGGTAGTGCAGCCTGTCACGCAGACCTCAATTGTGCAGCAAATAAAGACACTTGAGGTGCCTAAGTCAATGACAATTACGGAAGTAAAGACAACCACAGTGCACCATACAGTGCAGACTGTAGTGGAAGCAAGTAAGGCACCTGTTACAGGCCAACCTGCAGGACAAATTGGCATGTGCCATGTGGGACAAATATGCAACATAGAACAGCATGTTGAATATAAAACAATTCCCATCTCCATTGATACATCTTCATTTGTTGAAGAATTATGTCCTTGCGAGAACTCCTTCTGCTTAAACCCGTGTGTACCCATGATTGACACAGGATCAATACAAGGACACATTCTGGCACAAGGGCCTTCTTCTCAAATGAGGGCATCTAGTGCTGGAATATCTTCATAGTTGGAATAAATTGGTTTGATGTAATTATGGTGGTCTTAATTTGAGATATTTTATGTGTAGGTTGTTTGGTGTTTGCTTGGTGTGTGGTTAGTTTCTTTCTGTTATTTATATGTATTTCTGTTATTTTTGATACTAAAATGTACTGTCTTATTTTTGGTTATATTATGGTATATTTTAGTGTATAGAAGCAGTAGGAATAGATTATTATGAATATAATGGGTAGGTTATTTATGGTAGAAGTAAATCCTGTGAGATATTCATATATATTAATAAGAATATGTCCTGGTTGATTATTGTGTGATTTATGCAGTGTATGCCTTATTTCTGAAGTATTATTTTATTCTGGTTATTTTTTGTCTTTCCCTTTGATTTGTTCTTTTCTCTTTCCTGTAGAGAAATATTCTTAAAACTTTATTTTCTTAAATATCTATTTTCGCTTGGAAAGTAAAGTGACTGTTTCTGAATATATTAAGATAAAGTGATTTTATCATGTAAGAATTGATATAGATCTTATTTAGTGTATGAATGGGTTATTTCTGGGCTTATCTTCATTAAAGTTTGAAAGTGCAGGCGTATGACAATGTTTTGTTTTTTGTTGCTAGGATACGCTGAAACAGTGTATTATGGGTGTATATTTAATGGAATCTGTGGTGCATGATTATGAAGAAGTTTTTTGTGCTTACTGTATTATCTACAGTTGTAGCAGGAGAATTATTTGCTAAAGAGAATATAACCTTGGATGCGCCTTCAGTGAACAAGCAAGAAAAGTCCAGTAAAGTGAGTGCCTCTGAAGAGAGTAAAAATGAAGTAAAGCCAAGTGCAGAAAACGAGAAACCAGAAGAAGACAAGAAGTCATCGCCTTTTTCATTTTTGAACATTTTCAACAGAAGCACAAAGCCAACTTCAAGTGTGTCAAGTGCACCACTTCCCACGCGCACAGGAGAAATACCAACCAGCAAGACATCCACAAAGAATAATGCAGCAGCAACTACAAGCGTACAAAATACCCAAGGAAAAGACAAAACAAAAACAGCAAGTTCCAGTGCAAAGAGTTCAGCTAAGCCAAAGACAAGTACTTCAACTAAGACAAAGACAAGCACTTCAACTAAGACAAAACCAACCAGTTCTAGTACAAAGCCAAAGACAAGTTCTTCAAGTAAGCCAAAAAGCACTGCGTCTTCTGATACAAAGAGTTCAACTAAGGGAAAGACAAGCACTGTGTCTTCTGGTACAAAACCAACAAGTGGTGCACTTTCTTCTGTTAAGACAGTTACAGTCACTGAGATCCGGGTGGTTACAATTTACAAGCCAATCCTGCCTACTACTACATCTGACTCGTATGATGCCTCATTTAAGGCAAGTACTGTTAAGTCCGTTAAAGTAGCAAATGTTGACAAAATAAAAGCAGATGAAACAGCAAATGAATCTATAATAAAATCCAACCAGAAGGCCCTGAAGGACCTGAAGTCACAGAAGGAAGAAGCCACCAAGAAATTAGTTGCCTTGGAGAAGGACCTGGCAAAGATTGACCAAATCATTGCAGTCACTGAGAGTGAAAAGAAGATGCAGGAAGAAATTGTTGAAGAACAGAAGAAGAACCTGACAAAAACAAAAGAGAAATTCCAAAGCAAAGAGAAACAAGCAGAGAAGAAGATTGAGTCAATTGAAAAGAAGATCGCAAATAATAGCAAGACACTGGAAACAAAAAAGAACAAAAAGACTGACCTAGAAGGAGACATTATGATAACACAAAAACAAACAGAGCACTTGGACAAGGTGGAAAAGACAGTCCAAGGAGTTGTTGAAGGAAATGTCAAAGATATCATAAAAGACTTAAAGAAAGAAGTAAAAACAGATGAAAAGGAAATAAAGAAGGAAAAGTCAGTAGATGAAAAAGACAAAAAGAATCTGCAGAAGGAAGAAAAGAAAGAGAGAAAAGACAAAGAGAAAGAAAAAGACAAAAAAGACCAAGCAAAAGATAGTTCAAATAACTCAATTAGGCAAGGATTGTTTGGAACAAAGACAAATGCAGCATTCAAACCACAGGAGAATATATCCATAGGAAAGAATAATCCTTTGTCTTTGAGCAAGGATGATCAAAGGCTTGCAATCCCACCATTCGCACAGAACTTCACAAATGGTCATTTAGTGATTAGTGGTGCTCCAATTACTGCAAACTCATCAAGCATCCTTAAGGCAGAGAGTCTTTTTAAGGATTCCATGACAGCAGCCACTTCAAAAGCAAATGCAGGAGAGAAAGTCCTTGCATTCTGGGGGTACGTGACTTCTTTACTTTCCTCTGGACACCAATAAATGAAATGCCTTTATTTTTTAGTTTTAACCCTTTATTATTTCTGTGCCTCAAGAGCATACTACGCACTGTGACTAAGAATATGTATGTATTTCATGTATAGAACTAGTATATATTTCTCGTATATTTCTCGTATATTTCTCGTATATAAGTACTGAGTGAAATTACTGAGTGAAATTAACCAACATATAAATTATTCATGTATATAATTAGTCGTATATAATTACCCGTATATAACTAGTATATAATTAACCAAAATATAACTATTTAATGAAATTAACCCACATATAATTATTCGTATATATTTCACATATAATATTCCGTATATAAGTACTCAATGAAGTACCCTGCAGACTTGCATGATAAATTCAATATATATTCAATAATAACACGAATATATTGAATATACAATGAAATCAGGTGGTTTTTCATAAAATGCACTAGTGCACTAATTTACACCATGGAGATGCGTATGTATTTGTTCTATTCATAAATAAAATCTGAATAAAAATGGTTTGCTGCCGTATATACTGAATATAAAGCAGACAGATTCAAATATATCTCTATGGGTGCTTGTTTTTATCACTTCTATGGATAACAAAGCCAATCATAAATATTATAACTGAAAATATTCCTACAACAGTTATTACTTTTTTGAACTTCCGGTACTTCTTGGTGACTTCTTTAAGGATTTCTCTCTTCTTAGTGGTACTCATTAGGCCTGCCTTAATTAAGTCTATTTGGATTATATTTTTAGTGTACTCTGGTGTGTGCTTGATGCTTCTTATTACTCTGTTGTAGTATCTTCTAATTTCCTCCAAATATGCAATTTCTTTCTGTCCTATTTCCCATGCATCAAATAATTCTTGTGCACTTTTGAATACTGGCACTTCCCCTATTATAACTTTATACTTGCTTAGCATAAATTCCTTTAAATATCCCATTTCCCCTTCATTATATTCTGGGTGCACATTTAATCCTAATATTTCCATCCTTTCTTTAAGTGCTCCTGACTGAGTGCCTTTCTCCTGGGCGTATAAGGTGAGAAGTATTTCTAACGGTTTTTTACTTTCTTGTTGAGAGATTTCTAGAGAATTAATCTTGCATGTTATTTCCAGCTGATTTGCAAGGGTGTGCATATCTTCTGGCTTCTTTAAATTCCCATGCAAGAAGAGATTTAACTCTTCCTGGAGGTTTCCAAGAAATTCCTTCAAAGAGTCTTTGAATTTTCTTAAAATACTTGCTAAAATTGTCTTTGTTGGGATATTTGTCAGAAGTTGCATTAAATCATCAGAAGTTCTTTTGAAGATGGGTGACCTTCTGGCTTCATAATCAATATACAGGTGAACTGCATGCTCTAATTCTTCTGTCATTTTGTTCTCCATATTTCTGACTAGACACTCTTTTATTACAGTTATAATAACCATTTTATGTGGTGAAAGTGGGAATACAACAGCACTCCTTATATTGATATTTTTCGTTGCATTAATGTACTCTGATACTCTTGTCTCTGCTGCCCTTTCAAGTATGCTCCAATTCACTGTGTAATATGCATATGCACTGTTCATTTTGTATCCCCTGGTTGGCAATTTTCATTCTTATGGAATGATCCAATTATCAGTTAGACTCTCCTATATATTAATTGGTAGATTCTGTCTCTTTCTTTCTATATTTCTGTGCACTACTTATAAATTTATTCTTTAGCTTCTGCATATTTAATTTGGGGAATTTATTCCATGCAGAGAGTGTCTTTGCTTAGTGTAATTTTATTTATCCTGGGGTGAAAATGATCTATTATTTATTCAAGTGTAATTAGACCCAGTGATCACGTAACTGCAAATATGCATGAAATCCTCTTAATATTCAACTTCTATTGTAGTGCCTCTAAATAAGACTATTTTGGTTATTTCAGGCATATTCTTAGTGCAGTAGTGCAGTATGCAACATAAAATATCTTATGACTGGGAAAAGACAAAGGACCAGGATATAAAATACAAAGGCACCGTACAGGAATATAATGATATTATGGTAAAATCACAGATAATTATTCTGAGGCTATGAAAATATCAATTTATATTTTCACTTTCCAGAATATTCGTATACCAGAAGAGTACTCTACTAAATTATGAGAGAATATTAAAAGAAGATGGAACCTGACAATAGCAATAAATATATTGAATAAAAATATAAAAGGACATAGATATCAAAGGCACAGACTAAGTGATAGAATAAAATACCCTTTATATTCAGGGTATACACATATACTAGTGCTTTCTGGCTGGAATATTACATTCTTTTATGCATGACAATATTTATTGTCATTTTTCCGTTAATTAGATTTATAATTAAGAAAATATTTTATTATGTGATGATAAATGAAAAAGGTAAAGAAATCCGGATGGAAACCCTGATCCAGAAGTACTTCCGGAAAAGTGCTTTAGACCTTTCCCATGGAATGGTGTTTTACTCACTGGGTAAGCCAGGAAGCACTCTTACAATGGTTTTATTCCAGTTGTACATACCTCTTACAGTGCTTTTTCTTTTGCTAATACTTTTCCAGCTGACGTTATACTCTGTTGCTATACGAAATTCATTTGTAAATTTAAATAGAGATAATTTAACGCATATATTAGATGGAGTGGGTGCTTTTCTCTCTGTTGGCATGCTTTGCAGTGCACTAAAAGAGCCCGTCCTGGATATCTTCCAGACCAGGCACATTTGCCAGAATATCCCAACAAGTAATTTCATAAAATCAATTATCCTGCGAATATTTAAAGTAGCCATGATTGTGCCCTGCGTATACATAGCAAGCTCCATTTCCATGGAAATAATCTCAACATACCCGTTGCAACTGGATAAATATGCAAGAACATTACTCTGCATTGTAGTTGGTATTTCCGGTATAGAACTACTTTCCATACTTAGAACAATTCTACCATACCTTAATAGTCCTGCAGGAGACAAAGAAAAGCGCATTTACACAGTGGCCCACTTCTTGTACGCATGCTTTATAATTTCCTTCCTGGGCGTAGTAGTATACACTATGCGCGCGGATATTTATAATTACAAAATGATCTTAAATACAGCAGCACCAAAAGGACTTAAAATAGGCCTACACACAAAGGCATAACTCTAGATATAACCAGAAAATAAACTAAAACTATTCGATTATTCAGTTATACTAGATTATATTTACAGCCACATGGAGATGACTTTCTTATTGATATTTATGTCACTTTATGGTCAGTTATTTAAGCCAATTCATTCTATTATATTTCCATGGAATTTTATTGTTTTTTTGATGTTCATATGCATGCACAAAAATTAAATTTTTAGCACTGATGAATTCCATAGAAGCTGAGAAAACAGTTCTTCAAAAAAAGAATTACATGGAATTAAAGAATATATGGGAAGATATTAAGAAATATGCAGATGGAGAAGAGTACTCTAAAATTCTTCTTTGTGGAAAGATCGTACAAAATATTGGGAGAATGGCAATTTTACTGTTTTCCGTTGAAATAACGCTTCTCATCATGGTATCTGCTGTACTAAATCCAGGCCCCATGTATAAAGTACTTGCCCAGAAGGTTATCCGCTTGATTACATCAATACTTGGGCTGGGCCTACTTTTAGACGCAGAGAAGTACTTCTACTCACTGGCTACCCAGGGAAATTCACAAGAAACGGATTCTTTATTCAAAAAAGCCATGGCCTTTTTGCTGGGCAGTTCTTTTGTGGTAACTAATCTAGTGAAAACACTTATTGTGTATCCAATTGGGCTGTACATCCTGAAGAACCAAACAAGCGCACCAATCCTGTATACTCTAACAGGGAACATAACCCTTTTTTTCATATTCACTGAACTAATTAGGCTTCCTAGTGCGCGCGCATACTTTACAGTTGGGAATACATTCTGGGATAAAATCACATTTTTTGTTAAGTGCGTATATATCTTTACTATTCTGGTAATACTTTGCAGTATACTTGGTCTAGCTGGAATATACACATTCAAATACATAGCCCAGTCTTTTTCATTGTTTACCACATCTCCATACTTATCACTGTGATAAAGACAAAGGCTGCAATTGGCAGAGTATTTTCATACAAAAACCCATATAAAATAGCACATTCACACTATGCTTGGTCTACTAGTAGATATGATAGGAGGTGGCTGTCATATAGAAAATATTGACAGGAGTAATATTTCCCCTTGAATTGAAGTATAAATAGGGCATTAAATAAAATATTTAATGAGCAGCAGCATCAATGAATTTGAAAAAACTGTAATCCAAAAGACTAATTATAATATGATAGTTGAATTGTGCCGTCTACTGAGATCACACGGTGCAAATAGGGCAGAGGATATTCTGTGTTTAATAAGAATAGCTATGTATAACTTTCTATTTGCTGGAATACTTCTATTCTCGTACGAATATATGCTTAAAACTACCTTTAAGGCATCAAAGAACTCAGACTCACTATATAATAGTGCATGTCGTTTCATTATTTCAATTGTCACATCTTTCTTTGGAATTGGAATGTTTCTATTTTCAAGTATGTATGCTTACATGGAGTTCAAAGAGTGTGCTAAAAATTGGCCAAAAAATAAGGAGACACTAATTGCAACAGGACTTGCAGTGCTACTTCCACTTTTTGCTCTTCTTCTTAAGACCATTCTTATTTCCTGCGTGCCTTCCAAGAAAAGAAGAGTAGCTCGGAATATGCTCTACTTCTTCTCTCTATTGATGGCAATGTACACTATTATAACTGAAAGCTCTTCTATATATACTAAGTGCCTATCCAGTTTAGCACTTAAAACAGGGAAAGATGCTATCTACTATATCATGTTTGCACTGCACTATGCTTATATGCTTTCTATTTTTATTGGCACTATAAATACTCTTATTAGTATACCTATAATTATTCCACCGATTTTAAAAAAGGTTACAGATAGCAGAAAAACAAATAGATCCAGAAATAGAGCATAAATAGAGTCTATATGCTAAAATAACTGATAATTATGGATGGGCAGTCTTTTTGATTGTTTATGCAATTTCGGTTATTATTTGGCTATAACTGATTTAATATCTCTATATCTAAGCAGAAAATAAACATAATTTTAATAAAGATTTAAATTACACTATAATATATAATATGAGTTGCCATAAATTTATTCTTGCATAAACCTGCAGATAGTTGATAATGTCGTTATACATGTGTTTTGCCTTGATATATTCTGGATGCATCTTTTGCATTTTCTTTATAAATTACTCAGGTATAAAAAGGCACTTTTAAGTACAAATTGAAGCATGTGCATTTTATTGAATATATTCTGAAGAGAGTGCACTCTACTGATGATTTACGCCCACCCCCAATAATATGCAGCCAAGCAAATAAAAAGAGAAATCAGCTCAATTCCACCAATTATCACTGATACAGCACCTACTTCTCTGAAGAGGTTGTAGCAATGCGCAGTCTCCTTGATGACTATAATGGGGGAATTCTGTGCTTTCTCTGCTGCCAGTGAGACTTCTTTCTGTGAAAGAACTTTTTTGGCTATGGCTTTGTATCCTAGGCTTACTGCTTCATCTACTGTTATTGCGGCTTGCTGCTCAAATAACTTGAAGACTGTTTCTTTCATTGTCTTCTTGCTCTTCTTTCTGGGTGTCTTTTCTGGTTTAGATGATGCAAGAAAAGAACTATCCATCTCATCCATAATTTCCTTGTTTAGCTCTTCAGATGCTACTTTGTGCAGCTCACCTATTTCTAGGCTTTCCCTTAACTTTTCTTTTAAAAGCCTTTTGACAGCCTTTTCTGCCCGGCTATTTGAGATGTTCATTTCTATGAATGTAATTGGGAGTGAGTTTAGCTTTTTCAGTAGATTATCTAGTAGTTCCTCTGCGCTTGATATTTTTGCATTCTTTATTGCTCCTTCCATTGATATATAGAATGCATTTGCTGCTTTCTTCAGCTTCTTCGTGTTTATTTTGTACTCTATCTGCACTGCCTCTTCTTTTTGTGCTTCTCCTGGCATTAATAATTCACTCCGTGCCAAATGGTTTAAAATGCATTTTCACATGCATCTTCCATAGTGCTTTCTCTTTGTAACTGCATCTATATTCTGTGATTTCTTAGACCGAATATTCTGTATGAATGAAATTTAAGCTGGCCTTAGGCTCCTTCTCACTTGATTTAAGCCATCTATTTATCTTGATGCTGCATATCCTACCACATAGCATACTAATGCATTTCTCTTCAAATTGTATAATTGGCTAGTTAAATTGTTTTAATTGGTGAAGCTTAAAGGGGCAGAAATAGAAGAATTATTCACAAAATATTTCAATAATATGCACTAATATATGTTCATACAAGACTGCCCACAGATTGCATACAAGCTGAATGGAAATGAAATTAGGAGCGGCCTGATAAATATTCTGACTGTTATTTGCAAAGTGGCAGGTATCTACGATGAATGGCAGAATGCTCTGGACAGCTTCACTGAAAGAATCTGCAGTAGCGATGTTTCTATTCATTGCAACCTTTATTTTGAGGTAGAAGAATGCGTGCAGCATCTATTTAAGCAGCTTTCTAAGAATAAAAACGTAGAAATCAAATGCTTTTTGGAAAAATGCATTCGAAGCGATGGTGTGTTTGACATATTTGGGGCCATATCAATAACATACGCATTAAATGACGTGGAAAATAGCATAAATCTATTTTTCTACAGCGGCCATACAACCATACAGATTCCACAGCCATATCAGGTTATTTCGCAAGATTTTTTGGATGCGCTTATGCATGTGAAGAATGCATGCACGGATAAAGCATCTCTGCTTGGCTCACTGCTTAATATGTATATTCAGAATAAAATCAACGACATCACATCTTATGAGAAGAGATGCATTCCCCCAAAGCAAGAGATCCTTCATGCACTTCGAAAGGATGTAGAGTCTATGGACGCTCTGCTAATGTGCAAAAAGATCGAAGGAATTGAATACAAAAAAAAGCTTATAGAGTGCTCTTTGATATATGCGCATGCCTTAGGCATAAAGCTGACTAAGGAGCATCCTTTCATAATATTTACATCAAACCTTCTGGGAAGCATTGACCTCAGCAATAAAAGAGTGCAGGAAGAAGTTCTTCCTAGCTTGGTTTACAGCAAGGCCACAGACCTCTATCCGAATATTCTCCTTAGCAAGCAAAAGTATGCAGAAATACTTCTGCACACCACACAGACCATCGACATCTTTGAATACCTGCTTGATATGAATAACCCAGACGCACTTTTTAGCTGCTTAAAAGCATTTATATCAACAGATCGATCTGGCAGATGCTCTAATAACCCATTTAAGTTCAAGCTGCAAGGAAGAGATATTTTCAACTGCTTGTTTCAGAACGAAAATCTAGTTTACTTGCAAAAAATCAAACAGCACATCTCTCAAAGTGGAAATTCTGCTGGTTGCATCAATAAGATTGTATATTTTCTGTAGTTCGTGTACATATGCGAGAAAGAGCATATTCCGGATGAGCTAATTCTTCAGGTCTATGATATGCTGCCTGAAGATTATTCTATTTGGTATTTATTATATGTTGGCATATCAGACAAATTCCACTGGACACTTAATACTCTTAACCGGCTTAAATCTCAGTTGTGTGCAAGAGAGCGCAGTCTTTCTAAATTTAATAATTTATACAATGTACTTACAGAATATGAGAACACTTCGTAATAAAAATATATTTTGACGAATTAATGGCAGGCCATACATATACACTATATCTTATTTTACATTATTTATATATTAAGTAATTATTTGCTCTAGTTAGAATTATAGTAAAATTCCTACTTCACAGGAACTTTTTTGCGGCTGCAGAAGGTGCAGAATTAAAGTGGTTGCAATTTAATTACAGAAAAGGTCCTGGGAATAACTTGGGCTTACATCTGTAAGACACATAAAATACCAGGATATCCAGCACAAACCATAAATAAGAGCCTGCTTGAATACCCATTTTGCAGCATAAATAAAAGCTCTTTGCTTAACAAGATGCTTTCTCTATTAGTCTACTATTTCCAAGCTATGAGTATTTCTCTTTTATGGCGCGCCATCTACTAATTTTCGTTATATCTGTCTTTTGATGCTCAGATAAATTAAACATGCATAGACGCTTGCTAAGCAAAGCAAAACCCATTTATTACCACACATACACAACCAACTAATCAGAAGGTAACTGCCACTCCTCTGTAGTTACCTGCAAATATATTGGAAAATGATTTATTTTATTATAAGGAAATGCGTTATTCTGCTATTTGGATCAAAACAGCCACTCTAATTAGTATTCTACTGATGAGCTCACACAAAGCAGACATGACATTGGATGAAGTGGAATCTGTTCTCGAATTTGAAATTGCAACAGACTCACATAGTGTTACAATAAACCCTAATGGCCCTCTTAACTTTTTATGTGGATACATCTACCAGAAAATGGACTGTATGCACAGTAAAAGATTCTTTGCACCTGAAATCAATACAGACTACAGTGTGCAGGAAGCCCGAAAAACTTCAAGCTTTAATGAAGAATCTATATACAGTCGAAATGAACAAAAGGACAAAGCATATACAGCACTACCAGGGAATAAAATGAGTGTGTATGCTGAAAAGTACCATAATCATCTTATTGAGCTTTTTCCATCACCGACAGGTGACATAACCATAGAGACGCGGGGAAACCAGTCCTTTGTTCAATTTCTCCGGGCTAAGACAACAGAAAAGCACTCTTTGCATATTCTGGCTCTATTGCTCCTTTTCTCAGAAGGAGTGAATATTCCTATTGACGTTAGTAACACTGTGCTGAAAGTGTATGAAACAGACAAAAAAGACGAAATATACTTCAAAGTGCCCATGGCAATCCCATGGCTAAATACTAAAGAAAACAAGGTGGAAACATTCCAACAGAAGAAAGTTAAGCAACTGATTAGCTTCTTCCAGGAGAATGCAACAGACTCCAAAGTACTGAGCCTAATGGTGGACAAGTGCATAAAAGAGGAGGTTATATCTGGAAAATTCCTGAACAGCCCAAAGTTCCTAATTCAGTCGTACATATTCTGGTTCATAGACAGTGCAGAGCGTGCAACAGAGTTTATACAGACTGTGCATACAATGGTGGAGAAGTATACACCAAAGACAGAAACGCCCAGTAAAGATTACTCGATATATGATAGACTCTTTAAGCCAGCTGGCTCTAAAGCAGAAATAGACTACATGGCTCTAATGAAAAGTACTCAAGATATTTTAAATGTATATAGAGTCTTTCCATTTACAGACAGTACACAGATCCCTGCATATACATCTGTTCCTCGATACAATCGAAAATTGGGCATCTTTTCTACCAACCATCTGGAAAACTACAGCAACTGTGTGGAAAGCATGATTCTTTCTCTTTTCTGCTGCCTGGCATATGACCCATCTGATTTTACATATAAAACTGACCATATGGGGAATGTCTCTGAAGAGCTTGAAGAATTCTTCTCTTTGGAGAACCAGCCATTTGACACAACAAAGGGTAACTTTCAGAAGAAATGGTGCAAAGTTGTTGCTGACCTAAAAGAGCCTAGTATTGTATACTGCAATGATAGGAATGAGATAGATTGTGGTCTTATAAATATGCTCTTGGTTATTGCTGAAGTGATAAATGCTTCAGAGGAAGAAAAGAAGAAAATACTTGGGTTTTCAGAGAGGTTAAAGGAGAAAGAGGGGGTTTTAGAGGATGACTTATGTAATACAATTGAGACATACACAAAGACACTACTTACAAGCCTATCCAAGGCAGAAAATGTAGAAATAGATATCTCTCGGCTTACAAGTGATAAATATACGGATGGAAAATACGATATATATGGAAAGATTACTATGTTATTTGAGCATAATGGCATCAAGAATACAATAGTCTTAGGAATATTTGAAGGCCACAGTACTATTGACATGGAGCCTACTGTTATGGACTTCAAGGATTGTCGAATGGAAAAATTGAATGAAATTGCAGAAGGATGCAAAAATAAAACAGAATTTGTTGGAAATCTGTTTGCTGCATTTATTGACTATGAAACAAGAAAGATTGATACTCCCGAGAAGAACAAAGAGTTTATAAAGGCACAGGTGCGCACAACCATTGAGAACAACTATGCAGACATAAATAGACTGCTGCTGATAAAGAAAATCTGCAGTTTAGACTATATAATAGACTTAATCTCCTGCTCTATCATATACAGCATAGGCCAAGAGTTATCTCCAAACCATTCTCTTATTCGTTTTACGTCTAACATATTAGGAAGCACTGAACTAGGAAATTCAAGTATTCAGATAATCATGCTTCCTCCAATTGTTTTTGCAGGTCTGCATAATAAAAGCGGTAGTAATCTCAACTACCCAAATATAAAACTCACTGAGAAAAGGTATAATTTTTTATGCTCTGAGTCAAGCCATAGTTTTTTCATTGAGTACATACTATATTGTGATATGGATGTTTTCATAAGATGGATTAAACTCTATATAGACAATCTTTACCATGAAGAAGACATAGCTTTTATTCAGTTATTTGATCCTTTAGTTAATAGAAGAATTTGTCAACGTATATTCAAAAATGGAACTATGAAGTATTCTCATATAATTGACAATTTTATGATACAAAAACATGATAAAAAGGAAGATGAGGTGCTAAGTATTGTACACTTCATATGGATTGTATATCTCTGTATCGAGAAATGCCCGAATTTAGAGCTAATTAAGGCAAACTTAGATTCTATTCGAGAAATCAAGTTTATTACGAAGAAATGTGCTTGGTATATTGAAGCCTCTTCTATGTTCAATCAGTCTTTTCAAACTCTTAGTAGACTGAAGAATGAGCTATGCAAAGACCAAGGTGATATTGCCAAGCTTAACTTAGTTATGGAAGTACTTAAAAGTATGTAGAAATCCTTTCTTACCTGTATCCATGCGTTTTACCACTTCATGAAATACATAGACACTTTTCTAACTAAAGAATTTTTGCTCATATACAACAAAAGCTTTTTCTTTCTAAATTATTCCCAAAGGATTTTAGTTAAATTATTATTCACTTACATATCTTAGGAGTTTATGCACACATGTTTGCATGCCTCAGCATACTTCTATGTTTTGTGATTCTATGTTTTCTTTTCTCTTGAAGAAAGCAGCTTTGTGCATAATAGTGCAAGAACTTAGCTGGGAAATTAGAAGGTCTTTATATTCATCCTAATAAGCCAATAAATGTGTTCTGCTAATTTTTGAAGAGAAACTTTAGTCTTTGTGTGTTTGTCCCTTTCTTGCCTTTCTCTCTACTCTGCTAGCTTTCTAAAGTATATTTATAGCTCAACCCCACAAATAAAATATAAAGTGTCCTGCTATTTTTTTATAAAAATACGAAATATTCTCTCTATTTACTTATGCATTATACACTTTAATATTATTTCTATTTTTTCGAGAGGAGCATGGAAAATACAAAAAAAGACAAAACTCAAAGACCCCTTAGTGGAAGAGTGCCACAGCCCCTGAGTTTAGCCATAGGCAATATCTAGTGTTATGCAGCACAAAGAGAGCAAAATATGGTGCATATTGGATAAAAATAAGTGTTATTGCGGATAGGACACAGTAGTATATAGTAGAATTCGGAAAGATTAGAAGAAGGTTACTTAAAAACACTTTATTTTATTTCTACTAGAGTTTACTAACACACTCTGTGTTATGCATTGGTTAGAGAACAAAGTGCTTAAAAAGTTAGTATTGAAGCTTTTGGTTGGATTGGTTATGATCTTGCGTGTAGGCGCTTTTGGCAGTGTTGCAATAAGGAGGTGCTAGGTTCTAGCGAATTCTTTCTACTTGGTGTAAATAACTCTAGCTCTAATCGTTCTATAAGACTTTCTAGTAGCAACATTTGATGGTGGGTTTCGTGCTGATTTTGGTTCTGGTGATAGCAATGGTGCTAGTTCTGGTGTTAGTGCTGATTTCGGTTTTCTTTTTGTTGCTGGTGTGGATTTATTGTTGTTATGGAAGAGAGCAGCTAGCATGTCATAGTGTATTCCAAGATTTGCCTGTGTGTAGTTAAAGGCTTTTACTGTGATAAAGACAGAAGTACTCTCTTTTATGTCTTCAATATCAATGCGTGGAGGAAGAATATCACTTTCCCAATTTGCATGCTTGGACTTAAGGTCATCATCAATGTTCTCGCTCAAAAGCCTTCGCATTTTCTCGCACATAATTGGAGCAGCAACTTCCTTGCCATCTAAAAATCTATGATAGATGCACAAACCGTATGTGACTTTGTCACCAGATAAATTCTCGCGCTGCAATATATCCAGAAGTGTTGGAGCTACCTCTTTTTTGTCTCGCAGCAGACTTTCTCTCAGAAGTTTCTGAGCTGTACTTATACTAAAACAGTAGTTTGTATACTCGCGTACGCTTTTCTTTATCTGTGTATACCAGTCTGTAGATAGTAGACGGGTAATTATATTATTGTCTATGGCAAGAATACTAAAGCATTCTTCTCTGCAAAATCTGTAGTCATATATACCTTGAACCAAAAAGTCACTGTAGTAGTAATTAATGTAGCTTCTTTTTGGTTGAGGTTCATTCTTACTTTGTAATATGGCAGATGAGTTCTGGCTGGTTGCAGCTGTATCGATGATCATTTTAGTAGGTTCAATCCTTTTTTTCGCATTGGGATTATTACAAATTTTTTCGGTTTGAATATATGTTTCACAAATCCACATATACGGGGAAATTATAGTACTCGTCAGCATAAAGTTTGTAAGGAATAAAGGAATTCGGAGGGTTTTGAAGTTCGGGTTAACTGAGATTTGGAAATCTATACATCTAAAATGATTTTGGGGTAGACAATCTTCAAAGTAGTAGAAGACTACATCACATCCAATGGCATTCATTTCATCTAGAGATTTATCTAATTCTTTCACCCTATGCCGAGTGAATTTCTCATCTATTAATGCCCATTTTCCATTATGTCTGCTATAATCAAATGGGTAGACACTAAAATCTGAACTCTTCTCTGGATAGGTTGACTTCAGTATAGATTTTAGGTAGTTTACTATATATCGAATTGAATGAGTTTTCCTTTGTATAGATCCATCTTTAGAACTGTAATTTTTACAATAGGGAGGATATGGAATAGGAATGAGTTTTACGGTATGACGGGTGTTATCAACTAGCTGCACATGATAGTGTTCTTTGGAGCATTGATATGCTACATTTAAAAATAGTGGATTTTGTTGTTCTATGACCATTGAGTTGGAGCCATCGCTAGTCAAGCTTATAGTCTCATACAGGTTGTATTTTCCGAGAGTTGGCTTTACAATTGCTCTTTTTCCACGCAGTCTGAAGACGCCACTCTTTGGTATGTACGGACAGTGGGACTGAAAAATACTTTTAATGCGTGCTTCTTTTTTTTCTGCTTTGCCTTCTTCACTTTTAACATCTGCCACACAGGTAAATGGCGCACATTGGTAGAATGAACGAAATAAATTATAAACAAAGCTGTATATTTCAATGGCACTCCGGACATTTAGATGCTTTCCATTTACAGATAGTTTTTGAACTTTCGTATACGCAATATTCATTTTGTCAGCATCATCATTCACTAAGTAGTATA